TGAATATTTCAGTATTGCATCTATATTTTCTACTGTAGAATGCAAATGGATTCTGATTTCATGTTCATGTTTATTCAAATTCGTCACTGGACTCGCCACACAGCTGGTATGTTATTCCAAGTTACAATTGGAAATGCTCTATACTTATAATTGGTGTTTTTAAATTGGGTTAAATGCAGCTAGCTATTATTTGAATCCGGTACAAGGAGACATAACCTAAGAATCAACTTTTCTCAACTTCTGGCCAGTTGTTTTCCTGTCTCACTCAAAGTTGTTTCTACGGCAATCCATGTATTTTTGACTTTTTATTGTTCTCAAATACCCCGCCGCCACTGCTCTCCCCTCAGTTCTCTGACCACCACTCATACAGACCCACCCCTGGTTCTACACAATTTCTTCAGCAATTTTCCTTTCAAAATCTGTGATATGTGGATGGTTCACCAGCCTGTAATTACATCGAAATTTTGTTTTGGAGCAGAGCCATTGATGTGACCCCCTTTTTACTGATGCTTCGTCACAGGAGCAGGGCTAAAGGGTGCATGGGGACTTAAAGGTATATCGCAAGATTTTCTACTTCCAGGTTGATCATCAAGACTATTGGTCCTCCCAATTGTCAATCATTCTGGCTCATCAAATCAGACCAGAAAGTTTTGTTCAAAAAGTGGAGAGAGCGGGTCTTACCCTAAAATTTGGGAAGATTTAAGAACTGATTTATTGTACAACAGAGCATGAAGGCTATGCTCACACTCAGAGAGCAGCCGTCCTCCTGTGGACTCACCACCTGCAGAGGATCAGTGAGGGGCTGGTGCTATGAGACTTGGGTGGCATCTCTGATTGCCACCCCCCTGACCCAGAAATGGATTAAAGGGTAGAAAATGGATGGATGGATGGAGAACATCATTTTAGCTCATTCCAAAATTTTCTTATGAACCATTTTTAATAAAGAGCCGGGGGCTATAGATTAACATGTTGTAGAGAACAGAGAAGGGTTATGTCCCTTTTTTAGATGTGTCCCCCTGACAAATTTTCTTGGCCACTCAGCAATAAAAACCACATTACATTTGCTCATGCATGTTCATCATATAGGGGCGACAGTAGCTCAGTTGGTAGAGCATTGGCCTTCAGGCCTGAAGGTTGTGGGTTCAATTCCCACCTCTACACCTTCTCCACCGACTCCCACTGATGACTGCTGTCGTTGTGTCCTTGGGCAAGACACTTAACCCCACTTTGCCCAAAAGCCCCCACTAAAAGATCAAGACTATGCTCACACTCAGAGAGCAGCCGTCCTCCTGTGGACTCACCACCTGCAGAGGGTCAGTGAGGGACTGGTGCTATGAGACTTGGGTGGCATCTCTGACTGCCACCCCCCTGACCCAGAAATGGATTAAAGGGTAGAAAATGGATGGATGGATGGATGTTCATCATATAACTTAAACAGTTTTTCTATTAATAACAAGCCGATATCACCAGTGGTTGGATTACTGCTATGAACTGCCGAGTCAAGATCGTTGGTTCCGCTGCTTCTCTGGGCCTTCAGTAAGCGCTGGCGGGGAATTAAGAGCCTCAGCAGAGAGAATCATAATATTAGACGCTAAATTATAGCTGTAGCCGACAGTTAACTGGTGCACTGACCCTGGTCTTGGTCTCAGATTTTCCCTTTCATAATATCCGCAAGAAACAAAAACTTGCTAAAGAATTGACTTGCCAAATATTTTATAAGCTTCTCCTTTATCATTCTGCACCTTGTTCTCCTTTATAGCTGGCACTTTAGGAGCTCATATAGGCCTTTTTTTTACTGTGCATTCGCCCCATTCACATTTATCTGTTATTGATATTGTGCGTCTATTCATCATTTTGCCGACCCGAACTGAAATGTCACCAGAAGGAGAGCCATTAAAGAGGAAACAGAGGTTGAATATGACTCTGAGCTGAGCGTGGAGAATCGATAAGTCTTCAGAACAGATGGACTTATCAATAGGCAGCGGTTGCAGAGAAACGCGCTACTTGGGGCCGCTTTAGTTAGAATACACACAAAGGAAAATAAGGTGTAAAGACAGCCTAATAGCAGATCATGCAATTGTCAGTCTATGTATCCGATCGAGGATGGTATTGGGGTGAGTTGGTGCTGGTGGCAGTATGGCTGGATTAAATGCTTGTTTTAACATACACATACAATTGATTCTGATTTTGAATGTTGTGCTTGTTAAATTTATAGGTTCTCATTAGTAAAAGCTTGCCCTGTACTTGTGGACTGGGTGCCAAGCAGTTTGACCCAACCCATGGCCCATTTTGCACAACATATGTTTCACCTAATGTTTCACCACTATTAGTATGGTCATGGGGCACACTGGGCAAACCAAGGAAAAATAGTGCTTGGGATCTTGTTAAATTTTGGATGATTTTTTCTGGCTAGCGATTGTTTTGTCCTAGTTCTCAAGTTTTTTTGCCAGTCCCCATGAATATGGCTTTTGACTGTTTTGTTTTGAATGAGGTTTTTACTTTTACTTAATTTTTCTTGTAAATGCAGAAGCGAACCAGATCTATGTGAGGGATATTCTCTGTGGCACCATATTCTAAAAGTGCTATGAGCACTTTTTCTGGCCCATAGGCCATGGCACAGTAAAGAATCTGGCCTTCAGGAAAACCCTGGCATAAGCTTACATCCATCTAACACAATGTGCCCCTGTTGGGTCGATGCTCTAATTAAAGGTCTATAAGAAGAAAGGGAAATGTGTTTACTATTGTTTCAGTGCTCAAGTTGTTCTTGCACCTTCATTGTGTGAATACTCTTTTTGTCTTATATTTGTAACATGGTGCACCTTTGAATGTAGATCCCAATTAGGCATTACCACAATCTATACCTGTTAACACAACGGCTGATATTTATGACATAATATTCACTGAGGAGAATAATGATTTAGTATTATACATACGAGTCATTCCATTTCAGTCCTGGTTTATTTTTATACAGTGAACATGTTTGAATGTTTACTTTAACATGATAGTTTCTTCATCCCATGCTGGCGTCCCTCCCACACAGTTGTTGTGCACAGTGTCCAGTGGGCTTCACAACAGGGGGCAGCGTCCTGCTAAATGTCACATCTCTAAATTGTTAAGAGGATGTCGCTTGTGGTCAAGACTGCACCACCACTGCACAACAACAAAGCCTCTCTCCTACATCCTACAGCTCTGTCCTTTATGGCCCACTGGGCTAAGCACAATACACTTTTGCTCATTTACTCCCTCAAAGTGTATTGGATGTGTGGTGCAGCATGACTCCTATTGCACCGTTCTGAGTCTGTACTGCAGTAGCAGCGCTGGTGAAAGCCGTGGGGAGCTGTGGCGTTATTGGTTGTGGTGATTGCAGTTGCCTCACCGCATAAAGCTCATAGCGTTAGAGGAATGTAGCAGCAGCAGCAGCAGCAGCAGCAGTAGTACAGTGGTACATAGGAAACCTGGAGCCGGTGCAGTCTGCAACATGACAGCCTCCCACCTTTTGTCCCCGACAGCCTGTCCTGAAGAGTGTAACAACAGAGACATGGATGAGGCATAGTTATGCTCGTAAACACAACTCTCAATACTAGATTTTATTTGCTATATACAGGTGAAACTCCGTAAATTAGAATACCGTTCAAACGCCCATTTATACTTCTGTGACGTACAATGTGGAACAAATATGAGTGAGGCAAGTAACATACAGTATACCAAGCCTCAGCCTTCAGTGTTGAATGAGTGTGAGGGATTGGAGCCAAATAAGCGTTTTTCTTCGCCACCTTTTCAATCTGTATATTTGTTTATTTTATGTTTTATGTTGCAATGTATAAGCTTGGAAAATGTTTTATTGATAATTGGCTCACAGTAACAGTAAAGTCCCAAAATAAAACATCTGACAAATGCATTTTTATCCTATATAAGTTTCACATTATATGTTGAATGACAAGATTAACTGAACTTTTGAACGATGCTCTAATTTGAGAAGCTTCGCCTGTAGAGGATTAGGTGTTTTTGTCAATGTATGAATTTTTCAAATTTTGAATATGCTAATTTCTCAGACCAAAAGACATGGCTTTTTTCCCCTTCTTACAAGTTCCCTTTGTATGAATTACGCTATCTGACATTAAAGTGAATGTTCGTCACTTTTCATATTGTGAATAGAGAGACAAGCACCAGTAAGGCTCTCCCATAGCTTCCCAATTAGACAAAATACATTTAAATTCTCGCCATTGGTCTCACGATTCTCATCCAGCAACTGTTAATGGAGGTAATTATGCCACAAGGTGGGAGTATATGATAGTACAGGATGATACACCTCTATGGGCAATTTATAGCAGAGAGAATTCGTTTTGGTAAGTAATGTTCAGCTAGCATTTCTTCACATTTCCAATTAGTATTTATTGTCATTTATCGAGAGTAGTAGCATACCCTTGGCTTTCTAACTTCTTGCAAGGGCTAGTATTGTGCAACGGACAGTGTATATTTAGCTTCTTTTGTGAGTGTCTTGAAAAGATCCTTCCCAAAACAGGCAGAGACCGGCAATAGCCTCTGCCTGTGCGCTCTGCCGAAATAAATAACACTTTTTTTTACTTTGTGCTCCCTAGAGGCTCATAAGGAAGGTGAGTTGCTTGCCTAAAAAAACGAACAAAACCAACCACAAAACAAGTTGCTTATGTTTTATTCTATTTAACACCCTTTTTGCATCTTTGGTGGAGATCCCATTTGTGCATTGTAGTGCCCTAAATGCAATGTGGACACCCCCTTTGCATTGGATGGTAGTCGTACATCCTTCTTTCTCTAACAGTGGAAAGATGAGCACGTGTCGTTTTCAGTGCATGGATACAAGAATCTTCTTTTATGGCAAGTCTGAATGCATGTCCTTCTCCCTCGAAAGGTGATTGGTTACGTTGATGCTGGACATTTTGATACTTTTGTTGTTTTCAGCCATGTTTATACAGTGTATACCAACTCCTAAATAACTATATGTGTAACTTCTGTTTCTCCAGGCGGCACACAGCGGCGGACACAAGACCCTCCTGTATGGTCACGCCATCCTCTTGCGCCACTCCTTCAGCTCCATGGTAAGATCCAATGCAATTGAAACAGGATTATTACAGTCTGCAGGATTGTACGTTATTAGCCTATGACATCGCTGGTGATATGAAATTACGGACTCTTCTCTTCGTGTGTTCACCGCAGTATTTGGCGTGCCTGAAGACGTCACGCTCGCAGACGGATAAGCTCTCGTTTGATGTGGGTCTACAGGAGGATTCCACAGGTCAGAAGACACTACCCAAGCCTTTTATTTGCACTGATTGCTTTTCGCCTTTGTTCCTCGCCTGTTTTATGTCGTTTTTTTTCTCAAGTCCCATCCCAACGCCTTCTTTTTCTCTAGAGTTTTCTTTCTATTCAGTTAATATTCCCAGCAGAGCTCTATGTAGGCATTGAGTGAGGTTCTTTTGTCAGCCCTGATTATATCTCTCTGGCACGTTTGATATGCTTGTTGTGCTGTCCTGATAGCAAGGACCTGCTGTGTATTAGATAGGCTTTATGCTGCGAGTGTGTCATTACAGCTGATCCATCACAGAACATACAATATACTCGAACACACAGGGGATGATACTACTGTTTTTAAGTTACTGCATTTGTCTGTTCAAATTGTCAATAGCAACAAAAGCACATAACCACTGTGGACTACTGTTGAAAATTAGCACCTGTGCTATAACACTTACAGAAATGCATCTGGTTCGTCCAATGTTATTGTTATGTTCATATTAAATGAATAAATAACATATTAACACAAGTTTACTGCAAGCCTGGTTTCAGCCATGACAACATGGCCCCAGTGTGCCCCAGGGCAGCTGTGACCACAGTAATAGTTCATCATCACTGTGTACAGAGTGAACAAATAATAGCATGTTAAGCCTCTTTGAGTGTCCAAAATTATTATTATTATTGCTATTATTGGGATGAGTGTCATAAGGAAACTCTTAAATATACATTTGTATGGTGCCTGCAGAGGACCCTCACACCCAAAAGCATGTAATCATTTCATTATCACACAGTGTTCATTGGACACTCAAATATACATACACAGTAGTAATAAACTACTTCTGTAGCCACAGCTGCCCTGGTGCAAATTGACAGAAGTGAGGTAACCATTATGTGCCATCAGCCCCTCTGACTACCACCCATCATTCATGCACACCCAGACTCATTCTCTACTATATGGGTGAGGTGTCTTGCCTTAAGAACACATGACAGTTTGGCAGGTGACATGGTACTATGTGCCACAGTGGCATATGGGGTACCCCGAGTTTTCCCATCACAGTATTCACCAGGCCCTGCCCTGTTTAGCTTCAGAGGTCTGACAGATCTGGCTTTCACATGCAGGTGGTGCCAAAATATTTACAATATTTGAGCATTATATTGATCATTGTAGTACCGACACATCGTGATGATACAATACTGTGAGCCATGTATTATGTATCGTATCGTTGGGACCCATAAATTCTCAAGCCTATGTCCCTTGTTCTCTTTTCGAATGTGGATGTGGAATTATTATCCAGAGAGTGTTTCCTGTTACCTCTCAGGTGAGGCCTGTTGGTGGACCATTCACCCCGCGTCCAAGCAGCGGTCAGAAGGAGAGAAGGTGCGCATCGGCGATGACCTCATCCTGGTCAGCGTGTCCTCAGAGCGATACCTGGTGAGTTTGTGTTCAAATACAGTTTGTTGATCCCTACGGCCTGATGCCTGTTTATTTGTGCATAACAGAGTGGTCTCAGCAGGGTATTAGAGCAACTCCTGATGTGACAGAATTTCAGGTTACGTCAATCCTGTTAGCCGACGCTCTGCTCCATGACCTGTGTCCACGCGGGGACAGAAATCCTGTTAAATGCCACAACCAACACTTATTTTTTCTACTGTCAAACTGGGAATGTACATATTTGAAGGTGATTGTATTTTGAAAGTGTCATCATCACCATGGTCACATCCCTCAGCCTGCTGTCGTGAATCACCATTATGTTGCCAGACAATACATTTAGCAGTGACCGTCACGTCACAGGACAGTGGGTGTGAAGCAGAGCAGCTCGTGTGTTTGCAGACACAAGATCATTGTCGCCCGGTCTCTGCGTTGATCTGCAGTCTATTCTCGCTCTCACCCATTGGTGATGTGTGGAACAGAGCACCTAAGGGCCCCTGAGGGAGTCCAGAGGGACCTGGTGATGAGGACACAGCTGTCATATCTTCACGAGGCACATTCTCATGCACAAAATATTCATAAAGCATACTGCAAATAAATGTCTCACAAGCAATGGATCTATCAGAAAAATGCTGACAAGTTGTGATTGGGACTGTACAGATGCGTCAGGCAGTTTTCTTTGGCATGTTTGGCAATTGTATTGTATCAAATTATATACATGTAATAAAATACATAAACTGTAAGTATTAATTGAAAATATTTTAATGTTCAACAGCACTTGTCTATCTCCAATGGCAACATCCAAGTGGACGCCTCCTTCATGCAGACTTTGTGGAACGTCCATCCCATCTGCTCTGGGAGCAACATCGAAGAAGGTCATTTTCAGCAATTTATGTGATTTGTATTCTTATATGAATTCTACTGATCTAAAAACATGGAGTTATAATTACTCAATGTTACAGGCTACCTGCTGGGGGGTCATGTGATGCGCTTTTTCCACGGACATGACGAGGTGGTGACCATCCCGGGATCGGATCAGAGTGAGGAGGAGCAGAGGTGCGAATCACAGCAAGTGTCACACACAATAATGAGATTACACTGCAGCGATAGGGGTCACTTTTATTGGCACCATATGTACAGTATGTACAGTATGTGTAGGCAGTGCAGTCCAACCTCTGATCTTCTTTTAACTCTACCCTATTCTATGAATGGGGTAATAGAGTTATAAATAACCCTGTTCTATAAATAGCCTTCTGTCTGGCCTGACCCCAGTCTCTCAGGGCAGCTGAATGGCTCTGAGTTTATGTATAAACATTATGCATATAGTCAGAGTTCGATCTCAGATAAGGCAGCGCGCGGAAAAAGAGGAATAATGCAGGCAGCATGATGTGGGTCGAAGCCGCTGAGGTGCGTACACACTTGGCCAGGTGCTTGTAGGTGCATGTTCCCCGCACACCCATTCACTCACAAAAACATGCAGACACCGCGGCTATTTTTAGAACAGTGCATTGGTGAATGAGGAGCAGGATTAGACACACATTTCTGGAGTTTATCGTGCTGTTGTCCTTTTCAATTTGAATGATTTATGCAGGCCATATTTTCTATTGGAAAAGATCAAATACGTTGCACTGTGCCAGCCGAAGGAGCGATGAGCGATTTCTTCTTATCTTCCAACCCAGTCACCCGTTTCTCTGAAAGACAGTGTAGCTGTGGGTTATCCGGACGCTGTTTGAGGAATGTGCTGGTTTGTGTTTGTATGTGCCTGTGAGCTCCGGCTGACAGATGAGGGTCCAGGGATGGGTCCAGGATGGATGACCTTGACTGTATCATTTCAAGGTAGATGTACACTCACAGACACACACCACCCACTCACGGTTCTGTGGCGTCCCCAGGATCATCAACTATGAGACGGGTAAAGCCGGAGCCAAAGCCAGGTCCTTGTGGAGGCTGGAGCCGCTCCGGATCAGGTGAGCTTGGTGTATTCTGATGATTCTTATCTGCTCTTTGACTTTGAATGATGCCTCTTCATTAGGGCTTTGTCACTTGATTGCTATAATCTGTCTGAGCATTAGTTTCACTCATTAAACTAAAATCTTGAAGAGATGTAAGAAACCCACTTCTACATGCTTTTACGGTATCTATTTAATCAACCCAACGACTAATTCACTTCTCCCATATACTAGTTGCGAGATGCCTAATAGGGCTGTATATCGTCATGGCGATAATAGCTAGGGTGGTATGACTTCTGATTAGGAGGGGTCATAATACGAAATTTAACAAAGTAAAATCATACGTGCATGGGCTTGTTTTTACTTTGACAATGCTAACCTGCTATAAATACCAACAGGGAAGTGCTCATGGATGATGTTTTGCTTTATATCGCTCCTATTGACGTACATTGCTCCTATCGCCACCATCTACAGACCACCAAAACAAAATAAGGATTTCATCACGGACATGACTGTATTTCTGACTCACCTATCCACACTTTCACCCAACGTCATTTTACTGGGAGATTTCAATATCCACATGGACAAGGCCAATAACACTCTCACAAAATATTTCACCTCCTTTCGGGACAGTATTGGATTACAACAGTTTGTCAACTTCCCCACTCACAATAAAGGACATATTCTGGACTTAATCTTCTGCTCAGGAATAACACCATTGGACATTCAAACTGACCACCTCCCATACACAGACCATCTACTCCTCTCATTCAATATCAACCTGTCCTTCACCAAATCCAACCCGCCACGCACTATACATTTCCGTAAAATCAAGGTCATCACTTGACAATTTAACAACTCTCATCCATAACCTCCCCAGTGCTTACAGTATAGGCTTTCTACAACAGATGAGTTTCTCACACACTACAACACAAACCTGCATAACATTCTCAACACTCAAAACCCGCTCTGTCTCCTTCATTCACACAGCCCCCTGGTTCACTCCCACCCTCAGACAATTCAAAACCAAAGGCCGCCAACTTGAAAGACTCTACAGAAAAACTGGACTCACTATTCACCATGAAATGTACAAAACACATACCCTCCATTACAAAGACTCCATCTCCACTGCTAAATCCACATACTACTCCGGTTTAATCAGCTCAAATGAAGGTAACTCCAAAGCACTTCTCTCACTCATCTCGTCAATCACAAAACCTTCTGACTCTCTTCCCTCTCATCTCTTTTCATCTGATTTTTGCAATACCCTGGCCTCATTTTTCAACTCCAAAATCCAGCAGATCCAACAGCAACTCACTCCATCTTCTCCCAATGCTCCTGCTCCATTCTTCCCAGCTCCAACCCACCTCTTCTCTTCCTTTACCTCCCCATCTGTCAACCAAATCTCCACCTACATCCAAAAATCCAAATCCTCCTCCTGACCCTGACACTTGACCCTCTCCCCACCATCCTTGTTAAAGCCTCCACTCCTGCACTTTCCCCTCTCATCACAAACATAATTAAAACCTCTTTATCTACTGGTACTGTGCCCTCCCCACTCAAAACTGCTGCCGTCACTCCCATACTCAAGAAACATGGTTCTGATCCCTCTGACCTCAATAACTTCCGCCCCATCTCTAACCTTCCCTTCATCGCCAAACTCCTTGAAAAAACCATTGCTGCTCCTCCACAGCACTGAAACCGCCCTTCTCAAAATCACCAATGACCTTCCCCTCTCTGCTGACTCCGGTTCACTCTCCATCCTCCTCCTGCTTGATCTCAGTGCAGCATTCGACACCATCTCACATTCCATCCTTCTGCACAGACTCTCCTCCATTGGCATCTCAAGTTCTCCCCTCTCCTGGTTCCATTCCTACCTTTCTGACCGCACCCAGTTCATCCAATTTAAATCCTTTTCCTCTCGTTCCTTCCCCATCACTTCTGGTGTTCCACAGGGTTCCGTCCTCGCCCCCCTGCTTTTCCTAATCTACTTTCTACCTCTTGGTCACATTTTCCAAAATCATCACATTCACTTCCACTGCTACGCGGATGACACCCAGCTCTACACCTCCAGCAAACCAGATTCCACTCTCCCACCCTCCTCTCTCACTAACTGCCTCTAAGAAATAAAGTCCTGGTTCACAGCAAACTTCCTCAAACATAACAGCAATAAAACTGAACTCCTCCTCATTGGCACCAAAGCCACCCTCAATAAAATCAAAACATTCTCCATCTTCATTGACGGCTCCTCCATTTCCCCCTCTCCTCAGGTAAAGAGTCTGGGTGTCATCCTCGACAGCACCCTATCATTCACCGCACACATTAATAACATCACCCGCCTACTTCCATCTCAGAAACATCCGACGACTCCGCCCCTCTCTCTCCCCTCACACCACCGCCATACTCATACACAGCCTCGTCACCTCCCGCCTCGACTATTGTAACTCCCTCCTGTTCGGTCTCCCTCAAAAAACCCTCCGTAAACTCCAACTGGTCCAAAACACTGCTGCCCGTCTCATCACACACACCCCCTCCATCAACCACATCACCCCTGTCCTCCAACAGCTCCACTGGCTCCCCATCACTCACTTTGCATCCAATACAAAATCCTGCTCCTCACATTCAAAGCCATCCACAACCTTGCTCCTCCATGCCTGACTGACCTCCTCCAGATCTCCACACCTGCCCGCTCCCTCCGCTCCTCCTCCTCTCTCCAGCTCCTGGTCGCTTCGGCCCGCCTCGTCACCATGGGGAGTAGAGCCTTCAGCCGCTCTGCTCCCCAGCTCTGGAACACTCTCCCCCCTGACCTCCGTAACACCGACTCACTCACATTCTTCAAATCCACCCTCAAAACTCATCTGTTTAGACAAGCCTCCTCACTAACATAACCACACGTCTGTCCATGACGCTTTTAACTTTGTATTTTAACTGTTTTTAAAATGCACTTTTTACTTGTATGTAAGGCGACCTTGAGTGTCAAGAAAGACGCCTAAGACATACAATGTATTATTATTATTATTGAAAAGTAAACTCCTCAAGCTCACTAACTCACTCTCACCGTTTTGGGATTAACAAATCTCTGGAGCACAATGGTGATTAAAGAGAGAGCTTCTCTCTCTGATCCTGGTGTCTATACTTCAATGTTTTTTTTATATATTTGATCTCAGCAAATCCAAATATCAGCCATAGTAGGGTTGACCAATCAGATGCCTTTATTCACAGAAAAACACTTTGGTGACGGCAGCACTCGCTCAGTCCACTCCCAATATACGGCCTAAGGTCTCACGTGAACGAGACATCCAGGTGAAAATGACCACTTCTGAAACCTGGGACTTTGGCCTCATAAGAGATGACTTGTTTCAGAAGCATCGTCTATGAAAAATACAGGAACTTACTCTGTACTTTATCATGTATGAACTTATTTTCACCTGTTGTTACTGAAATGTCAATGCATTTTATGCATTAAATGTTTCATGAAAATATAATGACTACATTTACATTACTGTCTTTAAACTTTATTTCAAAAAGTTCATAATAATTGAGGGATTTTCCTTGTTTGCTTATTATCTTATTCAACCACATGGCGTGGTGGATAATTAACAGCTGGCAGCAAGGTTTAGATCAACTAATTAGCTGATAATAGGTTTCCTAGGGCTTATGCGAATCTGCAGTATTTGTGTGAACGCATTTATATGTACATGTGAATTTTGCAAAATTAGTATATCATTCAAAAGACATTTATTTCTGTTATTTAACTACAACGTGAAAGTAATATATTTCAGACTCATTACACGCAAAAAGAGAGATGAATGCTACTTTTGTAGCATTTATCTCACTTTTGTTCACTGTTTGTGTATGATGGTTTCTGTGGCAGCTGGAGCGGGAGCCACATCCGGTGGGGCCAGCCCCTCAGGTTACGGCACCTCACCACAGGACACTATCTGGCCCTGACTGAGGACAAAGGACTGGTGCTGCAGGACAGGGAGAGATCCGACACCAACGCTACAGCTTTCTGCTTCAGAGCGTCGAAGGTACACCCACAAGTCACCCCATTTCATTAAGAAGACCTCCAGTATACTCTTTTACAGTATGTGATGACATTACTCAGAATAAGGAGCTGTGTCTGGGTAGGTTTCTTCCGGGTGCTCCAGATCCTCCTCACCACTCATGCATCATAGTTAAAATGTCTGCAGTGAGGTCCTGACCGAGCCAAGCATCCACATCTGGTGTTTTGAATGAGTGTGAAGTGTTGGAGCCAAAAGAGTGTATATTTGAATAGAAACCATTTGACTTTTTCTCTTTGTGGCAATAATTTTGTGTTTGTGTCTTTTTCCCAAAATTTGAAATATTTGGGAAAAAGAGGTTACCAAAACAAAATTAGCCTGCTAACAATGATTAAATTGTGCTACTCCACATAATAGAGTCTTTAAAACAGGCATGCAAACTGGACTTTCTAACAGGGAAGGAAAAAAATAAAAATAATACCCTAACCTTTGAACAGTAAACACCGCAGTAAGAATGTATCTATAACAGAAATATGCTTTCATTGTAACAAGGAGATAAGAAACATTTAGTCTTTACTGAAATGCTGTTTTCATATACTGTAGGTACAGCTGTATTATGAGCAAATTAATATATTCTATACATTCTATGCTCTCCTGGGTCTTTCTCTCATACACACCCCCGTCATGTATCTACTTTGACTGGTTTTAATGGGACCACTTCTCCATTCATTCAGCAGCTTATATGAGCGTTTACACTGACAGCCTCGGCACATCTGTTCTCTTCTTTACCTGCACAGGAGAAACTGGAACAGAGCCCCAAGAGGGACATCGAGGGCATGGGGGTGGCCGAGATTAAATACGGGGACTCTCTCTGCTTCATTATGCACGTGGCCACGGGACTCTGGCTGTCGTACCAGGCTCCCGATGTCAAGTCTGCCCGCCTCGGCCCCCTCAAGAGACGAGTGAGTACACACCGCCTTTCTCACCCTTAAAGGTACAGTACTCTGCCTTTTTTTTACAGTTGCAAACACAGCCATATAAAGGCCTCAACCATATTATGTCAAATTGTCTTTTCTGTTAAAAAAGACAAAAAAATGCGAATTCTTAGTGATACAATGACACTAACAAGACTGAGACAGGAGTTAGCTTGGCTGGTGCATTGATCATGGATGGATCTAAAAACAACTCCAGGTCTGTGATGAGGAAACAATGTTGTAACATGGTTAAAAACTCAAACACATCTCAACACATCACCAAATAAGCCAAAGCAATGAATAAATAAATGCAATTCCCTGGAGCAGATAATTGTTTTTATGGTAATTATCTGACTGATTTAATTCATTTGTGTTTTTCTCAGGCATGTCTCCATTCAGAGGGACACATGGACGACGGATTGTCCCTCCAGCGATGTCAGCATGAGGAGGCCCGGGCCGCACGCATCATCCGCAACACCACGCTGCTTTTTAAGAGATTCATCAGGTAAAAGGACAACAGTTGCACCACTCAACTGTGGATAAAACTGGATCGAGAAATCTTCATTTAAGTTATCAAAAACATTGCCCGAGGAGGCTTTGCACAGTGTACATCACCAGTACAAGATCTTAGTGAAATATTAATGCAACACTGGATGGAAAGACATTTTTTTGAAGCTTTTTGAAACAATGTCGGAGTGAATGTGCGCTGTAATCAAAACGAAAGGTGCTCTTTTTATTTACTGTGTAAGTTACTTTTTAGAGAGCAGAGAGTGTAATGCAAACACAGTATATATATATATATATATATATATATATATATATATATATATATATATATATGAACTATTAACCAGTGCAGAATTTGTTGTGGTCTTGACTTTTTCACAGGTGGTGGTTAAAGCTGGGGTACCTAACTTTATTCAGACATAGTACATTGTGTAATACAAGAAAGAAAACTTTTGTGAACTGTACGATTTTGTGAACATATAAGACTTCAATGTGCTGTCTTCATCTAGTAAAAAAGAAAAATCCCTGTGAGTCACGATTTGACGCTTTGAGCTGAGAGCTGATTGGCTGAGGGTGGTCCACTCTTTTTCACTTTTCTTTTTGAAAAAGATGATCTAAAGATGTAACAGAGGCCATAGATACATGCATGTGAAAACTGTTAGAGGAAATCTAACCATTTAAAATTGTTTTGAATTTTTTTCCCCCAACCACCTCAGCTTAATTACATAATTTTGTCTCCCATAAATTGACATTTGGCTGTTTGGATCTGGAATTATGGTGATTTTGTCCTTGTCCTGACCTTCACTGAACACTACCTGTAGATGCTCTCTTTCCTTTCATTATATCCTCACATAAATACGCCTTTAAATTCATATACTTAACGTAGAAAAACCCAGACATCCTTTTCACTTCTCGACCTTGTCGCACATCCTTCAGAAATGACTTACAATGCAGGGGAGCGCCACAGGCTTACAAACAAGTGTCTGCAGAGAGGAACCAATTCTCTGCTGATCACATAAATGGACGCTTCCTCCTCCGTGTTTTTTATATCAAGTGTCCTTTGGGAACTATTCATGACGCAAACATGTTATATTCAGACCGTCTCTCCCCCCGCGGCTGCTGTGACACGCACCAAACCCCCCTCCCTCTCCTCCTCCCACGCTTACGACACCAGCTATTTTTAGCACGCCAACGAAAATCACTCTTTCAGCATGGATTAACCTGCGTGCTAAACATAGACCAGCCTTCACAGTTTGCCCAGCGGTTCATTTTTTCTTTTTTTACCTTTTAATAAGTGTATTTCTGTATGTTTGGGTGTGTTATTGGAGAGTCTGAACCAGGGATTAATTAAAGATAATACAATTAACCTTTTTTGTCTTTGTGCGTGAATGCCTGCAGAGACCTGGACTGTCTGGGGTCGAAGAACAGAATGCTGGTGGTTCTGCCTGTGGAGGAGGTGCTGCAGACCTTAAATGACCTCATCACATATTTCCAGCTCCCAGACGCCGAGCTGGAGCACGAGGAGCGGCAAATCAAGTTGCGCTCGCTCAAAAACCGCCAGAACCTATTCAAGCAGGAAGTGAGTGGCTCCTGCATCACTAAGACTTCAGGCATTTATGAATATGAAGGTGTTCTATAGTTAAGGTCTCATGACGAATGTGTTTGATCATTCTAAAGGTACTGTATAGCCTGGTCGTACCATACCATCGTACAAATTACATTTCGTACTAAGGTCTGGCTTTGCCCCATTGACCTCCGTGAACAGGTGGGAGGGGTTAACTTCTTTTGTAGATTTAAACGATTGGATCTGAGTTTACCGTGACGTATGTAATGCTACGTGAATGATACGTTATTTGATGGGAAAGAAGTCAGTCTGATCCCCTTATCATCCACAATGAACATGTGTTGCTTAAGCTTAAGTAGTCATTATTCAATGGTAAACTATAAATCCATGTGAACAAAAATTACTTCTCACTGTTCTCAGGACAAATATTTATATGCGATTAAAATGCGATTAATTGCAATTAATTAATCACAAAGCCTCTAATTAATTAGATTTAATAAAAAATATCGAGTCCCAGCCCTAGTTAAAACACATTTGTTCCGATTAAAACATATTCATACTAGTTAAAACATTTACATACTAGTCAAAACAATACATACTAGTTAACACATATACATACTAGTTAACACATATACATACTAGTTAACACATATACATACTAGTTAAACCACATTTTCACTAGTTAAAACATTTTCAGACTATTTAAAACATATGCATACTAGTTAAAATACATTCATACTAGTTAAAACACATTTTGTCATGTAATTTTGTCATGTTTCGTTTTGAATACAGAGACATAACTGAAGCCTACATGCCGTGACAAGTTTTAAAAGCACTGCTATTATTGCGCCTCGGTTCCAGCTGGTGACTACACGATGGACTAAAAGCTGAGGGGGAGTTTTGCAAAGACAAAGTACAACACTGGAAATACGGAACGCTGGTTTCTATCGCAGCGTCAATGCCATCTTGTACTGGCTGTCATTGCTTTTAAAAGACTCAGCACTTATGGCGACAAAAGTTTTCCGGAGGCAGACGACAAGTGCACTGAAGCTTTCTATGTCTCCGGACCTCAAATTGCCTTAATCAATTACAAAAACACGTGAGGGTGTACGATGACATGAATGTGACTAGGTAGCGCAGGGAAAATAGTAAAATATCAACCATATGACAGCCATGCTTGGAAGTGTACACGCCTGTTCAGAGATAGAATTGTTTTGGCCTTATTTTGGAGATTATGAATGCTGCTGATCCAAACATGTTTTTCCACACCCCGTTTGTGGTTGTGTGAGGCCATAATGTTTTCTTAATAGATTGTTTTGCTGTTTTTCAAATAGTAACTTCTAATAGAACCAAGTAATCAGCAGTCCAGGATCCATGTTTAGAGAAGGGTGAGAGGTTATAGGGCTATGTTTAAAGGTCCCATTTTACAATTTTTGACTTTTCTCTGCTTTAAACATGATTACAGTGCAATTTGGCCTTCATACACATGCCCAGAGTAGTTTTTTCATTGATTCTGTCACTCTTTAGTAAGAGAGCGATCTGTCTCCTTCACCCTCGAGAGGCAGTGAAACGCCTGGGTCCACATCTGTGACGATAACCACTCTGATGACGAATATGACGCGCATAAGCCCGTTTGCTTTATATTTTAAATGTTTTTTAAATATTGTCATATTGGAAAACAATACACAATAAGTATGCTGTTTGTTGTCAAAAACAATAAAAAATTAAAATAATACTAAAGCCAGTAGGTGATTGACAGATTGAAACAGCAATACAGAGAGTGCAGCCAGTTCGTACAGTATGTCCGCGGTTTGGTCCTGCGGACACCAAATGGAGCTGCTGTTTTTCTGCTTTTGTCAGCGAGTGTTAGGATCACATCAACTTGGATAAAATGTGTTTTGGGTGTAAATATGTGACTATTTGGCCCGAAGAGGAAGAAAGCGGCTCGACCTTTTTCTCGGGGATCTGCCTCTGTTTGAATGAATCTGTTCATCTGCGACACTTCACTAAGACTGTTCCAGAGCTACAGGGACAATGGAACTGGACTTACTCAAAAACTGATCTGGAAACCAATGTTATTCCTACGATAAAAGACATAGGGCTTGATGTTACAGATTGTCATTGTTGGAAAAAGTTTATTCTCAGGTCTGAAATTACTATGTACCAGAGATAAACAACTGGCAGTGTGATGCTACGTCACCGTGCGGGCGGGGGGAGGTGGGCTCACAGACAGATAGCAGATTGCTCTCTGAATCAGCCTGTTTGAGTCGAGGTGACGTCACCTCTATACAAGAGATGACTACAATCTCACAAGTTTTGAGTGTTGTATGGCGTATCACTGAAATTATTATCACACATGTGCATAGGATTGACTGTGAAGCATGAAGAAAAGCGTAAAATGGGACCTTTAAAGTTAGGCGTTAGGGGTTATGATTAAGGTTAAGGTTAGGACTAGGTTTTGGTTAGAGGTCAGGGTTAGGACTAGGGTTCACTGTGGTTTGGACTAAGGTTGGGTTTAGGGTTAAGAATTGGGTAAAGTTCAAGGTTTTGAGTCCAGGATAAACTTTTAACAGTGATCTCGGGCTGTTGATTACTTGATGGTAACAGATTGTGCTTTTGGGCAGCCTCGGAACTGGCGGGTTATTGATGAGAAGAATGGGCAGATTTACCATCAGAGCTAATAAAAAACCTCATCCAAAACTACCACACAAGGCTCTGAAGCGTCATAGATGTTAAAGGGGCAAGATGCAAATGGAAAATGGTTAAATATGGGCAAGGTTAAGTTGATTTGTATAGCATAAATCATATGGGAAACTCAAAAACAAGAGAGAGAGCATTAAAATGATTATTAATAGCACAGCATGGATTAAAAACACGCTATTGAGAACTGGGGAATCGACACTTCTAATCAGGGTCAGTAGAGTTTCTGTTATCTTTTTATTAAAAAAAATTAAATTCAGAAATTTGGCCAAAAAATGGTTGCTTCTGTCTGAGTGTGTTAGCGTTGTAGGACAACTGTAACTCTATGTTAAGTAGTCATGGTTTGCTTTCACAGGGCATGCTCACACTGGTGTCTAACTGCATAGACCGGCTAAATGTGTACAACAGTGCGGCCCACTTTGGGGAGTGCGCGGGGACAGAGGCCGGAGCTGCATGGAAAGACATTCTCAACCTGCTCTATGAACTGCTGGGTAAGACACTTGTATTTTTACCATCAATAACTTATATTCAGGCCTTGGACACTTTTGACATATTTTATCACAACTATGATGGGGATAGAATCAACATTACAATAGTATCACATATGACAAAAATATTATTCCACATTTAAAGGAGCAAATCTGGCCAAAGTGGTACAGTAATCATGGTCAATATTCTGTTGTCCTCTCCCACTCTCCCTGAGTCAGGTTGCCAGATATGCAGACAAATCCAGCTGGGAACATAATATCTGAATGAGCAAGAGTTTTGTTCAGAACAAATCTAAAACCAACACCTTTTTTACAAAGATAGAAATCTTAGTTGTATTCCTTGTTTTGTCACTATGCAAAAATGCAAGATGGCGCCTCGTACGGTCGACATGGCTCTTTGCTGCTCTCTTTTTCTTTTGTTTTTACTTTTTAACTGCGCATCTGGCTGTTCCTACACCCGTGAGGAACTTATGAACATCCGACCCACCGTTCCCATGGACCTATTGCCTGTTTTCTTGGCATCTGCGGCTGATTTAGTTCATGTTCTAGCCAAAAAAGTGTGGGCCCGTAAAAGGGGAAAGCGCGGAGGCCTGCTCGTGCGTCTTAGGAGGAGAGGAGCGCGCACGGCTCTCCCCGGCATTTTTCTCTCCAACGTACGCTCACTGGGCAATAAGATGGACGAACTCAGCCTGCTCATGAGAAGAAACAAGGACTTCGCCACATCCTGTGTCCTCTGCTTCACTGAGACCTGGCTAAATGAGCGGATCCCGGACTGCGCTCTGGAGCTGCAGGGCTTTGGGCTGTTCCGCGCGGATCGCCATTGTGCGCTCTCAGGGAAGAGCAGAGGCGGAGGGCTGTGTTTCTACGTCAATACAAACTGGTGTAACGATGTGACAGTGATCTCCAAGCACTGCTCTCCTGCTCTGGAATATCTTTTCATTCATTGTAAACCATATTACTCCCCGCGCGAAATTGTTTCATTCATTCTTGCCTCTGTTTACATACCGCCATGCGCGGACGCGCGCGAGGCTCAGCGCGCACTCGCAGAGCAAGTACTGTGTATGGAACGCTTATACCCGGACTCTCTGATTATTATCCTGGGGGATTTTAATAAGGGAAACTTGAGCCAGGAATTACCCAAATACAGACAGTTTATCAAATGCCCGACCAGAGAGGAGAACACTCTGGATCACTGTTACACCACCGTGCGCGGAGCTTTTCGCGCTGTTCCCAAGCCAGCCCTCGGCTTCTCAGATCACTCCATGATACATCTGGTTCCTGCTTACAGACAGAGACTAAAGCTCTCGAAACCTGCAGTGAGGAGCTCCAAAGTGTGGTCTGATGAAGCTGTGGAAGAGCTGCGCGCATGCATGGAATCTACAGACTGGGACCTTTTCAGAGCTGCCACAGATAGTTTGGATGAATACACGGACACTGTGACGTCATACATTCACTTCTGTGAGGATAGCATCATTCCAACAAGGACCAGGGTCATCTATAACAACGACAAACCCTGGTTCACTGCTAAACTCCGGCAGCTCAGGAAAGCAAAGGAGTCTGCTTTCAGGGAGGGGGACCGCAGCGGCTACAAAGCAGCTAAATATCAGTTCAGGAGAGAACTGAAAGCAGCCAAGTCCCGGCACAGAGAACGACTACAGGAGCAGTTTGGTAACAACGATACTGCTTCTGTCTGGAGGGGCCTACGGGAGATGACCAACTACAAACCCAAAGCCCCCCCCTGTGCTGACGACCACAAGCTAGCTGACGATCTGAACTTATTTTTCAGTCGCTTTGATGCTGCCCCTGACACCTCTCCCTCCCCCACCCCCCACTACTCTAACGACCCACCCATCAGCCCTGCCCCCAGCCTAACAATAGCCGCTAAAGAGATTAAACAACTCTTCTTGAGGCTGCACCCCCGCAAAGCTCCTGGCCCGGACCACGTGTCTCCGGCCACTCTGAGACACTGCGCCAGTGAGCTTACTCCTGTGTTCACGGACATTTTCAACACCTCTCTGCAGTCCTGCCATGTCCCGGCCTGCTTCAAATCCTCCATCATTGTCCCCGTCCCGAAGAAGCCCAGGATCACAGGACTCAATGACTACAGACCTGTAGCACTTACGTCTGTCGTCATGAAGTCATTTGAACGCCTGGTTCTCTCCCATCTCAAGTCCCTCACCTCCCCCCTCCTGGACCCCTGCAGTTCGCCTACAGAGCCAACAGATCTGTAGACGACGCCATTAACCTGGCCCTCCACCACATCCTACAGCACCTGGACTCCCCGGGGACCTACGCCAGGGTCCTGTTCGTGGACTTCAGCTCTGCCTTCAACACAATCCTGCCATCCCTGCTCCAGGACAAGCTCTCCCAGCTCAACGTGCCCGATTCCACCTGCAGGTGGATCACTGACTTCCTGACGGACAGGAAGCAGCGAGTGCGTCTGGGGAAGAATGTCTCGGACTCTCGGATTATAAATACAGGAGCCCCACAGGGCTGTGTTCTTTCTCCCCTGCTCTTCTCCCTGTACACCAACCACTGCACCTCCAGCCACGACTCCGTGAAGCTGATCAAGTTCGCGGACGACACCACCCTCATTGGACTCATCTCCAACAACGATGAGTCCGCCTACAGGAGGGAGGTGGACCGGCTGGTGTCCTGGTGCAGTGGTAACAACCTGGAGCTGAACGCCCAGAAGACAGTGGAGATGATTGTGGACTTCAGGAAGAGCACTGTCCCCCCACCCCCACCCTCCGTGATGGACTCCCCCATCACCTCTGTGGAGTCCTTCCGTTTCCTGGGCACCACCATCACCCAGAACCTCAAGTGGGAGCCGACCATCAGCTCCCTCATCAAGAAGGCCCAGCAGAGGATATACTTCCTGCGGCAGCTCAGGAAAGCCAAGCTGCCTGCACAGATGTTGGTGCAGTTCTACACGGCCATCATCGAGTCCAACCTCACCTCCTCCGTCACCGTGTGGTTCGCTGGAGCCACAGTCAGGGACAAACAGAGACTACAGCGCATTGTGCGCTCTGCAGAGGAAGTGATCGGCCGCAGCCTTCCATCGCTGCAGGACCTGTACGTCGCCCGAGCTCGAGGCCGGGCTGGTCGTATCACAGCCGACCCCTCTCCTCCTGCACATGGACTATTCCAACCACTCCCCTCAGGCAGGAGGCTGCGGTCCATCAGGACTAGAACCTCCCGCCACAAGAACAGTTTCTTCCCCTCTGCTGTTGGACTCTTGAACACTTCTTAACCTGTCCCCCCGCCCTTTATAAAGTCACTTTACTGCCCATCATACGTCACTTTACTTAACTGTACTGCTGTCACCTTACATTGTGTGCACCATGTGCACTTGTATATTGTAAATAGTAACTGTAACTCTATTTTAAATTTAAATTTATTCTTTAGAAGTGTTTTTTATTCTTATTTTTATTATCTCTTTTTGACTGTTGCACTGAGCCAAAGCAATTTCCTAGTCTGTGACCTCCTGTTACTTACGTGGCAATAAAAATGATTCTGATTCTGAAAATGATTCTGATTCTGATTTGAGAATCATTACGGGACCTGATTGGTAAAACGGTGGAGGGCGGGACATCAAAATAAAAATAATAACAAGATTAAGGGGCTGTAAATAAAATTTATAAATTCAAATATCTCTGAACTACTGTTTTCAGTTAAAGAAGTATTCGAAAAGAGCATGTTTTATTAATGCCTTTTGACAGATTAGGGCCATTTAGTGATGACTTCACATGAAAATCTTGAATATTGCTACTTTAAACAACTATTTTAGTAGACTTGAAAAGCATTGGATCATTGTGCATGCGCATTCGTTAAAATCCTTCTGTAACTTTTTGATTTGTTGTTGACAGATAATAGTAAGTAAGTAAGTAAAGTTTATTTGTATAGCACATTTCACAGACCAGAATCACAAAGCGCTTCACACATTAAAACACATAAAATACACATACACAGAAAAACACAGTTCACAGAAGCCTATGAACAGTGAGGCGAGAAAGCCTGTCTAAACGAATAGGACTTAAGTTGGGACTTAAAATCATCGACAGTCTCTAAGATGCGCAGAGACTGAGTAAGATCAATAAGCTCATATGGAGACAAACGCTGGTGATCACTAAAACAAGTGGTTTCTTGTCGATGCAGGACGGTTATACTTAGTTATGACCTTTATGGCTATTTATAGACTTTTATGGACTTATATGGACATTGGTCATCATGCTCCCTATGGACCAATGGCTTCTACTGTTTTTGTTATCTTTGCATTTTGTGAGTTTGAACTGTTTGATTCGCCATATGCTGTTGGCGAATCGGCAACTTTGTAAAGTCCTCCGAGACAACTAGTGTTTTATGGCGTTAAAATGACTGGAAAGATTTTCTGTTGTGTTATGAACTTAAATTATTATAGACTTGCATTGGAATTATGGTGGGCTTGTTGAAATAATTTGCAGTTAAAATTTGTGAAATAAGTCATATTTTCACAATTAAACAGTGAATATAATGACACAATATACAGCCTTATTCCATCCATCCATCCATTTTCTTCCCCTTAATCCATTTCTGGGTCGGGGGGTGGCAGTCAAAGCTGCACCCAATCACAGAGCACCAGCCCCTCACTGATCCTCCTGCAGATGGTGAGTCCACAGGAGCTGAGATCTTTCAGTTGGGGCTTTGGGCAAAGTGGGGTTAAGTGTCTTGCCCAAGGACACAACGACAGCAGTCATCAGTGGGAGTCGTGAAGTAGGTCTTACGGTGGGCTTGAACCCACGACCTTCAGGCCCAAAGGCCAATGCTCTACCAACTGAGCTACTGTCGCCCTAGCCTTATTCAAAAAGCATTAACAGATTTTGCTACACAATATTTTATTAAGGAAAAGCCAAGGAAAATTCAAGCACAAGCATTGGGAGGATGTGTTGAGGAAAATATGATCTGTTCAAGAAACTTTTACTAGGATAATGTACTGTTTTTTTTCTTTGTGCAATATATTATTTTTATTGACAATCATCACAATGATACTACTAATGACAATAAAACATGCCACATAACATTTGCGTCTTGCCCCAGCCCTAATCACATCCAGTCCTTTTAATAGGCTCTTTCCGTCCATCTTCGCCTGTTGGTCTCTAGCTCAGCAGTAGCCTCCCGTCTCACACCTCTGATCTGAGTTGTCCCTGGTGTTTTTGAGCCGATAAAAGAACATGGGTTTGCTTTTACTCTGTGCTGCTGTGCTATTTATTCCCCCACAGCTCACTGCCTGTGTACTGCTGATCCAAAATGCCTTTAACCTCATGCGCTGGAGCCATATGCTGTGTCTGATAGGGACGTATCTCACTGAAACGACCTGGCAGCGCTGTATATTTTTGGTCGCAGCTCTTTCTCCTCTGCGGCAGTTTTTAAGTCATTAAAAACACAGCAAGAACAGAATATGCAATGTTAAGATATGTTTTTGGAAATGGCAAGTTCTATGATAACTCTCTTGCACTAGGGACACCTCTCTTCCTCTGTCCTCGTGTCCTGTAAATATTGTTTTGTCTAAATGTGGATACATTTTAATATTGTGCACTGAATTATTCTTAGATAATAGGCTATTACATGCATGTCATATTTGACCTTCTATGAACAATAAATACAATGGACATGATGGTGATGGTCCATAATATTTATATTTAAAATTTTCAAGCAGATTATCCAATCAGAGAGCAGACTGAGGCTCTCATTTGGGTTGCCAGTGTGTTAGTTGAAATGCAAAATAGTTATGGCTCTTTTACTTTACTTTTTACCACATTCACAAAAAAGAAAACTAGCACCACATATATTTAAATGAAAACAGCTAGTCATCTGTAATACACAGAGTTTGTACCATTTTGCTAAACTCCAACTTGTGGATTGCATCAGTAATCAGTTATTAGGAGTCGTGTCACAGGAAGGTTATAATGACAGGTGAAACTCAAGTATTTTTGGAATTCATCTAAAATATGAAACCAATAAATGATATAGACTCATTTCCTGTAGTGACATACTGTGTGCCAAGTGTTTGTTATAATGTCGATGATTGTTGTCAGATTTTCTGAAATGTTTTTATCTGGGGTTTTTTAACAAGCTGTGAGCCAATCATCAAAATTATAACAAATACAGGACTGATGTATCTCACTTAAACAATATTCTATTTTTCCGAGTTTTACTCCAGTGCTGAAAATGACTGAATTGTTTATTATATTGAAAATGCCGGTGGCAGGATACAAGGTTTTTAAACATCTACCTACTCCTTGTCAGCATCGTGCTTCTTCATGTGTTTCAATACGTATATCAAAAAGCGGGTCACTGGTTTGGAAATGGACCTTTAGACTCACAGTACAACCTTGGAGTTTGATGCATATTGGTTTTACACATCTTCTGATTATGATATGCCTGAAGTCCTGTGTCCTTCACTCTGATTTACATACTTACCACACAAGTCACGTCTTCTGTTCCTGCTCAGACACTTGTGTATGTATAAAGTGTAGCTCTAAGTGGATTTGGGTTGTCTTCTCCTTTTTGTCCTTGTCTTTCAAAGGTGACCCAGTCTCTTAAAGCTGGGGAATATTATGTGTTAACTGATTATCTTTCTTTCTTTTCTCTCACCAAGTTATTCTGTATGTATCGGACACATTCCACTTAACATTAAGAACGTCTATGTCCTGATACGCATTTAGTCCTGTCTCTTAAGTTTAGTAATGTAAACTGTCATCACTTCTGTGTTTTCAGCGGCGTTGATACGAGGTAACAGGAATAATTGCACACAGTTCTCCAATAACCTGGACTGGCTGGTGAGCAAGCTGGAAAGACTTGAGTCCTCTTCAGGTGCGATCATCATTCAGTCTCACTGTGACAGGCAACATGTATTGTGTCTTGACTCCTTTGATTCAGACAACTTTTATGCGAAGGTATCGGCTGTAAAAGGTTTTTCAAGTGTGGTGTGTTTCTTTTCTCTACGGCTGTTGAACTCATGAGTCAATAGATCAAAGGCACCACACCACATCAAGTGCATTTAGAGCATGCAGAATAATTGGGATGTAATGAATAGCATTTATAGAATTATTGAAAGAATACATGAATTCAAGTCAATTAATAAATGTCCATAAATGTCAATAAGTTAGTACATATCGTTTAATTAAAGTGCTAGTCTGGAACTCTAAATGAATTACAAATTTAAAGAATTGAATTAAATTGACCTCCTGGCCTCAAATGTTGATATAAAATAAGTCATTTTATGAATTCTAATAATACGGGTAAGTCCCGCCTTTCCTTCTCTTAGTTGTAGCTCAAAATCCACGATGCTGTCCACTTTAACCAATCAAGTTATGCCAAGGGCTGTCAGTCATCGGCTATACAAAAGACTTGAAGCTTAATAGAATCAAATTGAAGCATGTAGGTCAGAATAATATTGGAAATAAGTGTGATATAGTGGTGTCAAGGACTGCGATAAAGATATACAGAATCTAGCAATATTTTCTCCATCTTGGAACTGAAGTGATTATAGAAACAAATTGTTGCTGTTGCCATTTTTTTCCCCTCTGCTTATTCTCTTCATGTTATCTTCAAGTTCATGCATGAGAAAAAATACACTATTGCACATAACAATATATTTTTGATATATGGTGTAGCCATAGGAGCAGGTTCTACCAAGAGGCTTACATTCTTGGTTTTATTTATGGTGAATATATTTGAAACCGTTGATGGCGTATTTATCTTTAAATAATATATTACGCCACATAATATAAAGCTTTCTGTGTTAACTGAAAAAATAATGTGTGGAAAATCTATGCAGGCATCCTGGAGGTTCTGCACTGCATTTTAATAGAGAGCCCCGAGGCCCTTAACATCATCCAGAGAGGACACATCAAGTCCATCATCTCCCTGCTCTACAAGCACGGACGCAACCACAAGGTACGACCTGGCACGGAACGAACAAGGTCAACGCTATCATTCAGGTTTAGTGCCGTAATTACCATACACTATGACTGCAGTATAGAGCGTGTGAAATGTAGAGTATTTTAAAGAGACAGTGATTATAGACCATTCATTTGTTCATACAGGTGGAACTCTGAAAGATAGAATATCGATCAGTTGTCCATTTACTTCTGAATTCAACAAACTAAATCTATGACGATTTCAACATCAATGACGAATATGACGCGCAGAAACCCGTTTCTTTTTAATAGTTCTTAAATAATTTTAAAACAGGGAAAACAATACAAAATATTTATGCTGTTTGTTGTCAATAATAATTATGATAATAATAATACTAAAATCCAGGAAATGATTCATTATATAGTTGTATATTAACTAGCCTATTAATATTGTTTCAGGTAGATAGCATTATTTTCTAAGTTAATTAAACACAAATTCACTATTTAAGTATTCTATATTTTAAACTCTCCAGAGCTAAGCTCTGTTCTGTGTTCCCTCTTTTATAGTAACTTCTAGACCTCCCTTTCTTCTTAGACTGTCTATTCTCATAACTAGTGTTCACCAGATAGTCCTGAGGTTTATCAGCATTATGTCAAATTAGACTGTTCGTTAGGGGATTTTTTGCTTTCAGGCCTATGGATCTGAGGTTTCTAGAATGTCACCTGTCAAATTTGAGTTTTATGGCTATGAAACCTGTCATCAATTTGGAATTTATAATTGTTGTTCTGACCCAACCTCTTATCTTATCCAGACTAAACTGCTATTAGTTTGGATTATTTGTCGTCAAAACCTGACGGCACGTTCCCAAACACTCTCTCCTTCTGTATCACCAAGTGAAATAAATGTGTGTGTGCGGGGAGGGGCTCGTTTGCCTTAAAAGGGTGTCATATCATTTGTATTATACACTATCATGGAAACCTATGTTGTTTATGTTTATATTTTGTATTTACTTATTTATTTTCTGCTCTTTGAACCTTGACTTGACCCCCTGAACATGCATGAAAAGTTTGTGTGGTCGACGCGTCTTGCAGCTTTTTGCCCCTGTTTTCTCAAGCCGAATTTGGCAGAATGTTATTTTAGATGCACATCACTCACCATTCGCTGGAACTTTTATTCATGGAAGAAAGCACACTCTCTGCGTGTTGATCCAGCATCTCTCTTCTCTCCTCATTACCCTCTCCAAAATGCTTGACTGGATGCACATTTATTTCCATAACTATTCCCTTTGGGTTTGTGTGTCACTTCTTCCCATCTTTGCCCACTAATACGTACTCTCATCCATGACAGCGTATAGCTAGAGGTTTACATGCTGTGTGTTGGGTTCACGAATCAATGCTTTTAGTAAAATAAAATCAGAATGCACCCAGCTTGAGAGGAGAATAAATCAGTGCAAAACATTCAGCAGTTCATAAGACTAGATTTTCAAAGATATTCAAGATATTTAGATGGGCTACTATGGCATGTCATAGAAAGGAAGGCTAGAACAAGTTTTTTTTTTTACATTTGGTAAAAAAGCTTTGGTTTGTTCTGAACGCATGTACTCATTGTGTTCAGAACAATTAAATGTATCTATTTTAGCAAAGACTACATACTATTTAGCTCATGACCCGAATACCAACCATATCAGTGTTCCCCAACCTTTTGGACTTTGGAAAATATCTTGTGGCACACCACCATCTGAAACTGAAACAAAAATAATTAGAAATACATTACCTCACTTTATTTTTGTCTTCATTATGAAAATTCAATCCATATCCATGCAGAGCATTGGGATATACGTCCTTTTGAAGAAAAAGTAGCAGAGGTTTTGTGCTGGTGTGTTATTTTATTTTATATCGAGTTTTTGTGCAACAAGGAAGATAATTTGTTTCGGGACCAGATTTTGACCAATCACAGCGGACCACTGGCCCTCACTTTCTTGAGAAAAGCTACAGGTTAGCAAAGACAGCTGAGGTAAACGAGCGGCGGAGGCTAACAGCCGTCCAAAGGAAACAGCCATCCAAAAGAAAGTCTCGTCCTCTCCGCGCTTCCCGGTTCTATCATTCTATGGTCACTCCATCCACGTTCAAATGTGAGATCCATATTGTGAGACGCTCACACTAGTTAGTGCAGCTTTAATGCTAAGTCATGAACAGTCCAACAAATAAGCATAAAGAAAAAAGTTTTATTTACACTTTTTACACTCAGGCTTCTTTTGACCTATTAGGTGATATAGGAGCATTTCCAAAGACACACTCTCAATCACTCTCTCACTGACACATGGATGGTGTTGATTGGGGCTGATGCGCCAATGTGTTCGGCGACTCGCTTCCGTCATCTTTGTGTGTGGAATGATTGGAACAATTTCTAAACTCTGAACATTGTGAAGCGCTTTGGGTGACCTTGGTCTGTAAAATGCGCTATATATATATATATATATATATATATATATATATATATATATATACATTACTTACTTACTTACTTACACCAAACAATATATCAAAGCACACTAACATCCCACTGCACATTGTTCCAAAAAAACACTTGTTTATATTAAGTATATTTCATAAAACATATATTTGTTACATACCCTCCCCTTGGAATAACCCTCAACAGTAAGATGTCTATGAGCTTCCTCAGCTGATCAGGAATCAGGTTTGTGTGAATGGGTCTAACTGGCACAAAAATATCTCTCCATTTTCACTGTTAGAACTGATCTTCACTTGAAATCAAATAAAAGAAAAAATTTTGCAAAAATTTCCAAGGGATAAATAATAACAATAAAACAATAATAATCAGAAGAAAAGAAATAAGGCCTTGGGAGCATTAAACTGTAAAAACAGTTGTGCTTCCCTCAACATCAGAGAGTTCTCGTATTGTGTCTGGTGAAGGGGGGACAGAGGGCGGCTAAGATAGGGAACAACTGGACTAGAGCACTGGCCTGTTGCCCATTTCATACAAGAGCTTTGTTAAGGAGACATCAAAAAGCGCCATGTTTTAGCCCCAACAAACATCTATGGATAATTATGCTACACTTTCCCCTCAACAGTGATTAAGGACTCGTTTTTGAGAGTGTGCAGCTCTATGCCTTGGGTTTAGCTGAGAAAATAAGGGTCATTATGTGATCAAATACCAGTGCTGTCATTGCAAAGTGCTTCATATTTCTTTCCCTTTCAGATTCTGGACGTTCTGTGCTCCTTGTGTGTGTGTAATGGTGTCGCGGTCAGGACCAATCAGAACCTCATATGTGACCATCTGCTTCCCAAGAGAGATTTGCTGCTTCAGACGCAATTGGTCAACGATGTGCAAAGGTTTGGAAAGTCCATTTTATTTCCTGACACAGTGTTTAATGACATAGCACACCATGTAAAGATAATACATGGATACAAAAGATTTGGTTTAGTTCACAGAGCGATACCAATTTATCTCCTTGACTGTTACATGGAAGCTAATTTCTGTGCGCTTTCTGAGCTGGGGCATACAAAGGCAATTAAATCTTAAACAATTCTCCTAATCTCTCAGGGAGGTAAATTGAAAAGCGCTAAATGAGAAGCCACATGTGATCTTTGCTCTGCTCTCTGTCAGCATGCGCCCCAACATCTTCCTGGGCGTCAGCGAGGGCTCGGCGCAGTACAAGAAGTGGTATTATGAGCTGATGATTGACCACGTGGACCACTTTTTGACCAGCGAGCCCTCTCACCTGCGTGTCGGCTGGGCCAACTCGAAGGGCTATGCTCCTTATCCTGGAGGGGGAGAGGGCTGGGGGGGCAACGGGGTCGGAGATGACCTCTACTCTTACGGCTTTGATGGACTGCACCTCTGGTCAGGTATGAAACAAGAAAAGAGCTTTGTCTACTGCCGTACATGGCTGCTTTTCTGAAGGCTTGGGTTTGACCAATTCGAGCAAGCTCAAACAGTGCAATGTGTGTGTGTAGCTTTGTCCATCAATCCATCAATGTACAGTTGAATTGTTTGGTTTGGTTGAATTTCAGGTTCGGCTAATTATAATCTAATTGTGAATATCTTAAGTACTAACATGAGCCTGGACTACAATCTAAATACACACGTCATTCATTGGGTGCCCCTTTATTGTTCCCATAATGAAGGCTGCTGGTTATGAAGAAAATCATTTTATTGGCTCATCAACACAATTTCAACACAATTTGACCGTTAATAATGAGTTTACTGAAGTAAATGAAGGCAAAGACATTTAAATACAGTTTAGGATCAGTCTCAGTGATAGAGTACTATATAATGTCCTCCAATAATGAGGAAACAGCATGTGAATGTGTGAGCGTGTGTAAATGTGTGTAGTGTGAGTCTCTGGCTCCTGTTCACATACTGTTTATGTGTGTGTCCCGGGCAGGCCGTATCCCGCGGGCTGTAGCATCCATTAACCAACATATCCTGACCTCCGAGGATGTGGTCAGCTGCTGTCTGGACTTGGGCGCTCCAAGTATCTCGTTCCGAATTAATGGACAGCCGGTCCAGGGCATGTTTGAGAATTTCAACACAGATGGACTCTTCTTTCCTGTGGTCAGCTTTTCAGCAGGAGTCAGGTAATGCTTTTGCTTATCTCACGTGTTCATGATGGTTTTGATATAATCATTGGATTGTAAGTATTATTATACTGTGAATCAACTACCGGTATCCTAAAAACTTCAATATACCCACTTCACAGGTGTAATGCTTCAAATTGGACCAAAAGCATATTAGCTTGTTGCTATAGTGACCACAGCAAGTGTGATTGACACAAGCTACAAATCTAGTTTCAAGCTTCATCCGTTTTTCATATCTTTTTGGCTGAATCTTTGGCTTCTCAATTTTCGGTCTGTATCAAAAGGGACCGGACTGATTTCATCTGCTGATGTAATCTCATACTGTATAATATACCGAACGTCTGCTGCATCCTGATCACACCCGCCCAGATTAGCACAAGTAGATTTAAGGGCTCACTTTGGTTTGGAGAACATATGTCCAAGAAGTTGAGGTTGGGGTTGTTGTTGCCCAGCAACAGTAAAGCACACAAACATAAGCAAGGCGTTCTCCTGAGATTTACAGAGACCAATCACTTTGACCATTATTGTTCGGATTTGAATGCTAAACAAACATGATTTTAATTAAGATAGGTGCAGCAGACTGCTGTGGTGAAAAGGTAGAGGATTTGATTTAATATGCATTAATATTTAACAATGTTTGCAGCCTCACATAAGGTCATGAGCTTTGGACAAGATTGAGTTTCCTCTGCAAAGTGGCTGGGCGGTCACTTAGAAAAAAGGTGGGGAGCTCAGTCGCATGGGAGGAGCTTAGAGTAGAGTTGTAACTGCTGCTCCTCCATATTGAGATTAGCCAGTAATGAAGTGGCTCTGGCATCTGTTTTGGATGCACCTGGATACACCAAAGATAATATCTCTTAAAAAACAAGGTTCCAAAAGAATAACGCTAATTATGGAAACATTATAATGAAGATCTCATAATCTCTCATCACATAAAAAAATTATGAAGCTTCATAGTTAATTATTATTATTGAACAAATTCTGTTCCTCCAGGGCACGTTTCCTTTTCGGGGGTCGGCATGGCGACTTCAAGTTCCTCCCTCCGACAGGTTATGCTCCTTGTTATGAGGCACTGCTCCCAAAAGAGAAGATGAAAGTGGAGCCCGTGAAAGAGTACAAGAGAGACATGGAGGGAGTGAGGGACCTGCTGGGGACCACAGACTTTATGTCCCAGGCCTCGTTCATTCCCTCTCCTGTGGAAACCAGCCAGGTCATTTCCTCTCTTCTTGCATGTGGAAATCCTGAGTACCTCCGGTGTACTAACAGCGCACCTTTCCACTAGGTTGTCATGCCATTACACTTTGAGAAAGTCCGGGACAAGCTGGCTGAGAACATCCATGAGCTCTGGGGCATGAATAAGATTGAACTCGGATGGTCGTACGGGAAGGTAAGAAAAGTAGCCAACATGGAAAAATACAACACGTACTGTACATGTGACCCACACAGGCTACAAAGACACATCTTCACACAACTGGGCTTGAATTGAAAAAATATCAACGATGCTAGCAATGAGCCATTCCCAAACGCCTGTTCGTCATCTTGCTTTCTCTTTTATAATTTGCGGTTCACTTCAAACAGAGGGTAAGTGATAAGAAAACCAGTCCTTTTACGTATAAACTCTTCATACTCATTTTAGGATGTTAGTTCATTCAAATCCATTGTCTGTGTTTAGTAGTAGTATTAGAATAGTGTCTTTGGCGGAACATGACACTTTGACCGAGCGGCAGAAATGACACTGGGAATAATCCTCTGTCATCAAATGTAGAAAAAATATAGTATGTTTATAATTCAATTCAATCCTAAATTACAACAGCAGTCGTCTTGGCGGACTTTACAAAGTTGTAGATTCCACAAAAACAGATCATTGTTTGAACATCTATATTATTTTTGTTCTTGGTTGTGCCCACAAGGTAAGTACACGTGATTGAAAGAGTCCTGTTCTGCCTGACTGTGTTTAGAAGTGCACAATAAGCTCTTGAGAAGTTATTTGGGCATGAGGTGCTTTTTACCCAGAAGCACCTCACCTCATTATGTGAGTCACGCTTTAGATGTTTTGTACAGACAGTCACTCCTAGAGCAAACAGTCAACGTTTATTTTTTCCGGGTAATTTGTGTGATATTTTAAGTTCAGACGAGACCTGTCTGCACATTGTGTAACTATTTGTTTTATCAAAATGACTTGCATCTGTTCTCCTTCCACACAGGGTCATTAGTTATTACTATTATAAGACAAAGTATAGAGAGCCTGTTTGTGGGATATTGCCTTTAATGTATGTATTCACATTTCTTTCAATAGAGACAAACATGCAGAAATTAAAAAAAAATTGAAATCCCAAATAACCACGTCCAAGCAACTCATTGACCATTGGTCATTACAGCACTCAACAAAGCACAGTAGCTGGCTCTAGTGTTCAGCTAATGGGGACCAAATGGCTGATAAACTATTATTTAACAGTTCAGCCTCATGTACCGGTGTCTATACAAGTTTCGCACATTTTGTAATGTTACAACCACAAAATTAAAGATTGTATTTAGAATGTTTTACTGAAATACCTCAACAAATTAACACACAGCAGACATTAAAGATTTTATTTTGAATGTTTATCTGAAATACCACAACATATAAACAGACAACTGTGAAAGCAAACAAATTCATTGCTTTTTATTATTTTTTAAACTGACTTTGATTGAGTATGGCAAAGAAGTAGAGTCTGAACCAGAGTGTTAAAGGACCAGTGATGAGGTGAGGCCTCTCAGGTGCTGATGAGCCAGCCACGCCCCTGTCACACACAAGCCCTGAAAAAAAGAAAGGGAGTAGGGAGGCAGGGCAAAACAATACAGGAACCCAGCACTTGAGTTGTTATGCAAACCCCATTGGTCTGTGTATTTATTTATGTTTAATATAAAAGAACATGTATCCAAAAGCTTTCACTCCAAAACATCCTAAAGGAAATCTTGTGTCTGTTACGTGACAAAATGTGAAAATTTCAATCTGTATTGACCAAGGCACAGTACGTACAATTTGTCGAGTACAACAAAGAGCTCTTTGGCCCCACTCCCAAAGCTGCACCTAGCGCTGCATGTTTTCTTGGTAAACATCCACCATTACATCCCGCCTCCTGTGAGCAGCAATGCCAAAGGGAATATTTGGCATCAGTGCAGCCTCCAGAGACAGACATTGTAGCTCTCACTTGGTTTACCAGTCTAACACCTGCCGTCTCTCCCAAGAAAACATGACACACGCACTAACCCGCCCCGTCACAATGCTCTTTACGACGACTTCTCTGCTCCCCTCGGTGCAGAGAACGTCAATGGTTTAAGTGTGCAAACTTGTGTCCTGTTTGGTTTGCAGACATGAGCCGAGAAAAACTGTTCTCCTCTTTCCTCTAGATAAGAGATGATAACAAGCGCCAGCATCCGTGTTTGGTGGATTTTTCCAAACTCCCCGAAACGGAAAAGAACTACAATCTGCAAATGTCAACAGAAACACTCAAGTAGGTTCAAACATGTTATATTTTTCAGTCCAGACTTTTTTTATGTTATTTTTTTACAATTTTGTATCTTGAATTGATCAAATTGCAAATACAGCAATTACTTAAGTTATTTACTGGGTCGGTACGGTGGCTGAGTGGATAGCACTCTCAGCAAGAAGGTCCTGGGTTCAAATCCCGGTCGGACCAGGGCCTTTCTGAGTGGAGTTTGCATGTTCTCCCCTTGTCTGCGTAGGTTTCCTCCGGGTACTCCGGTTTCCCCTATCACTAAAAATATGTACAATAGGTCTGGCATGCGCCTCCTGTACTGGCGACCCCGCTCCCATCTCTGTGTGGAGAGAGAGGACAAATGCCCAAAAAAATAACAATTGTAAACCGCTTTGTGACTCTGGTCTGTGAAAGGCGGTATATAAATAAAGATTACTTACTTACTTACAAAAACATAAAATAGGGGCTAAAGAAAAACGTTTTCAATATTTCTCGTGGTCAATCTTTCATTTTGTTGTTACTGTGTGTTGTTTTTCTATATGAATGCTGTGACAAAAGATACAAAATTACTTAATTCAATTGTTAAGTAACAAATTGGTTAAACAGTGTTACTAATTTGAGTGTTGTTATTACTGTAAAACAAAATGACACTTTTAAAGATACAATATTCGCATCACAATCACAAAGTTTCTCATCATTATCGAAATTAGCTTTTTTTGCGATGACCTTGCAGCCCTATAATAACCACTGGGAACAGTCAGATTCAACAATGTGATTCTCTCTTTTGTTCTCTGGGACTTTTGAGGTGAGCGACTTGATTGAATGTCTTGGCAGAGCAGCTGAGGTCTAGTTCAAGTAGACCTTTCCCCGTGCCTCTGAGTTCTGCAGTGTAGCCGCTTCTGTTGACAGACTGACACTCTCTGATCCCTGTCCATTCATCAGGCCACAGCTCAGCATGCTTCTGCTAATTTCCTTCCCAAACAAACCTATTTCAAGTCTTGTTAAAGCTGTTTGCCATCAATAATTTGCTTTTGGATATAAGGCAAACACGGTCCTGAGAGATTTGACCACATTTCAAAACCCGGGATATATCAGCTGTTTCACATTTTTTATCATAATTGGGCATGCCAAGTCTATTTGAATAGCGCAAATTCATAAACATGGAATTTATGAGATTTACAAAACGATTAGAAAATGTTAGACTAATCATACAAACAAGCAAAAAAACATTCATATTCACTGTTTTTGTTAACTTTTAGGCGAAACATGGAGATCCCCATATTGTTACTGATCCCCATGTATTGACAGATTTAAGTATACTTTTAAATACATTTGTTGTTGTTTATTTAAATAACTGTCACATTATACTAGCGCTTATATGGTGTGATGTTGTATATGATGTTGCTGGAGTGTACATTGTGAGAAGAACACTGTAGATAAAGCATGCCAAATTGCACACAAAAACACAAATTTCAAGCAATTATGACCTAATTTTTTACCATTATCTGCCGTGTAGATAGACAGATAGATACTTTAGGTCTGTGCCTGTCCAAGTCAATCCTAGAATACCTGTATTAATGGATCCTACATGTAGTAATTTTACGTGTACCTGTCTGCCGCTTAGAAATCCAGTGGGAGCGCATGACCTTTTTCTCCTTGCATATCGGGACACGCTCTGTTTAAACTATTACCGCTTCACGGCCATTGCATTGTGTCTGCGTGGGAAAAAAAGTAAATTTACCGATCGTACCGCAGAATCCTTCATGTTCTATTGTATCCTCACAGGACGCTCATAGCTTTGGGCTGCCGAGTTTCCCACGTCAACCCCAACGCGGATGAATGTCTCAAAAAGATAAAACTACCAAAGAAGTAAGTTGTTGTACATTTTTAAATAGTGTAGGTTTTGGTTTTTTCTTACTTTTTTTGCGCCCTACCTGCATGTTAAAGCCAGATTACGTCAGACCTCTGAAACTAAGCAGGGCAGGGTCTGGTTAGTGCTGTGATGGGAGACCTCTGGGAACAGCAGGTGCCTCAGTGGGGCGGCTGTAAACTGCCAAGCTGCCCTAGTTTCCTTAAGCAAGACACTTTACCCACATTGCCTAGAATGAGTCTGGTGTGTGTGTTTGTGTGTGAATGGATTGTGTTGGAGTGATGGTTTTGAGGGGCCGATGACACATACTGGTTGCCTTGCTTCTGTCAGTGTGCCCCAGGGCAGCTGTGGCTACTGTAGAATAATAACATGTGAAGCATCTTTGAGTGTCCTGAAAAGCACTATATAAAACCAATGTATTATTATTATTATTATTATCATTTTTTCTTTTTTTCTGTTTATCTTTGTAGTTACATGATGTCGAATGGCTACAAACCGACTCCTTTAGATCTGGGGGACATTAAACTCACGCCGGGACAGGAGCTGCTGGTGGATAAACTGGCGGAAAACGCACACAATGTTTGGGCCAAGGACCGCATCAAACAGGGCTGGACCTACGGCATACAACAGGTAACTCACCGGGGAACTGCCATCTCTGCTGTTATTACTATTGTTTATTATGGTCATAATCTCTGCTGCTAACTGCTGTGTGTACTCCAAAAGTGACTTATCCTTGAACCATAAAGTGTAATCATATCGCCAGTATTATTTTGTTATGTTATTATTTTGTTCTCTACTATCTTAAATGATACGTCCTGTTTGATGCGCGCAACCAGAGTGCTCTTATTTTCTCCTTTTATTCTGCTCTAATTAAATTTCCCCGGATTATCTTATCTTGACTTCAGTGGGGTATTGGCCAGTATACTGTTGTGCTTGAAATTTCACACACCCAGACAGAAATATTTCAGCCACTATGAAGGATAAATTTTGAACTGATTTTCAGTCTGATTTTTAGTGTGTATGTGTGTGTGTCTCGTCATATACCAGGTTTTTTTTAAGCATTTCTTTCCTCCAGCCCCTTTTCACAACTGCCTGTTATTCTGGTCTGAAGCTAATAAGTGGTAATTGGTAAGAATCAAACTCCAAAAACTATCCTGGATTAAAGCAAAAAGTTCCAGGCAGAATCCATGTCAAATCCGTATGTTATTCTTCTTTTTCAGCTAATTGATGGACACATTGACACATTGTGAGTTAAAACTGGTCCTGATTCATTCCAGAATATTTGATTTGACCGGAAATAATACATATTTTATTTCTGATCTTTCACATTTGCAGGAGTTGGATGGGTATATTTTACTACTTGGCTGACAAAAATATTACATTGAGTAATAAGCCGAGGGGCCCTAGAAGGAGTGTGGACCGCTTTGGCAGCACTTTTGGTCTTTCAATCAATCTTTCATTCTTAACTTTAGCAATTGTTTTGTAAATACACTGGATCTATTAGACTTGTGCACCAGTCGGACCCGAGTGGAATTGAAGCCACAGACACAGAGCACAGTTGTTACCCAAGGCGGATTAACTCCATTTGCGATAGTGACGATTCCATTGCTACACAAACCCAACTGCTGTTTTCTGTGGGTCTGAGGTCGTCGTGTTTTGTCCTCTCTCTCTGCAGGACGTGAAGAACAAGAAAAACCCTCGGCTGGTTCCATACGTGCTGCTGGATGAGCGCACCAAGAAGTCGAACAGGGACAGCCTGCGGGAAGCCATCCGCACCCTGATTGGCTACGGTTATAATATTGAGCCCTCAGACCAGGAAGGCGGTGCGTTTAATGCATGGAAATTATGCCTATTAAGACTGTTTTCTAAATTAAATGAATAAAAAGCTTCCCCTGTAATTGGGGAAATTGATTTAGTGCGCTTTAATTTTCTTTGGATGATAATGGATTCTCTCTCTGAGTTTAAAGCAGAAAGAATTATTTTGTTTAGTGAATTATTTGGATCCTTATGCACTGGGCCTAATAGGCAGCTACATTTATTCCAGTTCTACATTGATATTACAAAAGGCAGGCGATAATTAAGAGAAACATTTTAAAGAGTACACAAAGTGATGAAAAATAAGTCCAAAATTGCTCAAATTTGGGAAAATGTCTTTTAATTTAAGCATATTCTAACTGCCTCAAAACAAGATATTCAAATGGGACAAGCTAAATTATCATGTTTGAAAAAGATGCAAAATATGTTTCTCTTGGAATGATAAAATAAAGCATCGGCTCTTGAAATAAGAAAAAATTGATTTGTCACATTGTCAAATCTTGTTTTAAGAATGTACTCAAATTGAGATGAAGAAAAAAATTTTATTTTTTTTTTGCATTTTGATCTTTGACTTACCCTCAGTGTCTTGGCTCTCCAGGACATGTGGTGGAGCGGCTCAGCATCGACAAGATCCGCTTCTTCAGAGTGGAGAGGACGTATGCGGTGAAATGGGGAAAGTGGTATTTTGAATTCGAGGCAGTGACGGGAGGCGACATGCGGGTGGGATGGGCCCGACCTGGATGTAAGCCAGACGTGGAACTTGGCACGGACAATCTGGCTTTTGTCTTTGACGGACACAGGGTAAGCACTGCCCATTACTTCTGACATGATGGTGGTATTTTGATGGATGCTGCTGTTGTATTCACTGTGATTTTAGTGTTCTGCTATGAAAATGACAGAGTGGTGTTTTCTGAATAGGGCCATTGTCTGAACATGGGCAGCCGTCTGTTTGGACGCTGCTGGCACGCTGGGGATGTAGTGGGCTGTATGATCAACATGGAAGATAAGTCCATGATCTTCACTTTGAACGGGGAGATTCTCATCACAACCAAAGGATCGGAGCTCTGCTTCACGGACTTTGAGACTGAAGACGGTGAGAATTTACAATCTGTATTATTGTGGGGAGTTTAGTAAGGGCTTTAGTCCAGGGTTACATGTTTTCTGTATTGTGTATTACCCACATTAACACAGACAGGTGCAGAACAGGACACAACATTAAATACATCAGAAATCAATTGAAAACTTAACACATTGTTCTTCATGTTGATGGTTTTCTCTGTAAATGTGGCAATGATTTAATGAACATTATCTGTGTGTGTTTTCTGTGTCGGCTGCTGATGAGAACTTGAATTTCTCCTTGTGGGATAAATAAAGTATTTATCATATATAATTATGGGGCATCTTATTCCCCAATAAAGGCCTTTGTATGCATATTTGAAGCATTACACAAGATGATTCCTTTTTGTTTTCATCTAACTGAAAGTCCCATTCAGGGCCAACAGTGGCTCACTGGTAGAGCATTGGTCTTTGAGCCTGAAGGTGGTGTCCACCTCAAGACCTTCTCCAACTACTCCCACTGATGTCTGCTGTCGTTGTGTCCTTGGACATGTCACTTAACCCCACTTTACCTGAACCCCCCACAGAAAGATTGTTGCAGACCAAGCAACCATCCTCCTGTGGACTCACCATAGGATTAAATGTTTTCAGATGGATTCTACCAAAAGTCCAAAAGAGTTTTTGGACATACACATCATTACAGATATATTGATTTTTTTTTAATCTCATACACAGAGATTAAACCTAAAACGACATGCTGTAAGCCAAATCCTTCTTAATTGAGTACATGTGTGAGATTTCTGAAAGTTTCTGTTTGTTCCCTTATCCTCCAGGATTCATCCCCGTCTGCAGCCTCGGCCTCTCCCAGGTGGGCCGCATGAACCTGGGGAAGGATGCCAGCACTTTCCGCTATTACACAGTTTGTGGCCTTCAGGAGGGATTCGAACCTTTTGCCGTCAATATGAACCGCGAGGTCACCATGTGGTTCAGCAAGCGCCTGCCCACTTTCTTCAATGTGCCAAAAGACCACAACCACATAGCGGTGAGAACAAGATCGATATTCAGAAGAGGGTTAGAGGCCTCAGTATACATCAGAAAAGAGGGTTAGAGGCCTCAGTATACATCAGAATGAGGGTTATCAGAATGAGGGTTAGAGGCCTCAGTATACATCAGAATGAGGGTTAGAGGCCTCAGTATACATCAGAATGAGGGTTAGAGGCCCTACATTGCAAAAAATTATGAAAAATAGGACCGATATTTCTCAAATTTGGCAAAATGTATGTTAATTTGAGCACATTTTGACTACCTTAAAACTAGATTTGCCAATAGGACAAATCAAAATGATGCAATAAATGACTTCCTTGGAATGAATAAAATAAAGCAACAATTCCAAAGACTTGATGGCTTTTTACCATCGCCAAATCTTTAGTTTATACTCGATGTAAGATAAAAAAAAAAACCTCTTGATTCCATATTTTATTACCTCAAATGTTATCATTTTTTGCAGTGTAGTATACTGTACATTCAGAAGGGTTATAGGCCTCAGTATACATGTGTGATAAAAATTAACATGTATTTCTTCACTTCTTTGGTTGTTTATGATTTTAATACCTTGTTTGATTTCAATGTTTCTTTTCTCGTTTTCTTTTGCACTTGTGTATGAACCGTGCTATTCAAAAAACTCGCCCTTTGCTGTTTCTCGTCCGGTGTATGTACCGTGTCGTTAAATGTGCCTCTGGTGCAGGTCACGAGGATTGATGGAACGGTGGACAGCCCTCCGTGCCTGAAAGTGACACACAACACGTTTGGGACCCAGAACAGCAACGCGGACATGGTGTTCTGTCGCCTGAGCATGCCGGTAGAATTCCACTCCACGTTTAAAAGCTGCCCCGTGGTCGACATGAACGGGATCCACGACGACGACATGCTCAAAGTCAAACCCAGGTCACACACTCTATACACAAGTTTGCATCTAACAAACCAGGCCGTAAAGCCGAAACCAGGGAATAGATAAATGCGCTGGAAAAAAATTTGAAAATTAGTAAAATACTGCTTAAAATAAGGTTTTTTTATCTGATTATATGACTTACAAGATTTTTGAAAACAAGAAATGTATACTAGCCCCAAATGACTTGATTCTGATGACATTCATAAACGTATATAAAAAATTGTACATTTCAAGCATTCTTTACTTAAACATTTTTTAGGAATCTCTTTTTTGAATATAGCATAACATACTTTTATATCTAAACAACAAGAAAAGTTGTCTAGAAATAAGAAAAAATATTTTAAACAAGCCTTAAAAACTCACTCCTCAGACTTTTTCTCTAACAAGATTACGAAGTATCTTAAAACTAGTTAAATAATCAAACTGAACTGAAGCAAAAAAAATAAGTATAATTTCTTTTGGTAAATAAATCTTACCAAGATTTTAGTTTATTCAGTGCAACCAAGATTCAAGGATCAACTTTATCCATTATCAAGATTAAGAGATCCTTTACTCGCCCCACTCTGGCAAAATTATTGAAATAGTTTTTCTCAAAGTTTTTATTTTAAGAAGTAAACTGTCCTGGTCATGACTAAATTCTTACTAATGTGCTCCGATACCTGCTTCTTGCAACGTATATTATTGCTTTGCTTGAAATGTTGCTCAGTTTGTTTAGAAATATGTACATACATCACTTATGGTGTAACCCAAGCTAAAACCTTTTGAAGTTAAGTTTGTGTAGTACTTGTCCTTTGATACCTTCATATACTTTTAGTGCATTATAAAAAAAAGTATTTTATGAGAACTGGTTTAATCTTTCCCATTCCATTTTATCGTCAGAACCTGGGGACGCATGTGTGTATAAAACTCTTTACCATTAAAAATAAAACAAAGCCACTTTTGAAGCTGGGGTACTGGACTTTATTGTTTCATAAACAACACTTTCAGTTTGTCCTAACAGAAAGAGTCTTTTCAACGAACAAAGACCACAATATCACCGTGTGTGGAGAGAATGGAAAACCCTCTGAACTCTGAACATTTGTGAAGTGCTCTGGGTGACCTTGGTCTGTAAAATGCGCTATATAAAAATAAACAAAAAATATGCATATGAAAGCCCTGTGAGTCACTATTTGTCTGAGATCTGATTGAGAGAGAGTGATTCTCTCTTTTTCACTTTTCTATCTGAAAAGTCTGAGTTAAAGTAGCAATATGTAAGATATTCATGTCAAGTCATCATAAAAAGGCCCAAATCTGTCAAAAGGCATTAATAAAACATGCTCTTTTCCAATACTGATAACCGAGATATTTGGATATCAAGATCAGTTTTACAGCCCCTAAATCTTGTTATTGTTTTCATTTCGATGCCCCACCCTCCACTGTTTCAACAATCAGAAAGTGAGTGATCCAGGTTGCCAGAACTCACCACGTTGAGCTAATCTCACTGGTAAAGTAACATGTGGTCGCAGGAATAAAAAAGGTCTCGTTATGATTCTCAAATCATTCATGATAAAACTAGGATTTCTATCGTTGTGAAAAAGTTGTTAGTTATAGATTTGTTGTTTAAAACTCTTTATTCAGATATTATGGTCCCAGCTGGATTCGTCTGCATATCTGGCAACCTGAGTCAGGGAGAGTGCAGTACCACTTTTGACCAGACTTTTACATACTGCTCCTTTTAAGATGTGACAGAGACCATGCATATGAAAATTATTGATTGGACCAAACTGTTTTGAGATGGAGGAACTTGTTTTATGACGTTTGAAAGCCAGATACCCCAGCTTTAATGCATCTAAATGACAAATCCATGATTATAGCCTCTTTTTATTCTCCCGTGATAGATATCCTCTTAGATCCGTGAGGCATAGTGACGAGAGCAGACGAGTGGACTACAGCTCCATCACCACGGTATAATTCACCACTTTCACCGCATATTTTCATCATTTTATGTGCTTCCATTTTCTTTTACATTCACTGCGGCTTCATGTCATTCCAGTATTACCACCGCGTGCGGGTGTTTGCTGGCCAGGACCCCTCGTGTGTGTGGGTGGGATGGGTGACGCCGGACTACCATTACTACAGCAATAACTTCAACCTCAGCAAAAACCGCACAGTGACCGTCACGTTGGGGGACGAGCGAGGTCGAGTGCACGAGAGGTACTGTAAAGGTGGTTCCACGTGGGAGCCATGCATATTTCATGATTGCAGTTAGACTCTATCTGGTCTCTCTCTGGTCTCTTTCTGGTCTCTTTCTTATCTTTCTCTGGTCTCTCTCTGTCTGGTCTCTCGCTGGTCTCATTCTAGTCTCTCTCTGGTTTCTCTATTGTCTTTTTCTGGTCTCTCTCTGGTCTCTTTCTGGTCTCTTTATTATCTTTCTCTGGTCTCTCTCTCTCTCTGATCTCTCTCTCTCTCTGGTCTCTCTCTGGTCTCTCTCTCTTGTCGCTCTCTTGTCGCTCTCTTGTCGCTTTCTGGTCTCTCTCTGATCACTTTCTGTGATCACTTTCTCTCTCTGATCACTTTTGTGGTGTCTCTCATATATTTTGCTGGTCTCTCTCTCTGGTCTCTGGCTTGTTTCTTTCTAGTCTCTCTGGTCTCTCGCTTGAGGCCCTCTGGTCGCTCTCTGGTCGCTCTCTGGTCTCTCTCTTGAGGCCCTCTGGTCGCTCTCTGGTCGCTCTCTTGTCTTTCTGTAGTCTCTCTCTGGTCTCTCTCTGGTCTCTTTCTAGTCTCTTTCTAGTCTCCCGCTGGTCTCACTCTCGCTCTGGCCTATCTCACGTCTTTCTCTTGTCCCTGGCATCTCTCTTGTTTCTGGTCTGTCTTTGTCTGGTTCATCTCTGGTCTCTGGTTTCTCTCTGGTCTCTCGTCTGACCCAAATCCAAACCAGAACCGTATATATATATATTCCTGTCTGCCCTGACAGTGTGAGGAGGAGTAACTGCTACATGGTGTGGGGAGGAGACGTCCCTAGCGCTGCCCACTCCACCGGCCGCACCAACGTGGACATGGAGGTGGGCTGCCTCATTGACATGGCCACAGGCGTGCTGTCGTTCACTGCAAATGGCAAGGAGATATCTACGTCCTATCAGGTATGCTCGAAATCATAGATGCAAAAGTCATCACTCACTGCCGGCGAAACGGCGAGTTTGGAGGCTTGAGTCTTTTGGCAACAATCTTATGCATCATATGTGTTGTTTGTGTTGTTCAAGGCAACTGATGGGAAACAGACATTCTCTTTGTGGGATTAATAAATTGTTCTTTCTATCAGACATCCATTACTTTATACTTCCTTTTGTAAGATTTTTTAGATGACCAAAAGTTTTAAAGTACTGTTGATTTCTGAACTCATCATCAGCACAGATACACACGCACACATGCACACACATACACATACAAGATAAATAGCTTTATATGCGTATTTAGCTTTATATGGCACATACTGTATATAAGCTACTTCTTTAGCTACGCAGGCAGCTGTGGCTGTAGTTGCTGGCCCAGTATGACATGGATTTTTCTGCTTGTTGAGCACAAGGGAAATGTAAGATGTTGTCAAGATTGTCATCTGTGGTGAAACTCACCATTTAAAACACTATAATGGACTTGTATCACTGACTCAGAAGGAGAACCTCTGCGACTGCATGGACCCTGAGACATGTTGTGTTGACAGAGCACACGCAGCTGGGGCTTCAAAATGGGGCATTTTGAAGTCACTTTCTGCAAGACTTCTCAAACACACTTTCTGTTTATTCCAGGTTGAACCAAACACCAAGCTGTTCCCTGCAGTGTTTGTCCGACCCACAAGCCCTAATCTCTTTCAGTTTGAACTCGCTAAAATAAAGGTAATGAAACCATCTCCTCCAATTGATTTCACAGCTCAGTTAAAAAACTTAAAGCTACTAAAAGTCATATTTGTTGTTCCAGAATGCCATGCCACTATCGTCGGCCATATTTAAAAGTGAGCACAAAAACCCAGTGCCCCAGTGTCCCCCGCGTTTAGACGTGCAGACCATCAAAGCCGTGCTGTGGAGCCGGATGCCCAACATTTTCCTCAAAGTGGAGACGTCGCGGGTGAACGAGAGGCACGGCTGGGTGGTCCAGTGCATGGAGCCACTGCAGATGCTGGCTGTGCACATACCAGAGGAGAACAGGTACCATTATTTTAGATATAGGCCATATATATTGGGGGTGTCATGGTAACCGGTGTCAGTGATTACCCAACTGTAGGAAGTAACTGTAACTGTTTCAACTAGAAAAAGTCTAGGCTGAAGGTGTTTTCCTGAGTACCTATATCCAGATTATTATATTTTCACAATATTATCTTATTATTATTATTATTATTATTATTTTCAGATTGTTACTTTAATGTTATCTTTTATTGTGGAATACTATGCAAGCTACTGTGACAATGCAATTTATCTTGTGAATCAATAAAGTCTAAGTCAACCCCCTCATCACATACATTATGCTCCGAAATGTGTGTCATAGAGTCAACGGAACAGGGTGCACGTGTTCGGGAGACCGAGGGCCGGTGCTGGCTTCACGCGGCGGCACAAAGACAGCCGCTGTGGCCAGATATTCAGGCCTAAATCTTAGGCCTATAAATGAAAAATTTACTCATGTTTTCCCAAAAAAAAAAGCCAAATACCAAATTCAACATGAGACCAAGGAGCCAATTCAGGGAGACCAAGCATTGCATCCTTTGATAAACCCATGGACTGTGAAGGAGTGCTCAAAGCTAAGTAGCATAGGCAATACATTGAACAAAAACATTTATTTCTCAGTTCCTGAGCTTCCAGTATTTTGGGGTTCACTCAGGGTTTTTAGTTTCATTTCCAAAAAAAATGTGGCACAGACAACATCAAGGAAGCAGGATGTGTACAAACAACAGGTACGGGAGAAAGTGAATGATTTAAGCTGCTGGAGGAAGTTCGGCACACCAGGATCTGTCTCCAAGCTAAATATTACACAACCATCCATTCTGCAACTTGTTTAAAAAATGCATTAAAAAAAGTGAAGTTGAACCAAACTGTGTTAAAAGTGGTGGCGCAATGTGTAATTTAACCCTAAGCTGTAATGTAATTTAGACTGTTGATCTGCTATGCAATTGTTAAACTTTGATATCCTTGATATTAAATTTTCCTTAATAAATCAAAATAATTAATTTGGGGGAAAAATCAAGCAATTCCAACAGCCTCTGGCACTTCATAGACTTCATAGACAATATTTATTGATCCACAAGGGGAATTAATTGGACACTGCAGCTCACACATTGCAATATAATAATGTCAAACACAAGAAATATTTAAGATGAAGGTCAAGTTCAACAAAACATAATAGGTGTAGAATTTGGAAATGTGGGGGAATTTTCAATCAGGAGATTTAAAGATTTTATCATTTGAACCTATTTCATATATTTCACTTTAGCCTAAACACTTTTTTGTATTTTATCCACTCTCACAATCTCCATATTTATTTCCAGGTGTGTAGATATCATGGAGTTGTCGGAGCAGGAGGATTTGAGGAAGTTCCACTACCACACGCTGAAGCTGTACTCTGCTCTGTGCGCTCTTGGGAACCTGCGAGTGGCCCACGTCCTCTGCAGCCACCTGGACCAGTCTCAGCTCATGTACGCCATCGACAACCAGTACCTGCCGGGCATGCTCCGCGAGGGCTTCTACAACGTCCTGATCAGCATTCACCTGGAGACCGCCAAGGGAGCGCGGCTCAAGATGAAGGATGAGTTTATCATTCCTGTGACGTCCGAAACTCGCTCCATACGCCTCTTTTCAGATTCTGCCAAAAAACACCTTCCTCCCGGAGTCGGTCTCAGCACGTCCCTTAAACCACGCCTCCATTTTACTCCTCCCTGTTTTATCAGCAACAAGAGGGATTATGTCTACAGCCCCCAAATCCCACTGGACGCTCTGAAGACCAAGGCCATCTCGATGCTGACGGAGGCGGTTCAAGGCGGAGGACATTACATCCGGGACCCTGTGGGCGGGTCTGTGGAGTACCAGTTTGTGCCCATCCTGAAGCTCATCAGCACTCTGCTCACTATGGGGGTGCTGGCTAGTGAAGATGTCTATAAGGTCCTACTGCTCATCAACCCCAATGTTTTTCGAGACGCACGTGTGAAAGGGACCACAGGGGCCACCGACAAGGAAGGTCTGACCGGATCAGAGGACAAGGCTGTGGAGGCGGGGGAGGTGGAAGTAGCCAAAGAGGCCAAGCAGCCCATAAAAGGTCTGCTGGAGAAGAGGCTTCCAGAGCCAGTCAAGAGACAGGTACACTTACATCCCCCATAGCTATTTATGAAATATCCAGCTCCACCCTCAGTCTTCTTGTGCCCCACAGCCCCATTGCGATTTTATGTATTCCTTTGAGCAAAAATGACCATGCGTTTCGATTGAATCCTCCGCATACCACAGATTAAGAAAATAAAATTTCAAAGTGAGGCAAGGGTGGTGGTCAGAAGACAGTGGGGAGAGCGATGATGGAGCGCATATTAGAAGACATAAATAACTAAATTTCATGAGTCATGCTAAAACCAGCTTTGTGTGTAAAAGACAAGAGAAAACGACTATTACATGGCCAAAAGCTGGGTAAAGTCATTTTTACGCTATGTCCCCTTTGAGCAAAACTCCCCTGGATCACAGCAGATGGACGTGTAGCTCTCAGATTTGAGTTATTCTACTATACATTGTACATTCATCTGAACGGGCCCTGGGGTGGAGAGAGAAAAGGTGATTGTACAAAGATGCTTCACAATTGACTTTTCCCAAATGATGATGCTGCTCTTTGATCGTTGATTGAACCCAGTGGTTTGGATTTGATGAAGCTGATTCATAATGTATTTTTAGTTTAATCAATAATTAAATATTTGAGGGACTTGTGGATTTCCGAAAAGCACAACAGACAAACCAACTGTGTTCTCAATATCACAAGCATGTTTTCTAGATGTTATCCATGGGGAATAGTTTTTAAATCCATGCATAAAATTGGATGCATTTTCCCCTGAACAATGACTGCTTGGTATTAATGATGCTGTATGATTTCATGTTTTAGACCATCCAGTATTCTAATAGAGCCATTCCAAAGTTAGTCACACGTGAAATGGCTCCTGCTAAGTGGTGTCTTGAGTTTTCCTGCCACTTCACTAAATGAGATATTGAGATATTCCAGTTTTCTCCTGTGTCTGAGTGACGAAATATGAATTCTCCACAGATGTGCGACCTGCTCCACTACTTCTGCGACTGTGAGCTGAAACACCGCATCGAGGCCATCGTGTCCTTCTCCGACAGCTTTGTGTCCAAGCTCCAGTTCAACCAGAAGTTTCGCTACAACGAGCTCATGCAGGCGCTCAACATGTCCGCCGCCGTCACCGCCAAAAAGACCAAAGAGTTCCGCTCCCCTCCGCAAGAACAGGTGAGGTTTTCCAAACAGAGCAAAACCACTTTCATTACATTCTTAGTTTTCCACACAGCCATTGAACTTATATACATTTTGACTTATTTTGTTTTATTTGCTCTTGGTTTCAGACACTCCTTCAACTATAATGTAATGTTCAATTCAAAGTGATAGAAGCAAAAACATGACACCCTTAATGTTCATTTCCTGTTGTACTGCTCAGGAAAGCTTACTGTAGTTCTTGCCTCTCAAAATGGTTCTATTACTATCTTTCACATTCATGTATGTAATTTGTTGGTACCCAGGTACTATGCCAGAGTTGTCAACAAATCTATTTTGGAATAGAAAACATACTAAAACCATGTGCAATAGCTCCCCTCTCTCTGGCTCGAGGACTACCCTGACAAAGAGATCTCAGTGGGACTTTCCTTGTCAACGAAAAGTCAATAATTTCATACATAAATAGTGCCAACCGATGCAAATCAGTTGCCAATATATTGGTCAATTCAACTAATATGGGCTTAACCAATTAGACAAAGAACATGTATTGATAATTAAAACAAGACAGTTAGATATCCAGCTTCAAATATGCATGATGGATGATATGGCTGAGCTTTTGTCACACCCTGCAGCTGATGTGATTTTAATAACTGACTCTGTTTGCCCCACACTACCACAACAAACAAGTCTCTGCTCGTGTGACTGTAGCAACCATGGTGTCTGCTCGCTGACGTCACTGACTCTCCCGTGGTTTAAAGGTGGAAATGGCCACTAAAGGTGACAAGCCAAAAATAGAGCTTGTGTTACAAATGATTGTTTCCAGTGAGAGTCTAGAATCATGAAAGTGCAGCCACTGACCAGAGATCAGCCCCAGGCACCTCCGACAAACACTGCACATAACAAGATGATGCAGATGATGTGTTTACATAACTACATTTTTTAAACATGGTTGCACTCCGTTTCCCAACCACTGGAAGAAGCTACTTATGGACAAAACAATCCATGTAGTTTTATTTGGGCTGAACAATTTAAGACGTTTTCACAATTTTTCATTTGCTTGTGATTATTGGTTGTTTGAATTGGGATTATTTTCAAAGTGCACTGGGAAATTCTAGGGAAAAGATATGGCTGGACAAGCCTGGCCTTAGCCATCCGTAACCTCCGCTCATTCATAATTTCCCTGCATGTAACGTCTGGGTCTGGTCCCTGGGTTAGCGATTATAATCGGTTGAATTCCATCCGACCAATCAGGGAGCGCGGGAGACAGGTGTTAGTAGTTAGTTGTGTGTGACGTCAAGAGTTTGCGCCGAACGGGCAGGTTGTAGTTTGGCAATGGCGAAGAATGTGATAGTAAAGAGAAATGTTTAGCAAATGTTACTGCTGACAAAGATTGTGGCGTAACTCCCCACGGCCTCCGTTAGCGGCAAAGGAGATGGTTAGGCTAAATGCTAACGACTCACTCTGCCGCATTACATACGTCATGGTAAACTCAGATCCAATCGTTTCAATCTGCAAAAGGAGTTAACCCCTCCCACCTGTTCACGGAGCTCAATGGAGCACCTCCAGACCTTAGTACGAAATGTAATTTGTACTGTGGTGTGGTACGACCAGGCTATGGCTGGACTGGACTGTGTTCAAAGGAGGCCTCTTTCGGGGGTCTGGGCTGAAAACTATTTCCAATTCTTTATTCTTGGGCCGCAGCATACAGTATATCAGACAAAAAAAAAATATTGTTCTTGCGATAATGACAATGTTAGATCCAGGTGATGATGAGAGCAGAGAAAAACACTTTAAAGACAACAGAAACGGCTTGAAAATCAATTTATCCCGTAACGCAAAGAAAGTTCATTACATTTGGGAAACTTTTTCCTTTGTTTTATGATTATTTATTTGGGGTAGGGAAAGACATTATTGAAATATACTGTATATTGTTGTCGCAGTCCTTGACACCACTGTTGCATTTCCCACTTCATACATGTCTTCAATATTATGTTTTGTAGATCAACATGCTGCTCACATTCAGCACAGGAGAGGACTGTCCGTGCCCCGGGGATATTCAGGTGGAGCTCTGCGACTTCCATGGCCAGCTGCAGCTTCACTGTGGTGAGACCAACACTGTAGCAACCCTTTATGCTTGAAAGACTTACATCATATTACTGTACTGTATTTCACCTTGACAAATTAGCCATATTTTTCATTCCTATGCTCTCAGCAGAGGTGGCTGAGTGGCACTTCGATTGCTCCAACATCTTGATGTTTTGATAAATTATTGAGCTACCCGGCCCCCTGTGGCTGCAGCGATCCTAATGGCATTCGCTCTCCTCTGCGTCAAGCACAAGTGTCATTGCACCTGCCGCACACACACTCAGCTCGCAGGGAGAACAGATCCGTGTCATTAGAATAATAACAGTATAAAAGTGCCACATATCACGCCATGACATGACAGTGCACACGGCCATTAGGGAAAGGGCCACTTTACATCATTTCGATTGTGTAGGAATCCCTATGGAGGAGGACGAAGACGAGCAAGCCACATCCATCAGGGGCCGACTGCTGATGCTGGTGAACAAGATCAAAGGGCAGGCTACAAAAGCAGAAGATCCAACCAAGAAGGAGCAGGCCGCCCCATGTGAGTACATACATACTTTATTATGTGATCAGGATGACATGTCCTTCTCATGGCTCAATTTTATGTAACATGAGCAGAGAAAACAGTAACTTGGTCAGTTCCATGAAAAAAAGTTTGTATATGGTACATGGAAATCAGAATTTTTAAATAGATTGATTTCATGTGACAGTACAACATTTTAAAGAACATTTAGATTAACAGTGCGGTGGAGGGAAGTTGAAAATGTTTTTGTGATAACTTTGATAACTGCAAAAAGTATGATTTCTAGTCATAGTTTATCGCTTTTTTTTGCTTTTCTCCTCCTTGTTCCATGTCTTCTTCAACACTGGCCTTGTGTATGAATTGCCTTGCCTTGCCTTTGTCATGACAACCCAATCCAACTAAAGTGGTGACAATAATGGCATGGTGTTGTCCAGTAGAAAATACTTTTAGACATAAGTTTGTGTAAGCCCTCAGTCGTATAGGGATTAGTCAAAGCAAAGGAAGGTTTCTCACCCATCATCTGTACTTCTTAGCAAGTTTTCCCGACGTTTCGTCCTCAACCTGGGGACTTCTTCAGGGAATGAATTCTCGGACCGCGCGTTGGAGATTTATAACCTATGGGTGTGGTAAGCCACACCCTAATCCTGATACTAACTCGTAAACAATCTCAGGTCTGCTTGATGTAGAAGGGACCCTGCTGAGGCTAACGACCCTAACTCCTTAGCATGTCACAGACCTATTGTCTGCTGGGATGCTCAAGTGGAGTGCAGGTCTCACCCTTCCTAACTCATTAGCATGTCACTGACCTTGTCCCAAGTTAGGGCGTTGTTTTTAGGATGTCGTCATAGATGCGAGGCAAAACAAATCTTAACCCTCCTCCTCTGTTAAGAGAAGGTTTTTGTTTCCTCACAAAAATGGCTTCTTTCACCCCTCTCTCAAACCAATTCTTCTCCCGAGCCAGAATTTTAACCTCTGTGTCATCCACCGTGTGGTTGGAGGCCTTGAGGTGGAGATGAACAGCCGACTGTGGCCCACTAGAGTTTTCTCTACGATGTTGGTAAAGTCGTTTCTGTAGAGTTTGTTTGGTTTCTCCAATATAGTGGTCAGTGCACTCCTCTTCACTACATTTAATTGAATACACCACATTGCTCTGTTTGTGTCTGGGTGTTTTGTCTTTGGGATGCACTAATTTCTGTCTTAACGTGTTGAAAGGTTTGAAATACACAGGGATTTTGTGTTGCCTAAAAATTCTTTGTAGTTTCTCTGAAACTCCCGCCACATACGGTAAGGACACCCCTCTCCTCCTACTTTCTTCTGTCTGTTGGACTGTGTTTTAGACATAAGAATAACATGTACTTGCACATTGAGTTACCTTATGTATGAACTGTGCTACACAAATAAACTAGCATTGCTTTGCCGAATATGGCGGGTTTGTGTCTTTGAAAAAAATTGTTTGTACTAGCACTCCAACTGAAAGAAGTCCAGAACATGAATGCAACCTTTTGTGGAGAGTAGTACTGAAAGTCTAAATGGAAATAGTGGAATACTTAGCCCCTCAGCGTCCAGAGTATTGTGAGGTGATTACTTTTTTTGTGGTAGAGTTGTTCAGAAAAAAAGGGCCATACGTCCGGAGCCCAGAGAGGCAGGTTGAGGCAGACTTTCCAGGCTGGCAGCAGTCAGCAGTATTATCCTTGGGAAATGTAAAAAAATGCCCACGCTATTGACAGACTGTTCCTCACCTTCTCTATTGAGCTGCTTCCCTTCAGTTTATTTACATCCAAACCCAGTGGTCCATCATTGATTTCCCGCCACAATCATCTTTGCTCACTCACGATCCCTTTCAAGTATTGTGTTAGTGCTTTCCGTGGGTGGTAAAAATGGAAACCGGGTGCTCCTCCAATTTTCTTCTAGCACCCTCAGTCCTGCCTTTTGTTTGTCTGTTGGCGTCAGGTGGGCTGTGTCACTGCTTGTTGCTCATTTACATTTAAATATGTATTCAATTTTATTATGCTAATATAGAGCTGTTGGGAGTTTTGCCACAGAGGAAAGCAGCTCTCTCCAGCAGACAAGATGGGAAGGATGAGAGGGAGTGCGTGTAGTGGCAGAGAATCAAAAGGATTTCTCTTTCAGCCTGTGTAGTTTGTATGAAAGACTCAAAACAAAAGACTTTTTTACACTCATGGTTTCAGGATTCAGCAAAGCAGATCAGGCCAGAGACCATAGTCAAAAATAAAGACTTCCCGTGTTTGTTTTTATAAGTATTAGAAAAGGCCTTTTTCATGCTAAGCCTTGCCCCCAGTGACTTTTATTCATAGATACACTATATAGATATTTCTTTTAAATAATAATCATAATTATATATATATATTTTTTTTTACTTAAACACATAGATATGTATTTTTGGATTTTTTTCAATATTTTTGCAATAATAACAATTGACAATTCATCTCCAATAAATTCAATATAAATGCATTGATTTTACAGGACCGTATCATGTTTTTTTGAAGAAAATATTGTATTTTTTTGAAATGAAGATATGAATTGTATCGTTAGTCTCTGAAAGATACCCACCCAGAGTGTCTCTGTTGTTTATATGAATATGTTATCAAAAATGATTACGTCACAGTTTACTTGATTTCATACCTTTCTCATCATTACAACACTTTTGGGACCTATGTTTTCTCAACCCATTACTTAAATCCAGCCCTCTGTGTTGGTTCATGTGGCCTCTGCCAGGCTACACACAGTGACATCCAGCCAACAGCTCTGCCATACTTGTTATAACCCAATGTAAAACTCCCTATGTATCTGGTGGGAAGTATACATGTATCATCCAGCCAACTACAGCTCTGTCAAATGTAAATCGACATGGGCCTGATGTTGTACCTAATTTTAAAGCTCAACTTGAATCCAGTCACAACCGTTTCCCAAACCGGGTCACCAGCCTGTGGAGCAGCTGGTCCAAATGTAAATACAACAAAGAAATATCACAAGATTGTATTCCACTTGTGCGTACAATCTAGTGACAGACAGCAGAGATGGACACACTACAGCCACTTACAATAATTTGAAATCCCAGTATTCTATAGTAACTCCACACATCCATCACCCTGGATTGACGACTTGATGTCAGTAAAATGGAAAACCCCACATAAACAAAAAACTGCAAAATCAAACCAACTGACATGGGCTTTAAAAACACAATTAACTAATTACGCTTCTTTTAAGGAAATTAATTGTACGTGCGGCTGCTGTTTTTATTATTCTTGGTTGCCTGTGATATATCTCCTACACTCGAGTATGTGGTGGCAGTGATTGATCTACTTTTAACAGCGCCTCAGGGAAACCCACATATGAGCAGTGCATTCAGCCGCGTAACATAAAGCACTATTATTATCTCAGTCCTAGTTTACTACTTTATGTAAGAAGGACGTCAAAGCTTACTGCATTTCCACTGATAAAGGTTAACCTGAACTGGAGATGAGGAAAGTGTTGCACAACTACCGGTATATTGCAAAGCTTTTTTTTTTTTTTCTGATGAGTAAATTACATAAGATACTGTAGTTGTTTAGAGACAATATTATGCTCCATGAAAATGCAGTGTTTGTGATTTGCTCGTTGCATTTGTCTAAATAGGGCCATTATTGAAGTACACCTAGAATTGTCTTGTAATATATCATCCTTTTGAACAGCTCAAAACATTTCTCATGCTTGTGTGGAGCCAATCAGCTTTCAGTCCAAGGCTGTTCTGGGGTTCAAACTCATTGTGTTATTTATGAATAAGATAAGTACCCCAGCTTTAAGCAAATGGATGAATGTCCCGCAGCATCCCCTGTCCTTGTGTCTTCCATTTTCGGCAGAGAAAAAACTCCAATCTAATTGGGAAAAAGAGAATTCTCAGTAAAAGTAGTTGAGAGAATGTTTAAATCAAAAGAATACAAAAGTTTCTAAGCAAGTAATCTTTATTTATATAGTGCATTTTTGTAGACCAAGGTTACCCAAAGCGAGTCATGCTTAAAGGAAATTAAATATTAATCGTCCTACAAAATACTTGCATGCAACAATTACACAAGTTACAAGCAAAGTGGGCTTTGAGTTAAATGATTTTGGACTTTCAAACTGAACGTACTTATTCGACCCAACATAAAACTCACACAACATAACAAGCTGTTACATAATGCACATAATGCACAAGTGTGCTTAAAAGTCCGGGATCATTACGTATCGATGCTAATAGATTGGTGAAAATGACGAGAACAGACAAACACGTTACTGATTTTTACATTTTGAACTGCATCGTGACGAATTGCTGTCGTTGTTTTTTCAATAGGTTTAAACTTTCCTATTTATTTTCCTTGATGGCTAATTATGGCCAATATTTTAAAAAAAAATTGACATCTTTGTCTCGCTCTGAGTGTTTACCATAATTAAAAACTGCAGCAAAACTTTCCCATCACTCTTAAGTAATGCTGCGCTCTCGGTCGCAGTGTTGGATCTGACTGTATAGAAGTTAAAACTCGCCATCTAACATGGCGGCGTAGTAACGGAGCTATGTAAGTCACGTGGTGGTGCAAAACTTATCAAAGTTACTGCTGTTTTAACACAAGGGTTTACACCACAGGGCAATACACCTGTACACTGATTTGTATACTATTTATTTATTTATTTTCCTTTACAGCAAACTTGAAGGAGCTGATCTCCCAGACCATGGTGAGCTGGACGCAGGAGTGCCACATCCAGGACCCCAAACTGGTGCGAATGATGTTCAGTCTGCTGAGGAGACAGTACGACAGCATCGGAGAGCTGCAGAGAGCCATGAGGAAAACCTACACCATCAGTGGGGCCTCCGTGCAGGACACCATCCACCTGCTGGCCTCGCTGGGACAGATCCGCTCTCTGCTGTCTGTGCGCATGGGGAAAGAGGAGGAGAAGCTCATGATCAATGGACTCAGGTAGACCACTATTATTATTATTTTTATTATTATCATGGTGTGTATCATGGGGGTTCAGTGCTGTATAAGATCTAACAAAACACTCTCAGTTCCATCTGATTAGATAAAGATTTGATGATGAGAAAAGTTGCTTTGAAATGAAGAGAACGGTTTTGAAATTCATCTTGTTTTCTTTGTACCACATTGATTGCTCTTTTCTTTTTATTTATTTATCTCAGAGTGTGACAGAAATAGACAGTTGGAAATGACACTTATTTGGTTCCAAGGCAAAACACATGCACACACACACACACACACACACACATAAGCAGACGAGAGACACAGCCCAAAACACTCTCTGACTCTACATCCCTCTGGTGGAAAGAGCTACAGCAAATAACAAATACATTCTTGAATATTGAACTTTGAATCTTCTCAGTCACTCTCCTCACTCTTCTCCTGTATAGTTTAAAAAACATGTTTTGAATTTAGACGCATATATTTTTTGGTTGTTTTGTTATTTATTTAGATCCCCGATTAGCTATTGAAACATACTGTAGCTATTCTTCCTGGGGTCTATGTACTCATCAAAGTCAGGTTTATGATAAAATGAACCAAAAATAATGCTATGCCAAAAATACCATATACATTTGTTTCCTCTGTAATCACGGTAAGCATCTCTCTCATGGAATAAGTTTTGTACATTAGGTTCTGAAAGTTTTCCAATTTCCAGAACCCTGAAGAATATTTGAGCAGTTTAAAAGTTCATAAAATCCTGCAGTTTATGTTCTCCCAAATCTATGAACAGTGGATTAGAATGATTCATCTATGGCCGATGACAGAACATATTTGCTTTTCAGTGACATCATGAATAACAAGGTGTTCTACCAACATCCAAACCTGATGAGAATCCTGGGAATGCACGAGACCGTCATGGAGGTCATGGTCAATGTACTGGGAGGAGACAAATCACAGGTTTCATTCTTTTTTCATTGTTTTACCCAAAACCTCAATTAAAAAAATACTGACAAAATTACGTGTAACAATATGTGAGCCTGGCCACATTCTCAAAGCATTCTGGTAATTTAAGTCAGCTGCAAAGTGGGAGGAGCTCAAGTGAATTCCCTTTTCAACATCCCTAAAGAAGTTTCAAAAAGAGATTTGATGTTTAAATAAACAAAGGCAAACTAGCTACCTGCTAAGTGCAAACTCAGTTTTTAATGTTTTATAAATGTATGTTATATATTGATATAGATCTACGGGTATTACTCATCAGATAGCGGATCACACCTGAATACATTTTCAATCCCACCATTTTGAGTTGATAAATTGTGAATTAAATTGTAAATAATATTGTCAATAAAGTAAATATATTGGCTAATGGCAAAAATATGATGATGCAACAATTTCTGCTCAAATTAATTAATGCATTAATACATTAATTTAGTTATTTTTATAAACCTCAAGCTCCAGTCACTTCACAGCTCTTTAAAGTGCTCTCCTATACATGGCGTACAGTACCTGTGGTGGTCATTTGTTAGTATTGAGCACTAACGATGCCCTGGTCTCTTCATTATGGTAATTGGAGGCTTGTTTTACAGCGGCCCCAAAAAGACCAGATTTTGGCTGTTTGTCTGCATTTTGTAGTTTAGACAGTTTGTGATGTTTAATTCATTTTTTTTCCCACCCCACAGGAAATCGCTTTCCCCAAGATGGTCGCAAGCTGCTGCCGCTTCCTCTGCTACTTCTGTCGCATTAGTCGGCAAAACCAGAAAGCTATGTTCGATCACCTCAGCTATTTGTTGGAAAATAGCAGTGTTGGCCTTGGTAAAGCCCATTTTTCTACCAAACATAAAGACTTAAGGAGACTTATTATCAAAAACAGACCTGGATTTGTTTTTAAATCCAGCCATGCTGATCAGGAACATCTGGCAGAAATACATGTATATAACTCCACCTCTTCCATGCTGCCTTCATACAAACATCTGACTTCTCACTCAGTGAATTCAACTCGGGCTGAAACTCTGGCTGGATCAATGGTCCCCAAGTTTCAGAATCTGTATTACTGTGACTCGGGTCAGAATGTGATTAGATGAAAGAATAGAGAGGGAATATGACACTAGTGGTAATAGTAAGACAGCCAAATCATTAAGAACAAATAAATAAGTTATAACGAATAGAGAGAGATAACAATAAAACAATGATAAAAAGTGGGCAAAGATAACACACCACAGAATGTGCAGTTTGTTCCAAATCCTTGGTCTATCCAAAGAGAAGGCCCTGTGTCGAGCTTAAGTCTTATCTTAGGCACCACGAACTGGAGCTGGATTTGAATGAGAGTATGAGTCTTATCAAGGCTTTAAAAATAAACAATGCAATCTTTAAATCAATTATAAAATGAACAAGAAGGCAGTGCAACGATGCAAGGATGTGGTTGTGCCTTTTGCTTCCTGCGTGTGAGACATCTGATACACATTCACATGCTGTCCAGCGAGGATCATATTGGTGGTAGAACTCAGGATTTATCGAAGCTGAAAGTTTTAAGCATGCTGTAATATCCATGTTGTGGCATCATCTCATGCCAGAAAGACCAACAACACCAATGTATATGTTTTTTTAAAGCTAGTTACATCATGAGGTGTCCCTGCTGATAGCCAGCTGTTATCAGATTAGTTGAAAGTTTGCAAGACTCAAGACTACCCCCTACTGTCTGCCTAACACTAACCTTAGCCCTAGAGTAAATACTACCACATAAAAAAAAGAAATGAAAACCATTTATTGTGGTACCTTTGTGCCCAGCTTCACCAGCAATGAGAGGATCGACCCCTCTGGATGTAGCTGCCTCTTCGGTCATGGACAACAACGGGCTGGCTCTGGCTTTGGAAGAACCTGATCTGGACAAAGTAAGAATATTTTTTATTTTCATTCATGATTATGCATCTATTACAATGTATTACATTGTACGATATTCATCTCAGGTGGTCACGTACTTGGCCGGCTGTGGCCTTCAGAGCTGCCCCATGCTTCTGTCTAAAGGATACCCGGACATTGGCTGGAATCCCATCGAAGGAGAGCGATACTTGTCCTTCCTGAGATTTGCTGTCTTTGTTAATGGTATTGTCCTTTGTGTTTTGATGTATTTCCCTGCCTTGGAACATTACAATGAGTTATGTACAGTACGAAACACAGTCAGGGAATTTATGACCGCCTTTTGGAAACTATCCCGCCCTGACCTCGCTTCTAACATACAGAACTAGGGCTGTGTTATAGTTTCTCTAAAGCTCTTCTCGGTATGTTGAAGTGTTTGGAACGTTTTTAAGTTTGTTAACAACTATTTCAATTAAGATTAAGATATCCTATTTACTAAATTTCAGTGTTGTATCACAAGTTACAGACAGTAGGAATGAGAACAAGATAAATTAATAGTACTATAAAACTCTATCTCTATCTTTAGCATAAATAGGAAAGAAGTCTAAAATGTCCAATAATTGATTAGTCGGATTTATTACTTTCCACTTGATTGATAGATAGTACTCGCATGGACCTTTTTAAAAAATTTAATTGATAAGGTAAGCATAAAATTCTTAAAATCTTTTTTCTGGAGGCTGAACAACACACAGTGTAAGCCTGAGGCCATACACATCACATGAATACTTGATGCTTTCAATATTGACCGCTTCTGTTTTGCCTTTAATTCAGGTGAAAGTGTTGAGGAGAACTCCAGTGTGGTGGTCAAGCTGCTAATCCGCCGGCCAGAGTGTTTTGGTCCTGCCTTGAGGGGAGAGGGGGGCAACGGTCTCCTGGCAGCTATGAAAGAAGCCATTAAGATCGCAGAGACCCCCGCCCTGGACCTGCCGGGCTCCGTGCATGGAGTCAGCTCTGATGCGTGAGATTATTTATTTGTTCCTTTCAAAATTATAGATATCATGATCAACCTTTCAAAACAGCGTCAGATGACTTTAGGCAGTGGTGGAAGAATTTGTTTTGAAGTAAATTGACACAGGAGCAAAAGCTTACATCCACATACTTGAGTAATAAAACTCCTAATATGAATATTAGTTTGATTTGAATGAATTAAATACATGTCTATTCTTGCTATTGGTCTTACTATTCTCTTTTCTCAAAATGTGTTCCATCTAATGTAAAAGTGCTAATCAATTTTACATTAGATGTAAAAGTACTGGACTGGCACTGGATTAGCACTGGACTAGGACTGGATTAGCACTGGACTAGGACTGGATTGGCACTGAACTAGGACTGGACTAGGACTGGACAAGACTAGACAAGACAAAACTTTGCCTAAAATTGCAATGTTATGATTTGTTCGCACCCCAATGGGCAGGGTAATTCTTTAAAACCAAATTTTTCAAACAAAAAGTATGGCTTTGTCTACAACCATCTCCATCACTTTGTGTACCTAAAAATGGCCACTGATTGGCTTATTGTACTGCCTGGTTCTCTTGCCATCTCTGTTTCTGCGATACATGACCTAGACGCTGGAGTAAAATGAAAATTAGCAGAGACACACTGAGTGGCACCAGCCTGACTATTACTAACCTGGCTCCAAGTCAGCAACAAAACATGTGGAAGATAGGCAGTATGGGCCAGATCAGCTTGTTTGACAGGCCTGATTTGACCCCCGGGCCACAATTTGAATAGATCTGTGTTCCATTCATCCATCCATTTTCTATCCCTTAAACCATTTCTGGGTCGGGGGGGTGGCCAGCGATGCCACCCAGTACACACAGCACCAGCCCCTCACTGATCCTCCTGCAGGTGATGAGTCCACAGGAGGATGGCTGCTCTATGGCATAGCCTTGATCTTGTAGCGGGGGCTTCAGGCAAAGTGGGGTTAAGTGTCTTGCCCAAGGACACAACAACAGCAGTCATCAGTGGGAGTCGGTGCAGAAAGTCTCATGGTGGGCTCGAACCCACAACCTTCAGGCTCAAAGGCCAATTCTCTTCCAACTGAGCCACTGTCGCCCCTAGATCTGTGTTGAAGCGTCAAATTAAGTCATTTATTTTATTTATTTATTTATTTATTTATTTGAATGGGACAGTGCATGTCAATGAACAGACATTAAAAACATGAATGTAAACATGCCAGATTATAGCCAAAGGCTAATTTCCATCTGTAGTCCCATAGGGTCAGGGTCACACGGGTCAAATGCAGCAACATTAACAGAAACAAGAGGAAATTACACACATCTCATTATTGCACACATTCCGTTGTTACACACATCTAATACACACATCAGATTATTGCACACATCCCGTTAATACACACATCTCATTATTGCACACATCTCAGTATTGCACACCTCTCATTATTGCACACATCTCATTATTGCACACATCTCATTTTTGCATACATCTCATTATTGCACACATCTCATTATTGCACACATCTCATTTTTGCATACATCTCATTATTGCACACATCTCATTATTGCACACATCTCATTATGGCACACATCTCATTATTGCACACATGTCATTATTGCACACATCTCATTATTGCACACATCCCGTTACACACATCTCATTATTGCACACATCCCGTTATTTTACACACCCCATTACTGCATAACATCCTTGCATTACAGTCAACCAAAACTACACATGTCCTATTTGCAAACAAACCCTATCGCATGTTCCCCAACATTATTAATGGTCGCATGTTTGAGACGACCTTAACCACTCCTTTAGGAGACTTTTAAATGAAGTAAAACTAGGGGCCTCTCTTACAGAAGTCGGCAAACTGTTCCATTGCATACAGCCCTTGTACGACAGAACATTTTGTCCGAAAGTAGTTTTTCTCGCAGGAACCTCACAATCACCTCGACTCATGGCTCTGGTGGTTCGTGAAGTTGAAGTTTTGTATCTAATGTGATCGTTCAGAGGAGGGGGGGCTAACCCATGTAAACTTTTGTATATGAGACAAGCATTTTTGAATTTGATAAAGTTCTCAAAACTTAATAGTTTATATTTTGAGAGGATACTACAATGATGGTGAGTGTAAGGTTTTTTGTCTAAAACTTTCAGTGCTTTTTTGTAGAGCCTCTCAATTGGCTTTAGGATTGTTACACCTGTTAGTGACCAACACGTTATACAATAGCTTACATGGGAAAAAATCATACAGTGCAAAAACGTCAAGGCAGCTTCGTCTGTTAATGACCTCCGTATATGATTAAAATTGGAAACGGTGAACTTAATTCTATTACCAATCATCTTCACGTGTTTTTTAAAGGATAATGTGGAGTCTATTAACACCCCTAAGTATTTAAATTCTGTTACTAGTTGTAGTTCCTGATTTTCAATAAACACATTGGAGCGGCTGATGTTAGAGGCCTTTTTAGGCCTCTAGTCATGTTCTGAAATGTTCTGATTTTTGTACCTATGTTCACACGTCACATAGGTCTATATACAGAAAGTTCTTTTCAGTCTAGTTTATTAATGTTGGACAGTCGAAAAAGCACCGCAACATGTTATTAGTTGTTCAGTTGCCTGAATAGTTTAACAATAGTGCTTAATAATAGGGCTATATTTTGCTTCCTTATTTCCACCCACTGTCTTCATTACTTTCAACCTACCACTTTCATTAAAATGTTCTCTGCCTGCTCTGTAATGACTATACTTAAATGCACCTTTGGCTGCTTTGATAGGTCTGCAGACGCTGATGATGAAGAAGAGGTGGTCCACATGGGCAACGCAATTATGTCATTCTACTCCGCTCTGATCGACCTCCTTGGACGCTGTGCTCCAGAGATGCATGTAAAAGACACGTTTTACATTATTTATGACTAACTCAAATTGAAAAAGTTTGTTCACATGAAAAGATAAGATGATGAGATATACTTTATTATCTCACAATCGAGAAATTCCGTTTAAGTATTCAGTTCAGTTTAAAATCAGTATAGTAAACTTTACCTCATCTCATCTTTGTCCTCAGCTCATCAACAAAGGGAAAGGTGAAGCCCTGCGGATCCGTGCCATCCTGCGCTCGCTCGTGCCCATGGATGACCTGGTTGGAATCATCAGTATTCCTCTCAAAATGCCCGTCACAAACAAAGGTGTGAGCTTTGCATTTGTGTGAGTTTCCCGTTAGATTTGTGAGAGCTACAGTTGGCACAACTTCAGAACCTGCTGGACAATTGCCACTCTGTAAAATGCCCTTTCTTTGAAAGCATTTGTCATTTGTGGGAAAATAAGTTTTGTAAAGGTGCCAAGGCTGCCGTATAAAAGATTAGATCTTGTTTGTCAGCCAAAATAAAATTCACAAGATGCTTGGGATATGATCAATAATTGAATCAAAAGTCCTCTATGCATTAATTACTTGTGTGCTAAAAAATATGTATATGAATACATACATTTTTAATTAGACAATAAGACAACATTTTGTATTCACTAACACCTTTTTTTTTTTTTCACCGATTGCATAGAAACTAAAAACCATATATATAGATTTTGTTTTGTTATTTTGACTTAAATAACAATGAATATTTTAATAATTAAAATGTAAATGCCTGAATAGTGTTTTTTTCATTGAACTGTATCATATGTTTTAGAAATAAATTGTATCCAATCACCTTGGATTTAAAGTCCCCTATATTGAGTTTTGATGTAATGTTGTATTTTAGGCTAAAATACACATCTCTGGCACACATGTAGATATATAGAATTACTTGTATTTAATTCCTTGCAGCCAGATCTCTTGCTGAGGCGTACGTAGAGTTGGGATATTCTGTAGAAGGTTATTGATTTGGTCTCGCTCCTCATGCCTATTTAATCAGCACAATGCTTTACTGCACACTTCTATAGCTCTGAGTAAGCCTGAGCATTTATACAGCCATGCTCGGGCTCTTATTGATTGATCTGCATAAGCCTGGACAGGCGGGCATCCTGAATCTGCTGCCGTGAGCATCGCCTCACAGGTTCTGGTGGCAGCCCGAGGGGAGGCTGCTCGGAAATGGGTTTACAAAGCACACGCACACGTAGGCTAATGAATACACACGCTTCCCTTAACGAGAAAAGACACACTATTATGTCCTATAGGCCGCTGCATTCATTCGATGTTATTACTGCCGCCCACCAGAGTAGATTGCTTTATTTTAGGTAAACAAAAGCTTTTTCTTGGCACAGATGGATCGGTCACGGAGCCAGACATGTCAGCATGCTTCTGTCCGGACCACAAGGCCCCCATGGTGCTGTTTTTGGACAGAGTGTACGGCGTTGAAGACCAGAGCTTTCTCCTACACCTGCTGGAAGTGGGGTTTCTCCCTGACCTGAGGGCTGCCACCTCCATGGACACGGTATGATATTGTATTCCTTGTATTATGTGTTTGTAACAAGTTTTTTTTTTTTTTTTTGTCACTGAGCTGTATTCCAACATGAGAATATTAATTGATATATTGCATTGCTGGGGAATGTAATGTAAGTATGTTTATTTGTAAAAAATCACAAACCACTTCACAGCCAGAATGTCATGAGTTTCTCTCTTGGTGGGTTTTCTGCTCGGATTATTACTATACCTCTAAAAAAACATGCACCAAAGATAAAAACCTAAACCTAAAAAAATAATTATCTGTGTCACCTTTCCCTCAGTTTTCTCTGAGTTTACTGGTAATTTCCATCTCAAGTTTATGTCTAGTGTAAAGCTTTTGAATAATTTCAGATATGTGCTGACAGCTGCATTCATGTGCGAGGTCGCCTGTTCAGAAAATATGTGGAATGAGCAGTCTTATTTTCCTGTTTTCCTTTGCTTTCATGCAACAATCGCAATAATATTTATATGTGGAAATACCATGGAATTGTAATAATAACAACGGGGAGAGCGTCCAATAATCGAGAGAGCACTGTCTCCACGAATAAGATTAGAGATCCTCTATTCGCCCCACAATAGGAACATTTCAATGTTGCAACACACATACCGGACAGTAGTAAGAGCACACAGGGTGCATCATAGACTGTAAATGTGAGTGAGTGCGTTCTGAAATCTGACTAAAAAAATACGCTCCCCTCAGCATTGACACAGAGCCGACCTTTGGACCATCCTGTAAAGAAATTTTTTAATTGCACTTGATTACAGTATTTACTATTAACAGATGAATGACATGTAAAGTCTCAGCAGTTCTTATTGTACAGTCTGACTGCAGCAGGGTGCAAATGCAAAAAGTGCTTCTACCTGTCGTCCCCATAAGAATGTGCCCTTACCCACCGCAGGAGGGTCTCTGCACCACGGAGACGGCCCTGGCCATGAACCGCTACATCGGCTGTGCCATGCTCCCGCTGCTGACCCGCTGCGCCCCCCTGTTCGCCGGCACGGAGCACTACGCCACGCTCATGGACTCAACACTGCACACCGTCTACAGGCTGTCCAAGGGCCGCTCGCTCACCAAGGCCCAGAGAGACGCCATCGAGGAGTGTCTGCTGTCCATCTGCAAGTGAGGAGGGGCCCTGTGTTGGTGCCACTGTGCAAATTTCAGACTCAATTTTGAAGCAATACCACCGTTATTATTTACTCAATGCTTTTTTATAACACAAATAGTAGTGCAAAACAATATTACAACCTTACGTTTTACAGTACTTCTGGTGTAGATCATAGTCATTTTTAAACTTTTCATCAAAAGTTCAAATCTTGATACTTTTAATGTGATTTTTGTTTTACTGTGAATACTCAAGGTTGCCATACATAACACGTAAAAAGTACCTTTCCAGACAGTCCCAAGTGAAGCAGAGATCATTTTAACTGCATCAATAAACAATCCTCATAAAGCCACACCTCCAGTCCCTCATGCACCAGGTTGAAGCTGGGGGCACATAATAATAATAATAATAATAATAATGCATCGGTTTTATATAGCGCTTTTTCTGGACACTCAAAGACAGTTCACATGTCATTATTCTTTCACTCCATACACGGTGGTGATAAACTGCTACTGTAGCCACAGCTGCCCTGGGGCACACTGACAGAAGTGAGGCAAACAGTATGTACCATCGGCCCCTCTTACCACCACCAACCATTCACACACACACCAGACTCATTCTAGGCAATGGGGGTAAAGTGTCTTGCCTAAGGACACAACGGCAGTTTGGCACTTTACAGCCGCAGCCGCCCCACTGTGGCTGGTGTTCCCAGAGTTTAAGTGTCTTGCCAAGGACACAACGACAGCAGACAGTGGGAGTCCATGGTGAAAGTTGGGCTTGAACCCATGACCCTCTGGCTCAAAGGCCAATGCTCTACCAACTGAGCTACTGTCGCCACATGGAAAACATTCTGATTATGAACATTTTCAACACAGTATAATCTTTGAGGGAAGCAAGAGCAAGAGGTTTTTTATAGTGGACACATTTATATTTCCCTCACTCAGAGATTCTACAAAACTGCTGTTGTGAGTGAAAAATGAGAGTCTGTGATGGTGATGCATGAAAGGAGACAGTCTGCACGAACGCACTAATGATGTCTTTCCAAAATTCTTTTTACAAGACAGAATAATTTTCTGTTACAATGTGATCCAACAATAGTTCTGAGATACAGGTGATACTCGGAAAACTGATCAAAAGTCTATTTACTTTTGTAATTTAACTGGACAGACTCTTAACACGTAAAGTGAGATTTATCACACCTTTTTTGTTTTATGTTATGTTGATAATTGGTTCACAAAACCCCAAATACAACAGAGAACAGAAAATTTAAACATTTTGAAAAGAGACAGTAAGCCATAATCATCAAAATGGTGACTTACATTTGTCACTTTGTATGTAATGAGAAAATCATTTACTGAATTCACATTTTTAAGTTCAAATTCAAGTTCAGAAAGGATCTAACGCATTTGAATGATATTCTAATTTTTCCTTCTTCTAAGTTTCACCTGTAGATAAAGACCTGTATATTAGAAGTGGACTGACCAAGTGCTGACGTCTCACATAGTGTTTGCCTCTTAATGCGGGAGAGACAGATTAGAGCTCTAGGCAAACAGGCCTTTTTGGGAAGAAATGTGGAGTCACATGTAGGCACATTATGTTGGGAGCAACAAGCACCAATGAGCTCAAGCCGAATCATGCGACAAAAGACTCCTGATTGGTCAGTCGCACATATCTGGATTTATAAATATATCCATATAACACAAAGATCGAAGAATTTTGAGTGAGACACAGACGGTAACTGAGGTAGAGGAGTTCACTACTTGGATAGCAAACGCTTCTCAACAAGAAGGTCCTGGGTTCGAATCCCGGTCGGAACTGGACCTTTCTACGGGGAGTTTATATGTTCTCCCTGTGTCTGCGTCCACTAAAAACAGACAAACAAAAGGTCTGGCATGTATGACGACCTCACTTCTATCTCTTTGTGACATGCCCACAATTGTCAAGCGCTTTATAGAAAAAAGAATAGTATTGTCCATTTATATACATCAGTCTTTGATCAAGACTATGTGATTCCCTTTCCTCCCGCTTTGACATCTCTGTTGATACTATTATTTTTCCAAATTCTTTCTCTTTTTGATCCTTAATAAGAAGTGTGCAATTCCTAACTGAAACTCCATCATGTTTATTCACATTATTATAAATGAATTTTCTTTTTCCACGTGCATTGACTGGTGTTATCTGTGGCCGCTCTGTGCAGACACCTCCGTCCCTCTATGCTGCAGCAGCTCCTCCGAAGGCTCGTCTTTGATGTGCCCTTGCTCACTGATTACTGCAAGATGCCTCTGAGGGTAAATACTTTTCACTTTTCTCTACCCAACAGACTGTCCTCCAGATTCTTTCTATCATTGGCAATGACATTTTGCTGTCTATCATGCAAAATTTTTCACAGTCACTTTGTATGATTAAATATATTATGCCATTGGCTTATTTCTTTAGCGTATTTACTCTCCAGATTCTCTTCGATCAAATAGAACTTTAACTTTTCATTATTCTGCTTGTCCCCCTCTCTCTCCCACACACATACACGCACACACACACAAATGTATATGTTCCTTCACTCGGGCTGTAAATCATAGCGCCTGTAGAGGTGGACATGGAGAGCAGATGAAGTATTGCATTGTGGGATTACAGGCCTGTTGGCTCCACTGCTTCATTCAATCCATCTGGCTACAAGGAGAGAAATACAGTCCATGAAATAAACTGTGACTGGGGTATGGAAAGGTGGAGGCTATTGTTTTTCAGTAGTGCCGGCAGTTATAGGACCAGGCTTTCAATTAGCTCTGCAGGAGAAACACAAAATTTGATAAACCTGCTTCCACTTCCTCTGATGGAGTTTGTAGAAATAGTGAAAAGGGCTTTTGTTCAATTTAGCTTATACAATACAATGTCGATAACACCAAAGAAAAAGCTAGTGTTTAGATTTGAATTCATTTTCTTTATATACTCTCCCCACTGTGTACTTTGTATCTGACCATACCTTTTTTCAATTGTAAAGGCTTTTGAGGTAAATTGTACCAATAATGTATTTCTGAACGTGTGGCAATACTCATGGAGCTGTGTGGCTCAATTTGTGTCTCATTCTGTTGACTTAACAAATACAAAATATAGTTTTAGAGTATTTGTTTTGATTCCAGATACATTGACATTGTGTGATAGGATAATCAGCACTAGTGTGTTTATTGAAGTTGTTAGTGATCTTTATGTTCCTACGTGACTACTACCACTAATATATTAGATTGTAATTTAAATGTAATACAATACAGTAGGGGTGGGAACCTACTTGGCAAATGCATATCGATAATCAAATTGTGGGAGAAAGTATCGCACGTCACACCCCTACAATACAGTGTTGCCCAAATATGTGGATCAGGCTGATGTATTTAAAACAACCCCTTACTATTTAACTTTACAGTCTCACTGGATACAATGAGTATGTCCTCCAACTCTTGATTCTGGATTTTTGTTAGACCTTCCTATTATAATTACCCAAGTTCATCATTGACATTATAAATGACTAAATGTCGTTTAACGTTTGGTTAATTGCATTGCCCTAAGTGACTGTATTTAATTACCAACTGTGATTAAGGTGTGTCCATTCTTTATGCTACTAAAGAGCCATAAAGTCATTACCGTCTTACTGCCATTTGTTTTCCAGCTGTTGACAAACCACTATGAGATGAACTGGAAGTTTTACTGTCTGCCTTCTGGCTGGGGCAGCTACGGCACCGCCTCTGAAGAGGAGCTGCTCCTCACCAAGAAGATCTTCTGGGGCGTCTTTGACTCGCTGTCACAGCGGGTAAGAGCCAAGCAGCTGAACTCTAATTACATCCAAACAATTTATCTTGAAATCTTTGTAGGAAAAATGTGTTAGATATCTCCTTATGAAAACAAACAAGCTATTCTTCTGGTAGGATTAAGAAGTATAAAAGCATTTAAAGTCATCTGATAAAGTACTATGATCAGACCATGTAGCAGAATATCCAATCCACTGTTTAGAAATGTTTCCTATATGTTTTATTATGTTTTATATGTATTCCTGTTACTCACATGGCAATAAAAGGATTCTGATTCGGATTTGTTAGCATCTGTAATTAAATGTATTTTCAAAAGATTCTCCCCATCACTCACAATGTGAAACCCTTAACAGGAGCATACCGTGATGAGATATGGCACGTGTTCAATATTTGGAATAACTCTTTATAATAACTATTATTATATCTTATTGAGTTATATTTATGATATAAACGTGATAGCACTTATGCAGATAATGGAGAAGAACCTTGATTAACATGTACTATGATTGGGGGAATTTTATTGCTGCCAATATCCAACAGCCTCTTTGTGATGCAGATACATGAACTCAGCACTTCCCTTTTAATGCAGACTCATGAAAAGCTCCAAAGACCGTCGGCAAACATCAATAACGAGATAGGCATCATTGATCCACATCTGAACACATGCTGCTTCTTTAGCATTTACACAATAGGTTTTCAAACTGCTCTTATTTTTTAGTTTTTTAGCTATATTATTTTGTGCTTTGTGCTATATTATTATTTGTATTTCAAATTTCTCTTGCATATGCTTATGTCTATGTTAAGTGGCGTTTGTCCTTGTGTGCAGAAGTATGACCAGGAGCTTTTCAAAATGGCCATGCCGTGTCTGAGTGCGATTGCTGGAGCGCTGCCTCCGGACTACGTGGACGCCTCCAGCTGCACGGCTCTGGAGAAGCCCAACTCTGTGGACCCTCACGGCAACTTCGACCCCAAACCAATCAACACCAGCAAGTATGTTCTCTGTACCAAGCGCTGTCGTTCTCCAAGAAAAATGACACACAAAACTGAAGTCTCCGAACCGCTCCTCAAAGGGCCATTGTGGCTACTGGCTACAGGTTTTCATTCCAACCAAGAAGGAGCACACCAGATTGGATCCATTTAATCGAGTAACGACCATAGACTGTAGAATTGAACAAACCAAGATCTGATCAGCCGTAGTGTTTCCTTTGGCCATGTTCACACTTAAGCAGGTACTTCCTTAAAGAAAGATCCATCCCCCACTGCACTCAAAACCAAATATGTGCCCCATTGAGTGAGTCATAAACTGCAGGAGCTGTAGTTACAGTGTTTGTCAAAGAGTTTCCCCGGACAGTTAAAAGAGGTTTACCTCTATCTCATTCTAGGCCTGAAAGAGAAGCTCTCTGGGGAAATCCTTTGGAGACCCTTCCCGTAGACTTTTTTTTACCAGCATGTGACTGACAACATAAAAGCTTTGGCCTGAGGTTGTTTTTAGGAAAAGGGCTGATTTTAAGGATTCATCCATTGAGATTTTTTGCTACCAACCAGGAGCAGCGCCTGTCCCCACTCGCCAAATTCTGTAACAGAAGGCATCCAAATGATCAGCTGTTTGGGCTCATAACTGGATTTACAAAACATGATCAAAATATAAACACAAGGATCAAAGAAAGCGCCAAACTATAGGTTTAAAGCCCGAAATGGTTAGTATGAACTAAACGGTTTTGATGCAAGAGGAGTTTGCTCAATAGGAGCAGCGAGTTCAAAACTTTGTCCATGCACACTTCCCTGAATAGCTTCAAAGAACAAGGGGGTAATCATTGTTCATCTATCTTCTGTCTTTATACTGTCTTAACCTGATGACCACCTGAAATTCGTCGATTCTGGTTTACTCCTGCTTGGTTGAAGTGAAGCCCTGCAGCCACACAGCCCATGTGAGGACTTGTTTAGGAGGTACAGGCTTATAATTCATGCTGTTTTTCTCTTTCAGTATTACTCTGCCTGAGAAACTTGAACAATTCGCCAACAAATATGCAGAACACTGTCACGAGAAGTGGTCAGCAGAGAGGGTAAGATGAATGTGGACAAATTGCTCACACAACTTTAAATATTGGGGTATTTCTGCTTTTAAAAGTGGTCTCTTTTCATTCCGTCACATCTCATGGGATTTACTGTATGGCAGTAACAATTGGCTTTAATCTATAATTGATAGTGTGGATGAAAAAACTATTAGGCTGTTAAACTCGCTCCAGATGTATGTATGGTTTTTAAGCTCTTTGTTGTTCACTGTGTTGATCTGTTTGCATGGGGCCTGCTTAGTATTGAACTGTGAACTGAGGCCTTTTGACAGAATAATTGTATTTGTATGTTTTATGTTTTTTTTACAACAATACATTCTGTGTGTCAGGTGCTGCTGGGATGGAAATTTGGGGACTGTGTGGACGAGAAAACAAAGATCCATCCTCAGCTCAGGGCTTACAAATCCCTCACAGAGAAGGTGAACTGAGTCACCGCTTTACAAAATGTTCGTGACGAAATGGAATAATAACTTTTGTGTTTCTTGTTGTTCAGGAGAAGGAGATTTACCGCTACCCCATCCGAGAGTCTCTGAAGAGCATGCTGGCCATGGGCTGGTGCGTGGACCGGACCAAAGACGCAGAGAGCTTGTCCTTACAGCGGGAGAGCGAGAAGATGAGGAAAATCTCCACAGTGTCTCAGGTGCAACACACACGCACACACACACACACATGCACACACACTCTGCTTACTATAATAAATAAACAACTTACAGATATGAATGAGAACTTTACTGAAAACACAAGATATTCGCTAGAGAATGAACGATTTTCTGAGGCTAATGTCAACAATGTGACGGGTCGTTTATTAAATATATTTGTTTTTAGGAATTGTTATGTATTTTAAAGGCACACCGCGGACTTTGTGACCTAAAGAGTTGACACATATGAGTTATTTTATATGAATACTTGGGCCAATATACAGCGCTTGACACTTGCAATGCTCCGAGCGGGGCTGCCCTCTTGAAATACCGCCCATGTAAGTTTCGAGCAGACGGACCGTCTGCCACCAGGTCACGTGACTTGGAAGAAAGACTTGCTTTACGGCTACAGGCGCTGATATAATCATGGAGCTAAGGCTTTTGCTACTCATTTTTCACCTGCTCGACTCCTGGTCATGGCTGAGGCAAGGAAAAATTTTAAACCTTCGGAGGAGGCTAAAAAGAGGAAACGCGAAAGGGATCGTGCTGTAAGCTGCATGTCTGTATGAGCGCTGCTCTTCACCTGGTTCCTGGATGTCATCGACTGCAAAGATGTCATTCCACGCAGCACGAGCTAGACGCAGAACTCCCTCATCCAGGATATAGAAGTCCATGTGTGGTAGATTACTAATGCAGCGGTCTGGAGGCTGACCACAGCAGAGTCTCTCAATATCTGTAGGCATGTCTCTACAGTTTGTACACACACACCAGTGCATGCTGTCTGAATACACACTCAAAAGACACCGGCTGACTGTTTGTTGACTTTTGCGACAGTGCTGAGTTGCTTGTGGCCACTAGGGGCGCTAAACGTGAAAGTTGCAGGTCTAGCGCCCCTAGTGGCCAAGAGTTACACGGTGTGCCTTTAAGAATTATTAAGTTCAGTTATGTTTGGATTGAAACAGTTATGTTTGGATTGACACTGTCATCAGATTTATATATTTTATTTAGTTTGAAAAGAAAAGTATCATTAATTGTTACTAAATGCATTTTGGAATTGTTGCTTCGAGTCCTTTAAATATTGTGGTTCCTTAAAATGAGGTTTAACATATCATGGCAGCGTGTCGGCCAATGGGAAGCAGTTCGGGTCAATAGCCAATATTTCCAAAAAATCGGTTTGATACATCAGTTGATCTGTAATTTTTGTGCGTTCCAGGCTAATGGCTTTAACCCAAGTCCCATCGACACCAGCAACGTTATCCTGTCCAGGGAGCTGCAGGTGGGGCCAGCGTTCATTTCTGCTGTGGGACAATAATGAAATGAACCTTCTCTGAAAATGAGATGAAACTCTGCGTCTGGAATATTAATGTGTGCCTTCTCTTTCTCGCCCTTGTGCTCTCAAGGGGATGGTGGAGGTGGTGGCCGAGAATTACCATAACATCTGGGCCAAGAAGAAGAGGAGCGACCTTGGAAGCAGAGGTGATTGGATTATCAAGTCCCTTTTTGACAAATCGGTGAAAAGTAGACAAGCTGCAAAGCATCTTACAAACTGTTAACAAGACAGATTTCATGATGCGGTTACTCCCAGAGGCAGAGAAGAACAACATAATTTGCAATGTGTATTTTAAGGCAACTGTTGTTAACATTTATACATTAGACAGTCTGTAACTCACTTCATACATTTGACAGAATTAGACAGAATACCGCATTTATAGTCACAAGTCATGTTTAAAAAAAAAAAAAAAGGTCTTTTAAAAGTAAAATGTTTTGAACAAAAGCGATCTGAACATGCATCTTCATCTAATTAGAAATCTCTTTTGCATAATTATGCCCTATGAGTAGCTTTTTAATGCTTTGGGCTGAGAGCTGATTGGCTGAGTGAGGCTGGCCCAGTCTTTTTCATTTCTGAGTTTATTCTGACCAAGATTAAGCTTAAGATTCGTCCCACGTTGGGGAAATTGCATCACCAGTTACAGAACAGTAGGAATGAGGAGCACACTGCACAAGACAAGTGAACAATAACTATACTTACAAAAATCTCTCTTTTAGCATAATAAAGAAGCAAGAATAAAATCTCTAATTTTACATATGAAAACTAGCGATTGAACCAAACTGGATTTTCTTCCACAGTTAATTTGTGGTAACATTGATTGATTGTGATATAAAAATGTACCCCAGCTTTAAATTGCATTGATACATCTTTGATATTTCCCTGTGATCGAAGGCGGAGGCACTCATCCACTGCTGGTGCCCTATGACACGCTGACCGCCAAAGAAAAGGCAAGGGACCGAGAGAAGGCCCAAGATCTGTTCCGCTTCCTGCAGATCAACGGCTACACCATCACAAGGTAATTCTACACATCGATGATCAGATAAGGAAATGATTATTATCTAATATTTGCCTTTCGCGGCTTGCAGAGGTCTGAAAGACTTGGATCATGATTCATCCTCCATAGAGAAGAGGTTTGCCTACAAGTTCCTCAAGAAATTACTGAAATATGTCGACTCAGCTCAGGAATTCATTGCACATCTGGGTAACATGCCACAGAATGTAAAAAAGGCTTTCCAAATGTCGCCAATATTAAATATACATTTATATTTGTTGAATACAGAGGCCATGGCAGCGAGTGGAAAAATGGACCGGTCACCACATGAACAAGAAATTAAGTTTTTTGCCAAAGTTAGTCAATCAAAGCCACAACATTGTTTGAATATCAAGTTTAATACGGAATAAAATTTGTTTTATTGATATTTCATTTCAGGTTCTTCTGCCCCTCATTGACCAGTACTTCAAAAACCACTCGTTATACTTCCTGTCATCCCCGAGTAAGAATCTGAGCAGTAGCGGATATGCAACCAACAAAGAGAAAGAGATGGTCACCAGGTTTGTTCCAGATCCTTTTACACTGCAAATGTATGAAATATAATTAAATGAAATAAAATATAAATGAATATATTTTCTGTCTGTTTTATTTCCAGCCTATTTTGCAAACTGGCAGCTCTTGTTAGACACCGGATTTCTCTTTTCGGTAAGAATCCAATAGTCTTAATGTCTGATTGTGTATTGATGGAGTTATTTATTTCTTTATTGATTAATTTGAACAACGCGCATTGTTGAAAATGTCTTCAAAAGTGCCAGTTTTAGCTACAAGTTTTAAGAAAAGGTAAAATAAACTGTAATAATCTCACAATGGAGAAATGTGTATTATTTTGTAACTGTAGTCCCTGGGCAAAGTCTGAAGATGCCATTCAAAGACATTCATTAGAAAACTAAAACAATAGTTAAAGCTGAGTACATTATCTGAATATCTACAGTTTGCAGTATTGATGATTGCTCTGTCGTCATGTTATTTTGACCTTCAGTTCAGTGAGATCAGAAGTCTCTCTCTCTCTCTCTCTCTCTCTCTCTTTCTCTCTTTCTCTCTTTCTCTCTCTCTCTCTCTTTCTCTCTTTCTCTCTCTCTCTCTCCTAGGAAGCGACTCCACCACCATGGTCAGCTGTCTGCACATCCTGGCCCACACGCTGGACACCAGGTGAGCACCAATTTGTAGAAATGTTTCAATTAGAATTTTATGGCATATTTTTTCAATAATAATATCCAGGACTACTAACATTACTTAGAAAGTTTAACGCTGCAAAATCATCTAAAAAATCCCACTTATAAACACAGCCGCCACTCAACCAAACATTGGATTCTCACATACATCTCACACACTATTTACACGTGCCTAAGCACACATGCCAAACCTACACTCTGCATAGGTTTCCTCCGGGTGCTCCGGTTTCCCCTACCAATAAACAACATATACAATAGGTCCAGCATGTGCCTCTTGTGTACAAAGGTTCTTGCTCTAATTACTGCCCGGAGTGAGAGGAAAAAATGCTCACACCAAATGTGAAGCATTTTGTGATTCTGTCTGAGAAAAGCGCTATATAAATAAATAACTATCGCTTACTTACATTTTACGTATTTTGGTAATCGAATGTTTGGCCAATTATTAATTTCACTAAACATTTAGTCTAGATCCTGAAAGGTATTAAATATACCTATGTGTCACTATTTGACACTTTTGGCTGAGAACGATTAGCTGACTGCTGATTTGCTGACGTAAGAGTAATCCACCATTCATTTGATTCACTTTATGTTATGCCAGAAGCCAAACGTACGGCTTAGTGCCAGATAGATTTAAACACTTTTTTTAGAGTCAGAAACCCAAGCTTTAATTAAACTACAGAACGTTGCCTTCATTGTTTCACTATTGAAAAAGCCTTTGTGTTGTAAGCCTCAGATTTATGGCCTAACCTTTTAGCAACATATTTGTTATGGATTTTGTTTTAGTCACGCTTATTACACTAAAGTCTTTTGGGAGTCCCTGACATTAACGGAAAAACCACTGGCATTTAAATAAGCAAAACTATTCTAATGGTGCACATGTGTTGGTTGCCCGGGGCCCGTTCTTCAAAGCCAGTGCTATTTAGTGATTCGGCTCACACGCACCAGACTCTGGCATCTAACTGTGGGTTTTTCTCTATTAAAAGAGCTTCAGCTGATCCCCACAGACCCCTCTCGACTTTGATTTCTCCTTCAAACCCAGGGCACAACTTCTCTTCACAAAAGCTCATACATTAAGCTCTGTTACAGAAGTGTGAAGCCATCAAATGGAGTAATTATATTAATGCAGTGTTGTTCCAGAGTGGCAGATTCTACTCCATGCCAAACTCACCTTGGGTTTGGATACGCTTCTAATTTATTAACTGAATCATTTCGGTTTCAGACTGAGTGCGGGCAGCTTAATATTCACGGGCCATAATTCATTTATTTAAATTTTCTCTGGCTGTGAGATTAGTTATGATTGCAAATTCACTCACGTCCCATCGTGGCTAAACTTTGTAAATTATTTGGGGAATCTATAGACTTGTGTTAAGTGTAAGCATCAGTGGAAAGCAGAAAAATGTATCTAAAACACTTTTAAGTTATTGGCTTTTTTTAACTTTGTTTTGTGCTGAAAAACTCATAAATATTTGTATTATTTGCTGAGGGCGACAGTGGCTCAGTTGGTAGAGCATTGGCCTTCAGGCCTGAAGGTCGTGGGTTCAATTCCCACCTCTACACCTTCTCCACCGACTCCCACTGATGACTGCTGTCGTTGTGTCCTTGGGCAAGACACTTAATCCCACTTTGCCCAAAGCCCCCACTGAAAGATCAAGGCTATGCTCACACTCAGAGAGCAGCCGTCCTCCTGTGGACTCACCACCTGCAGAGGGACAGTGAGGGGCTGGTGCTATGAGACTTGGGTGGCATCTCTGATTGCCACCCCCCTGACCCAGAAATGGATTAAAGGGTAGAGAATGGATGGATGGATGGCTGAGGAAAATAGGTTATAACTGTAACAATGGAATCGATATGGAAAACATCCAAATGGGAAGTACAATTCTAAACTTGATAATTGTATTTTTACCAAACTACAAAACCAATGTAATAATATTTATAAAAAATATCATGTTTTCAGGTCTGATTTTTTCATATTATTGAACTTTTGCAAGACCCTTTCTGTTGGAACAAAACTATGATTATGAAAAAATAAAAAAATAATAAGGGAAAGTTGGTTATCCTAGCAGCTAGCAAAACACAATCTGGCATTCACTCCCCTCTTCTACCTCCCTCAGGACGGTGATGAAGTCCGGCTCGGAGCACGTGCGCATGGGGCTCAGGACGTTCTTTGAAAACGCGGCGGTGGACCTGGAGAAGACGTTCGAGAACCTGAAGCACGGGAAGTTCACGCACTCTCGCTCCCAGATGAAAGGCGTCTCTCAGAACATCAACTACACCACGGTGGCCCTGCTGCCAATCCTCACGGCTCTGTTCGAACACATCACCCAGCATCACTTTGGTGTCGACCTGCTCCGTGAGTCTGACCAGGGATTCTTCTCACTGTCAGAGTCTGTTTTTGACAGACTTTGATTTGGTCGCCTGAACAATCTAGTATTACAAGTGGTTGGGGGGAGGGGGTGTTTTCTTGCTTTTTGATTCAGTCCATTTTAATGTATTGCCTGAAATACTGCAAGTTCATAAAAGATCTTCATAGGAAACAGCGACATATTTGTAGATAGGTGGGAAGACGCCATGTAAGAATTTGTTTTATTGACTCATTCAGCAGTTCTTACATTAACAATTTACACAATGTTACATTGGTCACTTGTAAATTTGTTTTACACAATAAAACAAAGGCAAAAGAACAGTTGTGTTGCAAATAAAGGGATATCCCAGGTGTCCTTGAGTTCTGGTATAATGTGTCCAACATTTCCAATTGTCCTCAAATCTGTCATGATCCAGTCTTAGTGCAAACTTCAGTCTCTTCATTTTAGACCCTTTTTGTAAAATATTCCACATATATTTTTTACTTGAGAATTCAGGTTTTTAAGCAGAGAAAATATAATTGTGAAGTTTTATATAATACTGTATATTATGCTAAGGCACTTAACAGCAACATAATCGATCTCCACTGGGTTCCAAAAATCATGGAATCATAAAAGGAGAGAAATCAAACAATATGGATGGGTCTTTTCTATTGCATTTACATTTTTGTAATCTCTATGAAAGATCATTTTAAAAGATCATGTTTTATGCGGTCAAAATCCATAATCACACAAATAACATAACAGAAATCCATACCAATTCTGTTTCGCCTCATGCCTATTAAATAACAAAAAACCTTTCCCCTCTGTAACACAAATCAGGGAAAACATTAAAAAGGCAAAGTTGTTGTCTAGGTACACAGTAACCAAAATAATGTATTAAGTTTGTTTTTTAAGCAACTCATATCATCAAATATATTACTGTCTATGATTACAACATTACAACACATTTTCTGCATACTGTGGGATAGCCATAGCACTAAATGAATCTTGAATAAATTACATGACATTTTGAAGACTTATTGTATCATTTTGTCTCTGTCTATTCTAAGTGGATGACGTCCAAGCCTCCTGCTACCGAATACTGACCAGCCTCTACGCACTGGGCACAGGAAAGAACATCTACGTAGAGAGGTATTCTTCTTATTGTTGATGTTTCGTGTCATTTTTGAGTTTCTGGTTCCTCTCGTAGTATTGACCCCCCTCTACCTCACCACTCTCTGTGCCCCCCCCCTCAGACAGCTGCCGGCCCTGGGACAGTGTCTGGCCACTCTGGCTGGTGCCATGCCTGTAGCGTTTCTGGAACCTCGCCTCAACACGTACAATCCCTTCTCAATCTTCAACACCAAGAATCACAGAGAGCGTGCAAGTACGTTATTGTAGTGCTTAACGAGTGACACGCCCATGTCATTGTTGTTTGTAGGGCGTTTTATTAAGGTATCTGGGGAAAAACAAAATCATACATACATAGAGTGCATGCGTGTAGTTTGGTGGTCGGCAAAAAATAGACAAAGAGACGACAATTTCCAGCAGTTGAGCCCCCCTTAATTTTTTCGAGCTGAATTTTGATGATCTTTCCTAACTTGACCAGCCCTGGGTCATTTAGACCCTTTTAATCACTGTGGCAAGTCATTTTGACCCGATGGTAGCACAAGGGTTAAACCAGTAGTCAATGGCAACTTGAGAAGAATGCGACTGGTGGATAGCTCTCCTGCTTCTCAGCAAGACAATCCTGGGTTCGAATCCCGTTCGGAATAGGGTCTATCTGAGTGGAGTTTCCATGTTCTCCCCGTTTATGTGTAGGTTTCCTCCAAGTGCTCCAGTTTCTCCTACCACTAAAAACATGCACAATAGCTTAAATCCTCCAGCTCCGGTAGTCCTGACCAGTCCCGGGCGCTGTACTACGGCAAACATTGCTCCTGACAGAAGCCTTAGTGGCATCAGGATGGGTTGAAGCAGAGGATATATTAAAGTGCGCATTAACATTTACATTTAGAAACTTTCTTTGATCACTTCATTGGAGCTATGCGCATGTACATTCCACTTGTATCTTTTCAGAAATAATCAAGTTGATGTTGTATCTGTCGTTATTCAAAGCTGCTATCACCTGAAGCCAGAATGCCAGTGAATGCTTATATTAATATCTAGAGTTTGCGACTGTGGTAAAGCGGACAGCGCTGGAAAATGTATTGTGCAATTTGTATGAATCGCAAAAGAAAAAAATAATTATCACAATTTCTGCAACCACAACTGTATATTTATATGTATATGTTCAAAACATAACTGTAACCGTAATATTAATATGGATAAATCTATTCATTTATCACACATCATTTACATGTTCATGAAAATGCATCCTCCTCCTTTGTTTCAGTGCTTGGAATTGCAGACTCGGTTGAAAACGTTTGTCCTGGGATGCCTCGGCTCGACGGCCTGATGAAGGATATCAATGACATGGCAGAGTCTGGGGCGCGCTACACTGAGATGCCCCATGTGATTGAGGTGGTCCTGCCCATGCTGTGCAATTACCTCTCCTACTGGTGGGAGAGGGGCCCCGAGAACAAGGCCTCGAGCGGCGCCACGGTGTGCTGCACCACAGTCACATCAGAACACCTCAGCCTCATCCTGGGAAACATTCTGAAGATCCTCAACAACAACCTGGGCATCGACGAGGCTTCATGGATGAAGAGGATCGCAGGTAGACCACTGTTAATATTTAAAAGGAGACATCAGTGGTAATTATTATGGATGTTGGATTTCACCCTATGCAATTAACTGCTAATCAACTTTGTGATACATATTAATACAATTTCATATTTGGCGCCACCTCCATTTGAAATCCAGATCCTCTTGTACCTTAGAAGCTAAGCAGGGCAGGGCCTGGTTGTTACTATGATGGGAGACCTCTGGGGATACAAGATGCCACAGTGGGGCAGCTGCTTGTAAAGTGGCAAACTTATTTTGTTTCCTTATGCAAGACCAGACCTGGGCGAAAAATGGCCCAGGGGCCGGGTCCGGCCTGCCAAGAAATTTAATCCGGCCCGTTGCTCAATTTTCATAAAAGTGTACTTTTTGCTTTCTGCTTTTATCTGCGCTGCATTGACGCAATTGCAGCGCCTCTGTATTGTTTCCGCGCTGCAAAAGTAACACAACTTTCCACCAGACTTGTAACAAAAGAGATCAAGTCCATTATCATTTTATAATCTAGCCTACTTTAACCATCTGTCAATTACACAGATTCAGATTCAGATTCATTTATTTGCCATTTGCAGTAAAACCACATTGGAAAAACTGTGCAAGCCTACCCCGGTGTGCACCAGACAGAGAAGACGACACACACCAGAGCTCTTGCCACGGCGCCATCTTTACGGCGCCATGCGCCACTTAAGGCAGTAATACATATACTGCCCTCCACAACCCTTTCTCTTTATCATGCAGACCCCTGTAAAAAAGACTCTTCACCCATATTGCCTGATATGGGTCTGATGTTTGCGTGAATGATGGATGGTTGTCCGAGAGGCCAAAGGTAGAGATTAGTGGCTACAGTGGTAATGTGCCTCCAAAGTATATGTAGTTAATGAGTAATGCTATTCTATTTCTCCTTAAGTTATTGTTTTCTAAAAAGGTCTGGTCACAGGAGAGATGAGGTCATTGAACCCAGAAGATATGATTTTGCTGAGGAAGAGAAATGCTTGGAGGAGTGTTGTGCTGATGTGATGTAGAAATAGGTTGATGGATTTTAAAGAAGCAGAAGCCTGCAGGTTCCTGATTGGTCGTTCGGAGCAGGTGACTCACCAGTGATATGCACTGGACACTGGGATTTAAGTGAAATGATTTGACTGAAATCTTCCAGTCTGAACAGTCACTATAGCCACATATACAGTTGTCACAGCTACAGCTACATTTACAAATAAACCAGAGTCGCCAGTACCACCTGCTTAAAGAGGATACAAAACTTGGTTTAGTGGGTATTGAACTGGATTTCACGTTTTAAATTGGCAACACAAAAGAGACACACATGTGAAACATAATCTTGTTTTATTGTCTTCAACCAAATCTTCTAATGTAAACAGGATATTTGAGTATAATTTCTTGGTTCTTTCTTAATTCATTCCATCTATTTCAATATACTGTTCCTTTAATATCACACGGTTGTGCACACAGTCTTAAATAGGGTTTTGTGTTTTCCGCAGTGTATGTGCAGCCAATCATCAGTAAAGCCCGGGCCGACCTCCTCAAGAGCCACTTCCTGCCCACGCTGGAGAAGCTGAAGAAGAAGACGGTGAAGGTGGTGATGGAGGAGGAGCTTCTGAAAGCCGACAGTAAGGGCGACACGCAGGAGGCCGAGCTGCTCATCCTGGACGAGTTTGCCGTGCTGTGCCGAGATTTGTACGCCTTCTACCCCATGCTGATCCGCTACGTGGACAATAACCGGTGAGACCCCACATTAGAATACGCAAGAACTATTATCAGCTGGGCTTTAAAATCACATTAAAGACAAAAATCCATGGAAAATTGCTTTTATCACTAGTTTTGGCCTCTGTCACATGTTTGTAAAAGATAAAATATTTCTGTTCAGGTTAAACAACTTAGTGTAGTCTGATGTTATGCAACCCTGACTCTTTGTGATGGGACAACAAAATAAATGAATGAAAAAAAATACCCAGCTTATGAATAGGATTCAATAAAATGCAAAGTCCAGCGTTCTTGCAAAGTTAGGGCAAAGGTTTAACCTATGACACAATGAAAGGCTGTGTGAAAGAGGGAAGCAGCTGAGAAAAAGCTGATTGTTTTGAGTTTAATAATATACAGTTTTCTCATTATTTCCCTTCAAAGTGACCCTCCGCCATCACTCTGACCGCTCCCGTTTTTGTGCCGTCCCATTGAAAAGTATTAGTGGCAGCACTTAAAGGTCCCAGTGTGAGTTGGCCTGAAAGCTGCAGTACATCACTTTTTTGTCATTAATACAAGTCGTTTGTCCCAACAGAAAGCGCGCCATTAACAAAAGGCAATAACAGATTATTTCTGACACCTTAACGGTCCATTTTAGATTCTTGGATCTACACAATAGATGAATAAAGTGGTTCATGGATTGCTCATCATATATGTATTGTAAAAATTGCACATGCATTAATACACTTACATTTTGTTTGGCCCAGGGCACACAGACACAATGAAAAAACATGATTAGATGAAGAGAATGAAAAGAAGCGATCTTTATCAAGTAGCAATTTATCGCATTCTCCTGTGAGAAAAAGTTTTGTCTTTAATTGTAGGTCACGGTGGCTCAAGGAACCGGACGCTGACTCCAATGAGCTCTTCAAAATGGTGGCAGAAATATTTATTCTGTGGTGCAAGTCACATGTAAGTTCCATCAGAATAAGGATGACAAAACTGTCTGTAGACATAACTCAACGTTTTTATTTTCAGAATTTCAAAAGAGAAGAGCAGAATTTTGTTGTGCAGAATGAAATCAACAACCTGTCCTTTTTAACTGGAGATAGTAAATCCAAAATGGCAAAGGTAAGTATTACATTGAAGCCTTGCAGAACAACCCACATAATGCTCTCACAACATGACAGGGAAGATACTGTTAACATTGTATGCCATGTTAACACTGTGTGTGTGTACATGCGCCATGTTAACAGGTAGATATGCATTCAGTAACCAGGGGGATTACATGCACGCACATGTCACAGTCAAATTATTTTCTCAAATGCATCAATAACAATATAAACTAATCTCTTTGTGAATGTGTGTGCATGTACGAACACGTCCCACAAACTAACACTCATACTCCTTGATAGTGATCACTTAAAGGAGACATATTATGAAAAGAATGGCTTTTTTGAGGTTTTAACCATGTTGCAACATTGTTCCCTCCTCCAAAACAGACCTGGAGTTGTTTTTAGAACTTCTGGCACAAACATGTAACTCCGCCTCTTCTGTCTAAAAGCTTCTGTCTCAATCCTGGAATAGTATTATGTCATTGTGCCACTGTGACATCACACTCTGACTGTCTTTTAAAAGAAGTGTTAAATTGAATTCATTTTGGCCTTTTTTCAGGTTAAACAAGTCTTTACAATCACATGGCTCTGTTGGCAGTCATTTTCCAATTTGGAAAAAAAATCAAAACAAATTCTACACCTCCTCAATATAGGCCATGTCGATTATGATTATGATTCACCCTTGATACTTGCTTTATCATATATTTTTTACTAAAGATATATAATTCTTATTCTAAAACACAAGACTACAAAGTAAATAGTCTCATTGTCATTATTAACGGCTACATATTATGTGTAATATTTCTTCTTTAAGTACGATAATCTTGTCTTGCCTGATTGAGCTGTTTCCAGGCAAACAAATGTGTTCCACTGCAGTGCACTTCTAAGTGAGGATCGTGTGCCTGCCCCCATTAACTGCCCTCTCATCCTTTCTCCTGTGTCTGCTGCTCTCTCTCTCCTCTCCTCTCTCCTCTCCTCTCTCTGTCTCCATCTTTGAACAGTCCTTTAAGGAAAAGGTAGAGTAATGCAGTGCATGTGCTTTTTTACCCGCCAGCTTATTGGCTTACGTTCTGCGGTGGCCAAGCAGAGCAGCCAATAGCCTGTGCCTGCTGTGCTCTATAGTCGAGTTATATGTTGTCTTATTCTCGTGCCTTTTGCTCCATTCATCAAAGTCTGTGACATAGTTGCTTTGGTCATTTCTCATCGCCCTCAAGAAAAAAACATCCAGAATGCTACATTGTGGTAGAAAGTCATGTGTTTTTAACTGTGGGTGAGATTGCACTGGGTAGATCGTGCTCTCTGTGTTGTAGCTATACCTCCAATTATTGACGTGGTGTTGTATGTTCGGACCGTCGATTGTCTGTCTATTTCTGTCAGTTAGTCTATATATTGAGTCATGTGTATAAATGTATGAGTAATGTCTCTCTTAATTTGTTTTCAATCTGGCTAATACAATTGTTGCGCTTGCTACAATGACATACCGGTGAAACTCAGGTATTAGATTATCCTTTAAAAGTCAGTTTATTTTTGTAAATCTACTTGCAGTGTGAAACTAATATGCAACAGACTTATTACAAGCAATGTGAGTTATATCAAGTATTCATTTTGTAAATGTTGATAATTGGTTTCACATTTTAAGTTGAATCACAAAAATAAAGATTTGAACAATATTCTCATTTTCCGAGTTTTGCCTGTATATGCGTTTGTCCTCTGCCTTGGATCTATTTCCATTCAATATACCTCAAATAAATTCAGTCATAGAATAATTCAATTCTATTTATTTTAGAATACCCCAAATACCCAACAGCAGTATTCTTGAAGTACTCCACCTAATTGTGGATTTACCTGCCACAGATTACAAAATCATTTAGAACCAATTGTTTGACATATATTCATTTGAATATATCCATCAATTGGTGGTTTAGATCCCAAAAGGTCACTGATTATGGATTTTTTATACCAAAACAAAGCTCAAGTGATGCCCCTGGAAGACATATCCATAGAGATGACTTGTTACATAATGGGTGGTTCTATTATAAGTGTTTCTCTAACAAGCGTCCATTTCATTTTGCGGTCAGTGTACGAGAGACATAAAACCCTCTTCTCAGCAGATTCAAGTCTATTTAAGGTCCAAAAGAACGATTTGATTACTGCATAGTTCAATACAATACAAATTCAATAATTGATTAGTTGTGATTATTTTATCAGAATCAGAATCAGAATCATTTTTATTGCCAACGTAAGTAACGGGAGGTCACAGACTTGGAAATTGCTTTGGCTCAGTGCAACAGTCAAAAAGAGATAATAAAAATAAGAATAAAAAACACTTCTAAAGAATAAATTTTAATTTAAAATAGAGTTACAGTTACTATTTACAATATACAAGTGCACATGGTGCACACAATGTAAGGTGACAGCAGTACAGTGAAGTAAAGTGACGTATGATGGGCAGTAAAGTGACTTTATAAAGGGCGGGGGGACAGGTTAAGAAGTGTTCAAGAGTCCAACAGCAGAGGGGAAGAAACTGTTCTTGTGGCGGGAGGTTCTAGTCCTGATGGACCGCAGCCTCCTGCCTGAGGGGAGTGGTTGGAATAGTCCATGTGCAGGGTGAGAGGGGTCGGCTGTGATACGACCAGCCCGGCCTCGAGCTCGGGCGACGTACAGGTCCTGCAGCGATGGAAGGCTGCGGCCGATCACTTCCTCTGCAGAGCGCACAATGCGCTGTAGTCTCTGTTTGTCCCTGACTGTGGCTCCAGCGAACCACACGGTGATGGAGGAGGTGAGGATGGACTCGATGATGGCCGTGTAGAACTGCACCAACATCTGTGCAGGCAGCTTGGCTTTCCTGAGCTGCCGCAGGAAGTACATCCTCTGCTGGGCCTTCTTGATGAGGGAGCTGATGGTCGGCTCCCACTTGAGGTCCTGGGTGATGGTGGTGCCCAGGAAACGGAAGGACTCCACAGAGGTGATGGGGGAGTCCATCACGGAGGGTGGGGGCGGGGGGACAGTGCTCTTCCTGAAGTCCACAATCATCTCCACTGTCTTCTGGGCGTTCAGCTCCAGGTTGTTACCACTGCACCAGGACACCAGCCGGTCCACCTCCCTCCTGTAGGCGGACTCATCGTTGTTGGAGATGAGTCCAATGAGGGTGGTGTCGTCCGCGAACTTGATCAGCTTCACGGAGTCGTGGCTGGAGGTGCAGTGGTTGGTGTACAGGGAGAAGAGCAGGGGAGAAAGAACACAGCCCTGTGGGGCTCCTGTATTTATAATCCGAGAGTCCGAGACATTCTTCCCCAGACGCACTCGCTGCTTCCTGTCCGTCAGGAAGTCAGTGATCCACCTGCAGGTGGAATCGGGCACGTTGAGCTGGGAGAGCTTGTCCTGGAGCAGGGATGGCAGGATTGTGTTGAAGGCAGAGCTGAAGTCCACGAACAGGACCCTGGCGTAGGTCCCCGGGGAGTCCAGGTGCTGTAGGATGTGGTGGAGGGCCAGGTTAATGGCGTCGTCTACAGATCTGTTGGCTCTGTAGGCGAACTGCAGGGGGTCCAGGAGGGGGGAGGTGAGGGACTTGAGATGGGAGAGAACCAGGCGTTCAAATGACTTCATGACGACAGACGTAAGTGCTACAGGTCTGTAGTCATTGAGTCCTGTGATCCTGGGCTTCTTCGGGACGGGGACAATGATGGAGGATTTGAAGCAGGCCGGGACATGGCAGGACTGCAGAGAGGAGTTGAAAATGTCCGTGAACACAGGAGTAAGCTCACTGGCGCAGTGTCTCAGAGTGGCCGGAGACACGTGGTCCGGGCCAGGAGCTTTGCGGGGGTGCAGCCTCAGGAAGAGTTGTTTAATCTCTTTAGCGGCTATTGTTAGGCTGGGGGCAGGGCTGATGGGTGGGTCGTTAGAGTAGTGGGGGGTGGGGGAGGGAGAGGTGTCAGGGGCAGCATCAAAGCGACTGAAAAATAAGTTCAGATCGTCAGCTAGCTTGTGGTCATCAGCACAGGGGGGGGCTTTGGGTTTGTAGTTGGTGATCTCCCGTAGGCCCCTCCAGACAGAAGCAGTATCGTTGTTACCAAACTGCTCCTGTAGTCGTTCTCTGTGCCGGGACTTGGCTGCTTTCAGTTCTTTCCTGAACTGATATTTAGCTGCTTTGTAGCCGCTGCGGTCCCCCCTCCCTGAAAGCAGACTCCTTTGCTTTCCTGAGCTGCCGGAGTTTAGCAGTGAACCAGGGTTTGTCGTTGTTATAGATGACCCTGGTCCTTGTTGGAATGATGCTATCCTCACAGAAGTGGATGTATGACGTCACAGTGTCCGTATATTCATCCAAACTATCTGTGGCAGCTCTGAAAAGGTCCCAGTCTGTAGATTCCATGCACGCGCGCAGCTCTTCCACAGCTTCATCAGACCACACTTTGGAGCTCCTCACTGCAGGTTTCGAGAGCTTTAGTCTCTGTCTGTAAGCAGGAACCAGATGTATCATGGAGTGATCTGAGAAGCCGAGGGCTGGCTTGGGAACAGCGCGAAAAGCTCCGCGCACGGTGGTGTAACAGTGATCCAGAGTGTTCTCCTCTCTGGTCGGGCATTTGATAAACTGTCTGTATTTGGGTAATTCCTGGCTCAAGTTTCCCTTATTAAAATCCCCCAGGATAATAATCAGAGAGTCCGGGTATAAGCGTTCCATACACAGTACTTGCTCTGCGAGTGCGCGCTGAGCCTCGCGCGCGTCCGCGCATGGCGGTATATAAACAGAGGCAAGAATGAATGAAACAATTTCCCGCGGGGAGTAATATGGTTTACAATGAATGAAAAGATATTCCAGAGCAGGAGAGCAGTGCTTGGAGATCACTGTCACATCGTTACACCAGTTTGTATTGACGTAGAAACAGAGCCCTCCGCCTCTGCTCTTCCCTGAGAGCGCACAATGGCGATCCGCGCGAAACAGCCCAAAGCCCTGCAGCTCCAGAGCGCAGTCCGGGATCCGCTCATTTAGCCAGGTCTCAGTGAAGCAGAGGACACAGGATGTGGCGAAGTCCTTGTTTCTTCTCATGAGCAGGCTGAGTTCGTCCATCTTATTGCCCAGTGAGCGTACGTTGGAGAGAAAAATGCCGGGGAGAGCCGTGCGCGCTCCTCTCCTCCTAAGACGCACGAGCAGGCCTCCTCGCTTTCCCCTTTTACGGGCCCACACTTTTTTGGCTAGAACATGAACTAAATCAGCCGCAGATGCCAAGAAAACAGGCAATAGGTCCATGGGAACGGTGGGTCGGATGTTCATAAGTTCCTCACGGGTGTAGGAACAGCCAGATGCACAGTTAAAAAGTAAAAACAAAAGAAAAAGAGAGCAGCAAAGAGCCATGTCGACCGTACGAGGCGCCATCTTGAATCACACATTCAAGATGAAGTTTATGAACTTGTTTCTGCCCTAAAAGAATCACCATAATTAAAACATAAACGTCGGAACTGGTGTATTTAGATCCTCCTGTATCATCAAAGAAAAACGCTCAAGCTTACAAATAATAACAAAATCTGTCTGTAATCCACACAGCTAGAATTTTAAACAATAGTTTTCAGTTTGCGTTTTGAAAAAGAGCAGATGTGAATGGCGTGTGTGGTGTTCCAGTCTGGGGGGCAGGACCAGGAGAGGAAGCACAAGAAGCGGCGTGGGGAACTCTACTCCGTCCAGACATCGCTCATCGTGGCCGCTCTGAAGAAGATGCTGCCTATTGGTCTGAACATGTGCACACCCGGAGACCAAGAGCTCATCTCTTTAGCCAAGACACGCTACCTGCTGGTTTGGGAACTTTTCTCCTTAAGATTAATACTTTTTTCAATCTTAGAACGGCTTGGCATGTCGTTTTTCTTCTGATCTTCAACAGAAAGACACAGACGATGAAGTGAAAGATCATATTCATCAGAATCTCCACCTCAGAGAAAAGGTGATTTATGGGTGGCTTTAAAGCTGGGGTACATTGCTTTTTTCGTAGATAATACATTTAGTTTGTCCTGAGCTTTGTAAAAGTGAAATGGTGGCAACAAATCAGACGACATTAACTGGAGTCACTATTTGGCTCTTTCAGAGCTGATCGACATAAAAGAAGAAACAATGATTTTAATACTGTACATAGTTTGATTTGGTACCCCAGCTTGAAGAAAATACTGGAGTTCTGGTTACAAGTACATTTTTTTCCCCATCAGTCGGAGGACCCAGCCGTGCGGTGGCAGCTGAACCTCTACAAGGACATTCTCACCAAGACTGAGGGGGCTCCAGACCCCAACAGAGTCGTGGACCGCATCCAGAGGATCTCTGCTGCGGTCTTTAACCTGGAGCAGGTCAGACCTCACACCTCATAACTATGGTTACAGTGTGTGTGAGTGACTGTCGACTTTTTGTACCAATTTTGACCACTTATGCAAAGCAAGTTTATTTCTAGAGCACAGTCCAAATCAAAGTGCTTAATATAACAAGATGAAAACAATCATTTATGGCAATAAAATTATCAAAAATCATAGAACAGGAGAAGCCTGTCTCACATTTTGAGGAAGGCAGCTTCAGATTCTAGCTGCTTAAATCTGAAATGCTGCCTCTACTGTTTAGCCCTGACTCTGGGCCCAGCAGGAGGTCAGTCCCTGTGTACTTGCAGAATGTGCAGAGTCTGAGTTGGTTCATTTGGTACTAATATGTCAAATAATATGTGAAATAATAAACACAGTTATATTAAAGTAATTCTGTCCTATTCTTCCAATAGGTGGAGCAACCTTTGAGATCGAAAAAATGTGTCTGGCAGAAGTTACTTTCCAAGCAGAGAAAAAGGGCGGTTGTTGCCTGTTTTCGCATGGCACCTCTCTACAACCTACCAAGGTACCATCAACACATTATCAATCAATCAAGATGTTTATGAACATGTACAACACAAATCCACCCAACAAAATGACATTCATTGGATCATACATGTTCTGAAAAGGGTTTTTATAAAGCAGTCGTACTCACTCAACACAGACAAAACAATGTGGAACTAAATCTTTCAAAAACACTACAACAACTCTTTTTTGTATAACCCTAAATCTCAACAGTAGTCATCTCGGAGGACTTTACAAGGTTGTAGATTCTGCAACACAAATCAGAGAATCAAATATTTCTAAAGGAAATGCAATGATGACAAACAATAATATTCATCATTGGTCCATGGGGTCGGGATGACCAATGTCCATAAATGTCAATAAATATCCATAATATGGTACAATAGACACACACACAGGACCAAACACTCTCTGACCGAACACACCTCTCCCACTAGTATGTGCTGGCACTCTCTCACTGCACGTACTTATTTTTTAAATGCAGCCATCTTTAAACATGTTTCTTATGGTGGGCAACTCGCTTTACTTTTTTTTTTTTCTATGGACAATGGATGAGAAAGATGTCTGTAGTGGACATTAGTTACAATCCTAATGGCCTTTTTTGTGAGGTTTCTCCACACACACAGAGACAAATAGAACACATGAATTCCCACCATCCACGTTCTGACCCAGCATTACTCCAAGCCGTCCCTTGCTCCGTGTACAGGACAAATGTCTGGCCTGTAGCTGCTATTAAACAGTAGAAAAAAGGGACACTGGCAATTTCACGGCCTGCTGCTCTGTAACTCAATCACACAGAGCCGCACGGAGCTACAGTACAGAGGAAAACAATTATGAGGGTCCACCTGGGGGGAGCTTATTCCCAATATGGCCCCGCCTGCCCGCCTCACAGCACGGCCCCTGTATTCAGTTACTGACAGTGAAGTATGACATGACATAAACACAAATTATATGGCTGTTTTGATTTCATTGTGTTATTTAAGCTCATACACTGCAAAAAGTGATCAAAAATAAGTCAAATGCTCAAATTTCGCAAAATATATCATAGTGTGAGCACATTCTGAGAGCCAAGCTTTGCCAATGGGACAAAGCAAAATGATCTTGTTTTAAAAAGAAATGTCTCCCTTGGAATGAGAAAATAAAGCAACAGTCCTTGATATAAGACTAAATGGCGTTGTCCCATTGGCAGAATATACTCAAATAAAAAAAAAAACTAAATTCAAGCCATCATTACCTCATAAGTTATATATTTTTGCAGTTTATGATAATTCTGTTGAAACAGGTGTGGTTTTGTCTTGTCTTTGTTTTCCTGATTGCTGTGCTGTACTATGATTCTTCTCAGGCACATAATTAACAATTACTTCCTGAAAGTCTACCAATATAAGTGGCTCCAAAGGTTGCATGGGAATTCAGACTATGACTGTCTGCTCTCCATGCTCACGGTAACGACCTACAGAATCGCAATCCTCCAATCCCTGCACTCCTCCCCCAGGGCCTGAAGCCGATCACTTTGCAAGAGTAGGGATTGACATGTTTTCTCTGGAATGGTCTACTCTCCATATAAAAACTAGCAATGCGTCAGATTATGACGTTGGAAACTAACAGTTCAACAAATCAAATGCAAATCTGTGAAGTATTCTAGGTCTGAAAAATAAGCAAATAATAATAAACATAGAGGTTTGAAAGGCGAGTTTGTCATAATGTCATATTATTACGCTTTTATTAAGTCTTACTCTTGATTGATTAGAGTGAAACCAGTGAAAAAGAGATGATTATTTGTAATTCAAGTTAAAGCTAGGCTACTAAATGTTTTACCAATACATGTTTCCGTGTGTTTGTCCCGACAGAAAGAATCTTGTAGTACTGTAGTAACCTATACTGTAAACAAATTCGACCACAGCTACTCACTATTTGACGTTTTGGGCTGAGAGCTGATTGGCTGAGTGTGGGTGGTCTCCTCTATTTAACTTTTTTGTGTGAAAAAGCTGGTCTAAAGATGTGACAGAGGCTAAAAATGCATTTGAAATCTATTGATGTAAGCAAACTTTTATGAGAGAGAGGAAATAGTTACCAGCTTCAATCAGTTATTTCTTTAAAGCAAATTCATGTTAATTAATGTTTATTTTTTTTTATGTTTATGTTTTATTTAACCAGGACAGTCCCAGTGAGATTAAAAACCCCATTTTCAAAGGAGTCCTGGATAAGATGCAGCAAAAGTTACAAACTATTTCACAAAAAGTCAATGAGGATGTCTAGTGCTTTCAATCTGGACTTAAAGGCGCTATACCCGTTTCTGCAATGTTTGAATGTTTAGCACCGCCCCCTTCTCATTTCCCCTACGCTCTCATAACACAGAGCCACCTAGTTTTATTTGCGATCTGATACATATGGGGTGCGTACCGATGTTCCCCGGGTCCGATGTTCCCCGGGTCCGATGTTCCCCCACTTCTATAGGCGGGGGAACATCGGACCCGGGGAACATCGGTACTTCGCGTATTAAAAAGTCCCGATGTTCCCCGGGTCCGATGTTCCCCCGCCTATAGAAGTGGAGGAACATCGGGACTTCAACAACGAGACAAGTCCCGCTGTTCCCCGCGTGCGCGCTTTGATGTTTGATGTTTCCTCCTCCACGAAAGATGGCATATGATCCGTGCCAACTTTTGTGAGAGAAAAATACTAACTAGCCTAAGCCTATTTACTTTTCTTTTTCCCTCTCGCTCTTTGTGTGCTCATATTTCAGCTGATCGCAGTTTGAGTCTATGCAGGATATTTTTGGGCATGTTATGGGCATGTTATCTCCCCTTGCTCACTCTCCCATGGGCATCTATATTTGACAAGTCTGACTGAATAAAATGAGGACGATTGAAACTAGAGCTACTACATCTGTTAGCCTATAGTTTTTCCAAATACGTGGTTTTGCTGAGGGCACTGTGCTTTTACGCATAATGGACACGCATATGACGTCGTTTTTGTTGTAAAACTTGAATATGCTCTTTTAGTTTTAGAGATATTAATACATATTATTCTATTCAGAATGCGTGCGTCATTGTGCATTGTTGTCCCGCCTTACGTGTCACTCACAGTTAAAATGTAAATAACCAATTCAAACATAGCATTTTTACAACTTGAGCTTTAAGAAAAAAATGATCAAAGGAATCAGTGTAAAATAAGATCGGAAAAGCTCAATTCATGATTGTTTAATTAGGTTTCCCATTTTTAAATACAATTGGAAACGCTCAGAATTCAAAAATATTGAAAAGTGTATTGGCTCCTACAGTGGGGGGAATAATAATAATAATATAACCCCCTGAGCGTCATCACGTTCCTACGTTGCTTCAAGTCCTGTTTATTGGCTGAACAATTTTGTCCAATATCATATTACACAGCGTGAAGCGAGAACAACCAGCTATTCCTCGTCTTAAAGATTGACAACGCTCTCAAAGCATTCACAACAGAGCAGCCTTTTTCATTTTAATTTTAAGAAAGTTCAGCGTGAACTTTGTGAGGTAGAGGAGCCAGAGGCCCGGGCCCATAGGTCCCAGAGGAGGAGAGCGCGGTCAGGCCAGGCTCGCCTTGCACTGATGAGGTAAACTCTAGGCCTGTGTGAGACACACTGTGGGCCTCACTGTAGGCCTCACTGTGGGCCTCACTGTGGGCCTCATGTATGAAACCTGCGTACGGCCAAATCAGGGTAAATGAGGCGTACGCAAAATATTACACTTTTCCGCATTTATCAATCTGGACGTGAGCGTACAATACGCAAAAAATAAACGCCAGGTCTGGAGGTGGTGTAAATCTATACGCTGAACTCAACCTTCGGCACAACACGCCAAAACACGCATGAAATTCAAGATATGTACAACAATAAACATATTCCCTCTGGCAAAATTATATGCTGTGTTTTCATTGAGGATCATGTTTCAAAATTTGAATTTGCGCATCAGAAAAAGTCTAATGGAAACACGCAAACTTCGAATAAATCACAGCTCATGATGAGGACCCTCTATTAAATCTGACTTGTGTGTGTATTATTTTGATCTGTATGTTTTTAAAATGTGAAGCGCTTTGTGATCCTGGACAGTCAAAGGCTCTATATAAATACACATACGCAACAGGGATGTGTGACCCATCTATTGCTGTGGCAGGCTCTGCGCTGCGTAATTACGCACGGCTATTTGTATTCCTCATTCACATCTGGTAAAGCAATGTGTTATTTCATTAGATTTGTGTAAGCCTCACACAGACACACACCCCAATAACGCATCGATGGTATTGCTCACTCAAACGTCTCACTGCCCTGTCCAGAGTCGCGCCACATGTGCAGAAGTTTTGGCTCCAGAGTTTCTTTGTGAAATCTGGACCGCAAACGCTCTCTATGAAGTGTACAGCGCCTCAATGCGCACTTCTACCCCGAGCCAGGCTGCGTCCAAGACGCTGCAGACGCTTCATTCAGAGCCACCGCTGCATAATATATATTAATTAATTCATTCATTCAATCAATCTATATTTATTCACTTCTACAATTCAAGAAGGATTTTTCTAATGTATCAAAACATTTTGGCAAATTGCGTAAATGGAATATACACCCAAAATGTACATCTTTTTCAACGCAAGTTTCATAAATGAGCTTGTGTGTATGTGCGCGCGTGGTGAGTGCGTGTGCGTGTGTGCGTTTGAACCATATTCTTTGAAACCCCAATTCCAGTTAGCCCTTGTAGTTTGCAAGCGAATTTGGCCTACTTACTAATCTGCAGGCCTACCCAAAATAGACTAGTTATGAGCGAAAGCCGCTTGTTGCTCCATTATCCGCGCGCAGCAATAACATGTCTATGAGCGAGGCCCGCAGTCGGGGAACACCGGGCCCTCCGGCGTTTGGAAGGTCCGATGTTCCCCGGGTCCGGTGTTCCCCGCCCCGGGGAACGCCGGACCCGGGGAACACCGGACCCGGGGAACACCGGACCCGGGGAACATCGGGCCGACCCCATACATATGCTAACATTAGCATTAGCGCAACTTCTTATAAGCTGTACAACAATCACTGATGAAATGGTACTAAAGCAATGCACTGCTAACACAATATATAAGTAAAAGAATACCACTAGTTTCGCGTCCGAATGTATTAATTTAAAACCTTAGAATATAGTCTAATATTTAATTATAATTTGTTATAGAGCTCCTCAAAGCAGCAGCAGCAATTCTTCCGATCATTTTTCTTGATAACAGAACTCTCAAACTAATAATGACCGAAGCCCCAATGCAACCTCTGTTTGTAATTCAGGTGTGTAAAATACTGCCATTACTCTGCAAGTACAACAAGCTATCAGCGCCTGTCACTACACACTTGTCTGTGTAGAGAAGCCAACGGAGCTAGCGGAGCTAGCCACGCTCAATAAACAACTACATATCTATCAATCAACACCATTAAACGTCAATCGGACAATACAGTACACATATACATCCTTAACACACATGCACGGATGATTTCAGAATTTGCTGTTAACGTTTTCATGACAAAAATACTGTTTCAATGTGACAAAAAGCGATTGCGAAAAACCCGGAAGTTACCATGAAACAACTAGCTAGCTTAGCTGTTACCTGCCTAGCACGTCCCGGTGAAACCTTTGGGAGCTAACTATTTTATTTGCAGTCATTAAATACATTTCGAATTACAAGGGTTGTCTAATATTTGTTCAAATTTTTTTATTCAATTATTTTGTTCATCCTTTTTTATTTTAGAATTATATTCGAATTTTGAAGTCCTGGTGTTAAGCAGCGCTGTAGAGGCTAGAGGACGCAGGCTGTTCGCTGCTCGTTCTGTGAGCGGAGGAGAAAGAGCGGCCCGCTCAGACTCTACTCAGCACTTTTCACTGCTTGTAATTCTTACACAGCTGAATCAATTACCCCAAGTTTTCAATTAAATTATGTATTATGATACAACTTGTATGTAGTAAAAAGCATTTTTATGAACTACTTAGAAAAAAAATCGGGTATAGCTTCTTTAACCCTCTATGGCATACTGTTGCCCTCGGGCAACAAACCAATCTTTTGGCTCTTACACTGGCCCTTTAATGTTTTTTTTTATTTTTTATTTTTATAAAATTACTAGACATGTTTCTGTCCAATTAAATCAAGTTCTGAAGTGGGTGGGGGCAATTGTCTGGGGGTGGAGCAGTCCTTTCAGGAAGCAGAGTCACAAGTGACACAGTGCCAGAAAAAGGTAGGATAAATATAACTTTTCTACATGTTTAAATTCGAAAAACTTGATAAAATAAATATGTGACTGTGCATGAATATGTTAAGAAGCATATTTGATTGTTAATATATGTTTTTTGTTTCCATTTATATACAAAAACTGCACGTTTATGTTTGTTGCCTCAAGGCAACATCATGCAGTTGTAGCACTTTTGTTTGGGCAGTGTAATGCTGCTGGTTGGGGATGTGCTTGAATGGATAATCAACACCACACTCAATGTTTTTTGCTGTTCTATCTTCCATTCTGATCTATCTACTATTGCTTGTAGGAAATGGATGCAATAACGTTTTACGGGTCCAAAAATGAAGGAGTTAGGGACATTCCAATCGATAGTCCTGGTCTCAGGTCTCTGTCCTGAAGTCCTCTCACATTAGTCCTGGTCTCAGGTCTCTGTCCTGAAGTCCTCTCACATTAGTCCTGGTCTCAGGTCTCTGTCCTGAAGTCCTCTCACATTAGTCCTGGTCTCAGGTCTCTGTCCTGAAGTCCTCTCACATTAGTCCTGGTCTCAGGTCTCTGTCCTGAAGTCCTCTCACATTAGTCCAGGTCTCAGGTCTCTGTCCTGAAGTCCTCTCACATTAGTCCTGGTCTCAGGTCTCTGTCCTGAAGTCCTCTCACATTAGTCCTGGTCTCAGGTCTCTGTCCTGAAGTCCTCTCACATTAGTCCTGGTCTCAGGTCTCTGTCCTGAAGTCCTCTCACATTAGTCCTGGTCTCAGGTCTCTGTCCTGAAGTCTTCTCACATTAGTCCTGGTCTCAGGTCTCTGTCCTGAAGTCCTCTCACATTAGTCCTGGTCTCAGGTCTCTGTCCTGAAGTCCTCTCACATTAGTCCTGGTCTCAGGTCTCTGTCCTGTAGTCCTCTCACATTAGTCCTGGTCTCAGGTCTCTGTCCTGAAGTCCTCTCACATTAGTCCTGGTCTCAGGTCTCTGTCCTGAAGTCCTCTCACATTAGTCCTGGTCTCAGGTCTCTGTCCTGAAGTCCTCTCACATTAGTCCTGGTCTCAGGTCTCTGTCCTGAAGTCCTCTCACATTAGTCCTGGTCTCAGGTCTCTGTCCTGAAGTCCTCTCACATTAGTCCTGGTCTCAGGTCTCTGTCCTGAAGTCCTCTCACATTAGTCCTGGTCTCAGGTCTCTGTCCTGAAGTCCTCTCACATTAGTCCTGGTCTCAGGTCTCTGTCCTGAAGTCCTCTCACATTAGTCCTGGTCTCAGGTCTCTGTCCTGAAGTCCTCTCACATTAGTCCAGGTCTCAGGTCTCTGTCCTGAAGTCCTCTCACATTAGTCCTGGTCTCAGGTCTCTGTCCTGAAGTCCTCTCACATTAGTCCTGGTCTCAGGTCTCTGTCCTGAAGTCCTCTCACATTAGTCCTGGTCTCAGGTCTCTGTCCTGAAGTCCTCTCACATTAGTCCAGGTCTCAGGTCTCTGTCCTGAAGTCCTCTCACATTAGTCCAGGTCTCAGGTCTCTGTCCTGAAGTCCTCTCACATTAGTCCTGGTCTCAGGTCTCTGTCTTGGCTGTGAAACACAGCCACTAGCAACTGCTTCTTGCTGTTCCATACACAATAGGCTACCGAGACCCGCAGCTGTGTGACTTACTAGAGGCTCAGAACTGTTTTTGCTTTTGTTTTTGCAATCTGGAGTGCACTGTACCCGTTTAAAAAAGTTGAGCTTGAAAAATAAAAGAATAAAAACTTCTCTAATGTATTTGTTTTATTATTTTCCTAATTCAATGTAATATTGAAAACCTTGGTGTTTTAGTACCCTCGTCGCACAATGTTGCCCTTAAGCAACAAACCATTATCTGATTGGGGGGGTGGGGGGGGGTCAAATGTAAAGATCAATGTTATTAGGGACCCACGAGCTCTTAAAAAGTGTGTTGAAATATTTTTTTCCCCCTAAAATAAAAAGTCATGCCATAGAGGGTTAAAAGCTTTCACTGTGCGAGCCCTGCTTCTCTAATATGTGTTGAATTTGCCTGTTTTCTGCACTAACACGTTGGTTCTGCCTTAAGGACCCCTCGGCCCTCTGCTTCTTCCTGTCTAACCCTGCTGATGTGATGTCGCCCTCCCTTTCCAGGCATCGCTCTATTAACCTCTTCCTCCTGGCCTATCAGAGAATATGGATAGAGACAGAGGAGTACTCTTTTGAGGAGAAACTAGTGCAGGACCTTGCAGTAAGTACTCTGCAGTGCCACAGGCGGCCAGACTGTGTCCATTACCGTCGAGCCCACTGGGTCACGGCCCGGCTCACACTGTGTCCTGTAACATGTAACATGTCCTGGCCCGACATCCTAGGTGATGTCAGAGCACACCGCTGTGGTTGTTTGTGTGTATGACATCAAAGCATTCAAGAGCAATGCTTTGGCAAGTCCCGACTGCATACGTAACATTCATACAGACTCATATTATAATCAGAATTTTAAGATTGTCCAGCATTTTACACTTTGATCAGCCAATATATATTTAAAAAAAGAGTGTTTTTTAAATGATGGCTATTCACCGCAAAATTATTCCTGCAGTTTTGCTACCATGGCATGTTATACCTCATCCATCCATCCATTTTCTACCCTTTAATCCATTTCTGGGTCAGGGGGGTGGCAGTCAGAGATGCCACCCAAGTCTCATAGCACCAGCCCCTCACTGACCCTCTGCAGGTGGTGAGTCCACAGGAGGACGGCTGCTCTCTGAGTGTGAGCATAGCCTTGATCTTTCAGTGGGGGCTTTGGGCAAAGTGGGGTTAAGTGTCTTGCCCAAGGACACAACGCCAGCAGTCATCAGTGGGAGTCGGTGGAGAAGGTGTAGAGGTGGGTTATACCTCATGTTAATGGTAATATTCCCAGGAAAACAACCATTTTTTTAAATTACACTCTAAACAACAAAAATAGTTACATTTTTGTTTAGCCCTAAATCACAACATCTGTATTCGCAGAGAACTTCATTTGTCAACAACAGATCAGAGAAACAGTTGAAACTCAGGAAAAAACATGAAATCAAACACATAGGAACCATTGGGAGCGGGATGAAAAATGTCCATGAATGTTAATGAACGTGTCACATGTATATGCACATAAAAGGTGCATACATAACATTTTAAAATAAAATACAAATATGTTAATCAGTTGACATTACTCCCCCTTTAGTCCAGTTCTGTTTCTATCCAAACACATCTATACCTCTGCTATATACTATCCAAACACATATTAAATAAAGGGTAGCATTAGCCCCTTGTCCATACTTGTTTGGAGCCTTAAAATAATGTCCATTTTAAAATGGTCATAACATTTATTATTTATCAGACATTATTTATGTCTACTGTTGGTTTTCTCATCATAATTGTAACATTGTAGTTTAACATTGTGACAATCCTGCTCTGATTATGACTTGAGCCAGGCCTGGTATTAGATTCTTTGGCATTATTTTCTTAAATCTGGCAGATAGACGTCCTGGCTGGAACCAAATATGTATAGAGTGTACATGTTGCTATGTCTCTTGTTCATCATTGTCTTCATCAAAAACTACACAACTGTGGCTTCACTCCCCATTCATACTCCTCTACATAATCCTGCATTTTGTTTGCATGGCATTCACTTCCCTTTGACTCTATATCGAGGTAAGTGTGTGTGAATTATCCGTATCATTTCGAGCTCTGACAGTGTGACTTTGCGCAGAAAATCCAGCTCAAAGTGGAGGAGGAGGAAGAGGAGGAGGAGAGGAGACAGCCCGACCCCCTTCATCAGCTCATTCTGCATTTCAGCCACAACGCTTTGACCGAGTGCAGGTAGAAACACACCCACCCACACACACACATCCTTACTCGCACCTGGCACTGTACTGCTCCATCTGTGCACCTCAACGATTTTGGCTCGCAGCAGCAGCAATAAATGGGAAGCTTTACGCTAAATTACACCAAAGCATTTTATAGTACAAGAGACAGACAAGCATCTCTGAAAAAACACGTGGCTGCGTCAAAGAGATTGCTGCTAAGTATTTCCACTCTCTGACAGCTCATTGGAAGAGGACCCCTTGTATATTGCCTATGCGGATATGATGGCAAAGGTAATAAATGCTGTATGTTGTATGCATATTTAAGGTCTGTTGGATTGAGCTCAAACATTAAATTTTTCACTTTTAGAGTTGTGCTGAAGGGGAAGAAGAGGAGGACAAAGAGAAAACATTTGAGGTGCTGTTGCTATACTACAGAGAGTTACAGTATTTGATTGTGTACTTGCTGGTGGTCAGAAAGTATGGGGTTATTACTGTGTGTGTTGTTGCAGGAAAAAGAAATGGAGAAACAGAAAATGCTTTACCAGCAAGCCAGACTGCACGACCGCGGAGCAGCTGAAATGGTGCTCCAAATGATCAGCGCCAGCAAAGGTAACCAGCCCAACGAGCCTTATTTTTGATCATCATTTACGATTGCGTTGCTTTTCTGCCGTTCCCAGGTCGTCTTGGTCCCATGGTGACATTCACTCTCAAGCTGGGAATCTCAATCTTAAACGGAGGAAATATTTTGGTCCAGATGGTACATACATACAATACTCTTTCTATGGGAATCATCACCTTTTTTTATGTCAATGGCTGTCTCAGTAGCTCTACTGTTGTCTGTTTTGATGCAGAAAATGTTGAATTATCTAAAGGAAAAAAGAGATGTTGGCTTCTTCAAAAGTTTGTCTGGCCTCATGATGTCGTGCAGGTAAATCTTTTATTTTTTATGCTTTTATATTCAAATGTATTTTTATTAGCCCTGAGCCCCGAACGGGGTAAGGGCCTATTGCTTTCACAAAGGGTGAATGCAAATGGTGGCGATGCGTGACGGACGCATCAGCGCCCATCACTCCCCCCGACGTGATGGTTGTGTGCGTAAACTCAAACGCTTAAAAATGATGTATAACGTGCCATTGAAACCTATATTGTTTTTGCTCGAGACGTCGAAAAAAAAAATCCTTATTGGCCCGAGCCTCGAACGGGGTAGGGGCCTATTGTTTTTGCTCGAGAGATGTCAAATTCTGCACTTTGAGCCTTAATTTGACCCCCTGAACATGCATGAAAAGTTGTAAAATTTTGCCCAAAAATCAGACCTGGTGAAACATTTGATTTTTGGTGTTTATTTTTATGGGACTCAAAAAATTCCAGAACAGCGCCACCTACAACAGCCAACTTAATACCCCTTTTGGAGTTTCGGAGATCAAGTTTCGATACACATGTTCCTCAAGTCGAGACATGAAAAAAAATGTATTATGGCTCCGCCCTCTGACAAACAGGAAGCCCATAAATTTCACTGCAAAATGGAAAAATGAACAGCAAAAAATTGCGAAAAAAGCGACTTCTCCTCGGCCGTTTCACCGATTCGCCTCAAAATCGCTCCACATCATCTCAACACATGTACCTTGAAAATGACTTCGGCGATTTTCGATCAGTGAAACGTTGTTTGAGCAACGGAGCGGCAAAATGTGACCTATTTTCAGCCGTTTTTGACAGTATTTGATTTTTGCTCCCGTTTGCACATACAAAGTCCGATTTGCACAAAACTTTAATACATTGTTCAACTCTAGGGTCTAGGTCAATTAAAAGTGAAATAAATGAATTTGGCTCATTAGCGCCCCCATACAGATGGGGTCAAAGATTTTAGTATAGGAGGGGTTCGAGGTCAAGTTTGTCATATAGCCATGAAATTTGGTACACATGTTCCTCAACTCAAGACATGAAATAAAAGTTATTATGGCCAAGCCGCCTGACAAACAGGAAGCCCATAAAATACACTTCAAAATGGAAACATGAAAAATGATCCTTTTCACACATGTCCGTTGGAAAGCGATTCCTCCTCGGCCGATTCGCCGATTTGTCTCAAAATCGCTCCACATCGTCTAAACCAAGCCCCGGCGATCCAAGATGGCGCCCTATTCAAATGAATGGTTTGTGCTCAGTAGCGCATGGGACTTCATGGAGACCGGGAGATTAGCTGAACTCGCCTATATTTGGGCATCGTCTGCTCCTTCCGGTTCTGCGCAGTGGATTAGCGCAACGCATTATGGGAGATATCTCCCATAATGCGTCGCGCCAAACGTGCGTGTGTGGCTTTCATACACGCGCACAGAGGGGCTCGGCCGCGCTCTGACCAATCAGAGCTGCTCATCAGAACAGCGGAAGAGCGGAGCCAGAGCGGGAAGGCAGGGAGCAGAGTTTATGGCAGTAAAGTGTGGATTTAAAGAAAACCGAAGGATTTAAGAAGAAAAAAAGTTCAGGATGACAAGGGACACTAAAATCTCCACAAAATCCGATCTTTATGAAAGCTGTAGGCTCTCTGTCAGCTGAGGTCGTGCTGTTTTAATATATATTGAGTTCTATGGGACTTTTTTTTGGGTAGCCCGCTTCAATTTAGTCTGCAGTACCATGGGCGCCCCCTGTGCCCATAGATGGGACAGCTATAAGCTAGTGATACCCTATCCAGTTAATATTATAGATCCATGGTCTAAACACATGTACCATCATTTTGATTTCAGCCAATTTTGGCTGGAGGACTAGCAAGATGGCGCCATGTCAGGGCGCTGCAGTGAACGCTCTGGTGCGCACAATCTGTGTTTTGTTGTTTTTCGTCTGGGATTCACTTGCCACAGTGAAATATGATCGGCTAACACTTCTGCACATTCGGGACCACGCGGGTGACTGGTCACTCGTTTTACCTGAACTGAGGTGCACAAACTTCCTCGAATGTCCCACTCGAGAGGCCCGTGGAGCACGGCAGGCGGGCCGTGGCGGTGGCCGCCAACAGAGCGAGGGGACTGGGCGTCTCCGGCGTTCTCTCCGCGGTGTGGAGCTGGGCACCACGAGTCGGCGAAGGAGGCGCAGACACCGGGGAAGGCGAGGCGGTCTGCTCGTTCGTAGCCGCTCCTCCAGGACCCCTTTGCCCTCCATCTACCTGGCCAACGTCCAGTCTCTGCCCAACAAGACGGACGAGCTCCTGTGTCGGGTCCAGAGCCAGCGCGAGGCCCGGGACTGCGCTGTGTTCTGCCTCAGCGAGACGTGGCTCCACTCGAACGTCCCGGACTCTGCTGTTCAGCCTCCGGGATTCACCGCTCACCGTGCAGACAGAGTGAAGGAGACCACGGGCAAGGCCAGAGGCGGAGGTGTGTGCTTTTTAATTAATCAGCGCTGGTGCACGGACACTCGCATCGTGAACCAAACATGTACTGCCAATCTGGAATGCCTGGTCTTGAGCTGCCGCCCTTTTTATCTTCCCCGTGAGTTTTCAGTGATATTTTTATGTGCTGTTTACATTCACCCACGTGCGGATTACAAAGTAGCCCTATAGGATCTGAGCCAGATCCTTCACAAACATGAGTCTGCTCATCCTAATGCAGTCATCATTGTTGCTGGGGATTTCAATAAATGTAATTTAAAGACTGTACTCCCGAACTTTTACCAACATGTGACTCAAGCTACAAGAGGAGCACATGTTCTGGATCACTGCTACAGTAACATGAAGGGAGCTTACAGGTCCAGTCTCAAACCTCCTTTTGGAAAGTCTGACCACTCCTTTGTTCTCCTTCTTCCTTCGTATACTCAGAGGAGCAGGGAACATAAACCAACCTCTCGCACTGTGCAGTGTTGGTCTGAGGAGGCTAGCATGAAGCTACAAGGTTGTTTTGATGCTACGGACTGGTCTGTGTTTCAGTCAGAGGACGTCAATGAATTCTGTGACGCGGTGTCTGGATACATATGCTTCTGTATTGACTGTTGTGTCCCACAGAAGGTCATTAAAGAACATTTTAGTCAAAACCCTTGGATGAACGCAGAAGTACGTTGGCGTTTCAATCAAATGATACAGTTGCTTATAAGCTATCCTGTTACTCATTGAAACGTTCTATTAAATCTGCAAAGCGCAGTTACGGGGACAGGTTAAAGAGTTATTTTGAGGAAGATGACCCTCGGCGCATGTGGAACGGTATTAAAGCCATCACATCGTGGAAACCTAGCGCTGGGAAAATTGCATCTGTCGGCCAAGCTCTGCCAAACGAGCTGAACACGTTCTACTGTCGCTTTGAATCCGCTGATGCCTGTCTTACTGTATTCCCTGAGTATTTCAATCAAGGTACCTTCACCGTGACTCAGGAGGAAGTCAGGCGTGTCTTGTCCAGGACCACAGTCCGGAAAGCCCTAGGCCCGGACGGCATCCCTCCTCGTGTCCTGAAACTGTGCTGTGAGCAACTTGCCCCTGTGCTAACAGACATTTTCAACCTGTCGCTAAGGAACTGTACTGTGCCGAACTGCTTTAAAGAGTCGACCATCATTCCAGTTCCTAAGAAAACTCCTGTGACATGCCTGAATGACTATCGTCCTGTGGCCCTCACGTCTGTTCTTATGAAAACTTTTGAGCGGCTTGTGCTGGACTTCATTAAGAGCCAGATCCCTGTGAGTGTTGACCCACTCCAGTTTGCTTACAGACAGAACAGGAGTGTGGAGGATGCCATCTCCTTTGCTCTGAACTCTGTCTACAGTCACTTGGACACTAGTAAATCTGTCGCGAGAATGCTTTTCATTGATTACAGCTCTGCTTTTAACTGCCTTGTCCCAGGTAAACTGATTGAAAAGCTCATGTCTCTAAGTTTAAGTGTTGCCATGTGTAAATGGATTTTTAACTTTTTAACTGACAGATCTCAGAGAGTAAAAATCAATGACTGTTTTTCTGATGTTGTTTCTGTGAGCACTGGTTCTCCTCAGGGATGTATTTTGAGTCCTTTGCTTTTTACTTTGTACACTCACAATTGTGTGTCCTCCTCTGACTCAAACTTGATCATCAAATACGCTGATGACACCACCATCATCGGTCTCATCAGTGACAATGATGAATACTCTTATAGAGCAGAGATACAAAATGTGGTTCAGTGGAGTAAAACTAACAACCTCCAGTTGAACGCATCCAAAACATGTGAACTGGTCTACGACTTCAGTCGCAATAGTTCTCATTTGCCTGTCGTAATCGACAACTCCCAGGTGCAGATCGTAGAGGAGTGCAAGTTTCTGGGTTTAACTCTGTCTAACCTGAAATGGGTTAAAAACACTGACCGAGTTGTTAAGAAAGCTCGTCAGCGTCTCTACTTTCTGCGTAAACTTAGAGAATTTACCACTAACTCTAAGATTCTGCTTAACTTTTATCGCTGCACCATTGAGAGTTTACTTGTTGGTTCTGTGTCTGTGTGGTTTGGAAACATCACAGATAAAGAAAAGAGATCTTTAAACAAGGTGCTCCGCTCTGCAAAGAGGACCGTGGGCTGTGAGCTTCCTGTCCTGGAGGTTCTTTATAAATCCAGACTTTTAAACAAAGCTCTTAGGATTGTCAATGACTCTTCTGGCCACCCTGGGAAAGCCATGTTCCAGCTTCTTCCCTCTGGCAGAAGATATCGCTCTCGTGACATTTGTTTACTGTTTTATTTGTTTTATTTTTGTCTTTTAATGTTGTTTTATGTCTGTATTTGTCTGTGCACACTGGAGACTTTTGCTAATGTATTCCAATGTGGTGTTTTTACTGCAAATGGCAAATAAACTGAATCTTAATCTGAATCTGAATCTGATCAGTGAAACGTTGTTCCAGCAGCGGAGCGCCAAAAAGTGGCGTATTTTTTTCAGTTTTTGACAGTAGAAAAATTGCTTCCGTTTGCACAAACAAAGTCCGATTTGCTCAAAACTTGAAACCATGGTCTAACCCTCGGGTTTGGGTCATTTGAAACTAAAAAATGTGGCTCATTAGCGCCACCTACAAAAGCCAATTTAAAAACGCCTATGGGAGGGGTTGGAGGTCAAAATTGTCGTAGAGCCGTGATATTTGGTACACATGTTCCTCATCTCAAGACATGAAAACAAAGTTATTATGGTCACGCTCCTTGACAAACAGGAAGCTCATAAATTTCACTGCAAAATGGAAAAATTAAAAATTATCCTTTTCACACATGTCGGTTGGAAAGCGACTCCTCCTCGGCGTCGATGACCTCAGGGTTTTTTGGATCAGTGAAAGGTTGTTTGAACAGCAGAGCGGCAAAATGTGAGGTTTTTTTGGCCGTTTTGGACAAAATTAAATTTGCTCCTGTTTGCACAAACAAAGTCTGATTTGCACAAAACTTGAATCCATAGTTCAACTCTAGGGTTTAGGTCAGGTGAAAGTTAAATATTTGAAATTGGCCCTTTAGCGCCCCCTACAGACTGAGGCAAAGTTTTACATGGGGAGCAAAACCAGCTCTACCGATTATATTCATTACAATTTGACTAACAATCTTCTATGGCTACGGGAACAAATCATCACACGGCGGCGCCACTTCCTTTGCGCGGTGCTGCATGGTACGGTGTGGTGCGGTGTAGTGCGATGCAGCTTTGTGTGGGGCAGTGTGGTGTGGATCGAAAAATGTCTTGTTTATAAAATTGGGCAATATAAACATAGTGGATTGGATAAATACCGAATGTAATAATAATCTGTTGGATTTTGTTGCCCTCAGTGTGCTGGACTTGAACGCATTCGAGAGGCAGAACAAGGCTGAAGGTCTGGGAATGGTAACTGAAGAGGGGTCGAGTAAGTAGAAATTCCATCACACATGGTTACGCTTCTTTACAACGCAAACTTAGCCTTACAATATGAAACCCGGTCTCTGTGTCGTGGCTATGTTCAGTGTCATTGTTGCCATTGTCACATTAGTCTGTGCTACTGTATGTCTGAGTCCTGTGCGTGCTCTGCTGTATTAGAAATGTCAATATATTCAAATAACTTACAGGCTACATACAGTATACAACTATGCTTCTGTCTCATTGTCATTCACCAGCCCAGGCTTTAGTCCTGTAGTGACCGTATGACCAAATGTTTTTTCTGTCTATCTATAGCATTGTGTCTTGTTCCTATAATGAATATCAATGTCTTTGCTTATGTCTGCTATTTTTGTTTGTTCTCCTCTGGTCACGTTTTTTACCCAATCGGTCGCAGTCAACGTGAGTGAGCGGGGTAAATACATAGTTACGATTCTACTCATTCCTTTTTGCTCTGCTGACATGTTGCCCGCTCCGTCTCCAAAGCTCTTTTCTTGCCCCAGTCATTTCCTTCTATCGCGTCTCTTGCATTTTCAACATTGCAACATTTTGACATTGAAACCGAAAGATCACATGCATGCTCTTCCCGATAAGTGAGGTCCCTCCCCCCTCCCAACCAAAGTGGCTCCTATAGTTTCAACTCTCCCTGGTGCTTGTGGTTATTGTGAGACATATTCTGTCCGTTTTGATTCATATTAAGTTAGACACCTATAGGCAAAGGTGAGGCTCTTCTGATTTTTTTGATTTTTTACCTATTTCTCCAGTATGCTCTCCTAATTTTGTGCATATTGGAAACTAACAGCTACTTGTGGATTGGGAAGCATTGCAAAGCTGTTTTATGCGTTCTTATGCGGTCTTAAAGGTCAACTAATGCCATTTCTCTATTTCCAGGCTCCAAAGTGCTTCAGAATGATGAGTTTACAAAAGATCTCTTCAGATTCTTGCAGCTTCTTTGTGAGGGCCACAACAATGGTAGGTGAAAAAACATTGTAAGACAAGATTGTAGTGAAAAAAAATGTCTTCTTCTGTCAGACTTTCAGAACTTTCTCAGGACTCAGACAGGCAACACAACAACTGTGAACATTATCATCAGCACAGTGGACTACCTCTTAAGACTTCAGGTCTGCATTTCAGATAATATACAGTATGTGACTTTTGCTGTGTAAATATTATACATGTACAATGTGTTGTTTCAGGAATCGATCAGTGATTTCTACTGGTATTACTCTGGGAAGGAGATCATCGATGAGGCCGGCCAGAGGAACTTCTCCAAAGCACTGTTGGTGGCAAAACAAGTCTTCAACTCTCTGACTGAGTATATACAGGTGGAGATGGCTCTTGCAACAAAAGATATTGACCACTAAAGCTTTTTGTTATAATATTGGTCTTTGTTTGTAGGGGCCGTGCATTGGGAACCAGCAGAGTCTGGCTCACAGCAGGCTCTGGGACGCTGTTGTGGGATTTTTGCATGTTTTTGCAAACATGCAGATGAAGCTCTCACAGGTAACTCCAACAAAGATTTTTTATTTTTTTTCTGTACAAACAATAAATCAACATTCTTGTAATGCAGACTTTGTAATAAATAAGGACAAAATATACTGTTAACTAAAAGAAGGAGTGCAGATACTGTGATATAAATTGTTTTCCTCAAATCAATAATGAATTGCTCCAATACAATGGTGTTGTGCTCCCCAGCCAGAGGAGTACATTCAAAATAGTTTATTGAATTGCCACTAGAGGGCCCCGCAGCCTCAAGTATAAGTCCAGCAGAGAGCAGGTGAGTGCAATGACTAGGTCTGATAAATGGGGCTCTCCTCATCTGACCTGATAGCAGATAAATCCTCTCCTTTGCCTCATCCTGACCCAGGGCTAAAGGTGACGATGTAGTTGGTGTGAAGGAGAAAGCAACTGGAACAGTTTGGATTTAGCGCTTTAGAATCCACCACACATATATCACATTCTATATACAGACTCAACAGACTAAATGACTTCGACAAACCCAGCCATCTGCTCACAGACAGTATAATATCATTACTCCTGGTGATGATGGATAGCTGTAACTTACATTGGCCTTCGGAGCCCCATGGGGCCAACTCTGGGAGGTAACTTTAGGAAACTGTCGTGTCTCACATGCCTCTCACTGTGAGGCTTCACTGTGATACAGTCTGAGTTACTCCCTCTACTCTCTGTCTCCAACAGGACTCAAGTCAGATCGAATTACTGAAAGAGCTGCTGGACCTGCAGCAGGACATGGTGGTCATGATGCTGTCTCTACTCGAAGGTTCGTCCTTATTTGTCCTTCTTATTAAGACACAATCCTGTCCACTACACAGTGCACTGATGTATTCTGCCCATGCAATGACTCCTGAACAGTCCAATATTACCACAGAGATATCATTACATACTTTCCACAACACTTGCATGATGCTCTTGACTACATCAAACGACATACTGTATAAATTGTGGTTTGTGTCTATAGTTGATTATCAAATATTTATAATTCTGACATTAAAAAGGTAAAGTGTAATGTTGTAGGTACATTATATAATACAGAAAAGTCTGTGAAAGCCTTTGTGTCTCTTCAGGAAATGTTGTGAATGGAACGATTGGCAAACAGATGGTGGACACTTTGGTGGAGTCCTCCAGCAACGTAGAGATGATTCTGAAGTTCTTCGACATGTTCCTCAAGCTGAAAGACCTGACCACCTCTGACAGCTTCAGGGAGTACGACCACGAGGGGAAGGGCGTCATCTCCAAGAAAGATTTCCAGAAGTCCATGGAGAACCAGAAACAGTACTCCCAGTCTGAGATCGAGTTCCTCCTGTCCTGTGCCGAGGCCGACGAGAACGACATGTTCAACTACGAGCAGTTTGTGGAGCGTTTTCACGAGCCCGCCAAGGACATCGGCTTTAACGTGGTCGTGCTGCTGACCAATCTCTCCGAACACATGCCGCACGATGCTCGACTCGCCACGTTTTTAGACCTGGCAGAAAGTGTGCTCAGCTACTTTGAGCCTTTCCTCGGCCGCATCGAGATCATGGGAGGTGCAAAGCGCATCGAGCGGGTTTACTTTGTCATCAGCGAATCCAGCCGCACCCAGTGGGAGAAACCTCAGGTCAAAGAGTCCAAGAGACAGTTCATTTTCGACGTCGTTAACGAGGGCGGGGAGAGTGAGAAGATGGAACTCTTTGTCAACTTTTGCGAGGACACCATTTTCGAGATGCAGCTAGCCTCAAAGATTTCGGAAACGGAGCCGGTGGAACGCGCAGAGGAGGACGAGGACGACGACCAGAGCATGGCGGAAAACCAGGAAGAAGAGGAAGAGGAGAGGGAGATGTTGGAGTCCTTGTCTGCATTCACCGTAGCCTGTATCTCGATGCGGAAAAACATGTGCCATTTCAGACAGATGCTGACGTTCAAAAGCATGAGGCGGCAATACAGAAAGTTCCGGAAGATGAGCGTGCGCGAGTTGGTGCGCGGTGTATTTACGTTCTTCTGGATGATTGTCACGGGGTTATTCCACTTTGTTTACAGCCTGATATGGGGCTTTTTCCATATACTGTGGACTACTTTATTCGGCGGCGGCCTCGTGGAAGGCGCAAAAAACATGAAGGTCACAGACATTCTGGGGAACATGCCAGACCCCACGCAGTTTGGTATCCACGGCGACGTGCTGGAGGCGGAGAAGATGGAGGCGTGCGAGGCGGCTGCTCGGGCGGAGATGGGTCAGATGGCTCAGGGGGAAGCGGCCGAGGCTGACCTGATGGCAGAGCTGCTCAACATCCAGCCCAAGAAGGAGGGCAAGCACGGAGCCGAGCCAGGGCTGGGGGACGTGTCCGAGGTGGTGGTGGGGGACACGCCCTCCATCGCAGCAGCGGTCAAACAGAAGAAAGCAGAGGTGAGGCAGAAGAGATGGCCACGGTTAAAAAGGATGTTTGCAGTGCATTATCTTACACTACAAATGTTCAGAACAGTGAAAAGTTTATAAAACACTGTTTCAAGAGACCTGCGATTGTTGTTGTGATTTAGAACTATACAACAATGAATTGAATTGAATTAAATTATTAATTCAATTCAATTATTAATTATTTGCCATCGGTGTCAAACTGGTTCCAGACTCCACCAAGTATTCAAGATTCACTTGGTGTCTGGTGTGCTCCTGCTTGGTTGAAATTAAAACCTGTAGTCAGACCAGCCCTTTGAGAACCAGTTTGAGACCCCTGACCTACAGTAGGATGTATTGTTCTCCCTGTCTGAAATTAAACTACTGACTTCGTAGAAGCATTGAATTAGTAGATTTTTTTTTTTAATTTTGTAGTGTACTCCATTGTTTTTACTTATTTATTAACACATAACATATTTTATAATATGACATCATGGAAAATATATAGATAGTGCTACATAGTCAGCATAAAGCAATACCAACATTAATATGAACATAATCATAATAATACAACATCCATCCATCCATTTTCTACCCTTTAATCCATTTCTGGGTCAGGGGGGTGGCAGTCAGAGATGCCACCCAAGTCTCATAGCACCAGCCCCTCACTGACCCTCTGCAGGTGGTGAGTCCACAGGAGGACGGCTGCTCTTTGAGTGTGAGCATAGCCTTGATCTTTGAGCGGGGGCTTTTTTGGGCAAAGTGGGGTTAAGTGTCTTGCCCAAGGACACAACGACAGCAGTCATCAGTGGGAGTCGATGGAGAAGGTGCAGAGGTGGGAATTGAACCCACGACCTTCTGGCCTTAAGGCCAATGCTCTACCAACTGAGCTACTGTCGCCCCTATATAATATATATATAATACAACATATCAAACATAATTAGACAGAGACAAGACAAAGACAATGTGGAAAAGTGAAATACGTGTAGAATTTAAAAGTGATTTTTAAGAAGTAATGTGATTTTTAAGAAGTTTCTGATGGTGCCTTATCGCCTTGGGCTGGTCGTTCCAGAGATAAACATCATGTGATCCATTTGAATCCACACAGTTGAAAAGACCACCAATTAAAAGCATTTGGAGACTAAAAACTAAATTTTAAAAATGAAATTTTTCTTAGAGCTTCTAATGTCCATTAGTGTACACATCCATAATAATAAAGTTCACTAGTTTTATCATTTCTATTGTAACATTATCACAATTCATGATAGTCTCTATAAATAAATGAGTTGGCCCTGCAGTTTTCATCTTGGTAATTACATTTCATAATGTGTTTCAGATGGCCGCAAAAAAGAGAGCTGCAAATTCAGACCACAAATCCGATTCAGAGAAAGGAGAGTGAGTGGCACACATGTTACACTGCTTTACATCGTCTATAATTATGCTATTTCCCGGAGGCGTCTGAGTGTTCTAAGTCTGACTTGACTGAATTGTGTGTTTTAGTTCAGAGGACGGTGAAAAGAAGGATTATGATAAATCCAAAGATGATCCGCCTCCACCACCGCCACCAGAGGAAAAGAAATTCCTGAAGAAGAGACTGGGGCCCAAGAAGGAGCCACCGGAGGCCTTCATGGCCAGTTTCTTTGCCGGGCTGGAGATCTACCAGACAAAAACTCTGGTTTGTAGCTTATACACTTGTAATTGTGAGTGAGCATGAGTGAGACTACTAGATTTACCTTTTATTAGAGATATATTTAGTCCTCGCTACATACATGTTAAATGTTTATGTTTACAATTCACGTGCTGTAAACCTGGAGGGCAGAAGCTTGTAGAGACGCTCTAAAATCTTGGTATTTCGTCTAAGAAACAGATGAAATGCCAAGATTTTAAGAGTAGTCATATCTGACGCAACAGATACTTTACAGCGGCAGCTAACATTAGCAACAATAACAATCAAATTGAATATTTCTGCACGTATAAGCAATCAGAGATAAGTCAATGTTTTGGCTCAAAGTTTTTATGAATCCAGTCGCAAACTTCCCAAGTAGACATTGACGTCACCAGGTTTAATCCACTGGAAACTGTGAAATGTCCTTATTTCTATTTGTGCAGCCCATTGATCTACAAAAATGTACCATGGTGTTCAACAAACAACACAATGACATGACTTGTGCACTCCAAGAGGAGTGTGCAATTTATCCTGATCAAGTAAAAGTGAATCAGGAAGGCTGCAATTCTAGCAACATTTGAGCACATACTGTATTATGGTGAGCCAGTCTCTCAAGACCCTGCAATGCCCTTGAGAAAATAAGTTCTTTGTGACCCTGATTGTGAAAGGAGCTAGATAAATAAAGCTTTCTTTTTGACTTCGAGATAATTGTGAAAATCCGTGAATAATGTATTTATTGAAATCAAGCTTAATCACAAATTCAGACTGGAAGACCAAAGAGACGTCATGCTACCACACTGACTCCTCCCTCTGCACTGACTCCTCCCTCTGCATTCACTCCTCCCTCTGTACTGGCTCCTCCCTCTGCACTGACTCCTCCGTCTGTACTGGCTCCTCCCTCTGTACTGACTCCTCCCTCTGTGCTGGCTCCTCCCTCTGTGCTGGCTCCTCCCTCTGCACTGGCTCCTCCCTCTGCACTGGCTCCTCCCTCTGCACTGGCTCCTCCCTCTGCACACCTGTGCCTGAGCTCAACATCAGCCTCAGCTGCTCAGTAACACACCTGTGCTCATCATCACTTCATGGCTGCATTTAAACAGAGCCTCTCAGTTCGCTGCAGCTCAAGCTGCTGTTCGAGCAGCAGCCCACCTCCTCCCCAACACCATCTCTTCTATTGAGTATCATGTCATGTCTTTGGCTCAGCTTCTAGGTTCTAGGCCCTGGTGGGTTGCAAGATCATTCTTTCTACCAAACTCCCTTCCGCATACGTCATGCAGTATTTCCTGCCGGGGTCTAATAGCCAATCCTAATGAACATTTCATGTTCATATGCAGTAGAAATATATGTACTCATAGTGTGCTTGTCTCTATTCATGCATCTTGACAATAAATATTCTAATGCAATCTTGGTCTCGAGTCTTTCCAGATTTTAAATGACAGAATAACAAAGTGGAAACTGTACAAAACCTAGCTCAGAAATTGTGGCCAACCTAACTGACCCATTTTATCATCTAAGAAGTGTTTTTATTATAAGTGTTAACTCGAGAATCTAAAAGTAAATAATAATAGCATTCCATTTGTTTTTTCAGAATTACCTGGCCAGAAACTTCTACAACCTCCGCTTCTTGGCTCTTTTTGTGGCCTTTGCAATAAACTTCATTCTTCTCTTCTACAAAGTAAGCTTGTGTTGTATCTCAGTAGTCATTATTCAGCTCATGATAATCGCTCACCAGTGTGTGTTGTGTGTGTGGGCATGTGTTTGTGTTTGTGTAGGCGGAAATTATCCACACACACATACAGGTGAAAATTATAATATTCATTCATTTACTTCTATAATTCAATGTGAAACTAATATTTTATTACTTTTAGAATGTTCATATTTGGCTACCATCTCATAAAACCTCACATACTTCGTCATTTTTACTCCTTCCTTAATTTGAATGAAAAATTCAAATGGACCTATTTTAGTCACTTTCCTTCTATGACAGGTAAAGCCCTTTTTCTCCAAGTCGATGGTCCTGAACTAGATTCTGGTTCAGCTTAATTTTTCACCAGGGAAAAGCAAGTGTTAGTTACCATAGCAACACAATGCCAACTGTCATTTGTTAGCATGTGGTCATTAGCATTAGTCTTTCGACAAACTGTTTTTTGGGTATCTAAAGTTACTGTATATTCAGGAGCTTTAGCATATATTAGAAGTTTCTTCCCCTCTGCTGTTGGACTCTTGAACACTTGAACACTTCTTAACCTCCCCACCCTCTAGAAGTCCCCTTCTGCTCATTATAAAGCACTTTACCGCCCTTTATAATGTCACTTTACTGCCCATTATACGTCACTTTACCTCACTGTACTGCTGTCACCTTACATTGTGTGCACCATGTGCACTGTATATTGTATATAGTAATTTAACTCTATTTTAAATTTTTGTTTTAAATTTATTCCTTAGAAGTGTTTTTTATTCTTTATTTTTTATTATGCCCTCTCTACCCTTACATCTCTTTCTGACTGAGCCAAAGCAATTTCCAAATCTGTGACCTCCTGTTACTCATGTGGCAATGAAAATGATTCTGATTCTGAAGTGAGTAAAAACCTTATAAAATACATACTTAAAATTCCTTGGGGCAATTTCTCAGAAATCCATTGATATGAATGGGAGCAGTCAAAATGACGGCTCTTGGAGTTCTGGTTGTTTCATAATTGTAAGAGTCCCAGTGTTAAGTGTACAGGATACATCTTGTGTAATGAAATGGTCTTAAACGTTGCGTAGGTCACCGGAGACTACTCGGACGATGAAGACCCATGGGCCCACCGAGGCCGCAGCAGCGAGGAGGAAGAGGAGGGGGCGCTGGAGTACTTTGTCCTACAGGAGAGCACTGGATACATGGCGCCCACGCTCCGCTGTTTGGCCATTCTACACACCATCATCTCTTTCTTGTGTGTACTCGGCTACTACTACCTCAAGGTAACGCCCTCGGCAACATATTTACGCAAAGTCGGTGGCCACTAAACGTAGCTAAAACTGAGATGGATGGCTGTGTTTCCCAAGGTGCCTCTGGTCGTGTTCAAGCGCGAGAAAGAGATCGCCAGGAAGCTGGAGTTTGCCGGGCTGTACATCACGGAGCAGCCGTCGGACGATGACATCAAAGGACAATGGGACCGGCTCGTCATCAATACTCCGTGAGTCATCCAAAGTTGTAAGCCCTGAAGTTAAAAGGGGCTGTATGTAAATATGCACAATTACTGGTCTATTAAAGTCAGTAGAATTACAGTCCTATACAATGTATTTGCTGCCAGATCCTTCCTGCCTGTACTACATGTAGCTCTTGTAGCTCTGAATACAGATACAATCCACTTGCTGGGGTTTAGTCAGAAACAGAACAAACTCTATGTGTGTTATATCAATACTGACTGTTGTACCTGGTTTCATTTGAATATGTGTATGGCATTTTTAAATTATTTAAATACAAATTATTTATAGCTTATTTTCACCAAACAAACTGGCAACCCCAAAAAGAGACTCATTTTGCCCCCTGATTGGATAATGTGCTGGAAGTAAATATTATGGACCTTGAGTCTATTGTATTTTTATTTATTAAGTGAATGTCAATTACTTTTCAAAGGGCAATAAGAGACAAATACCCCCACAGTCTCCTGATTGGTTGATAAAATATTTAAATCTTTGATGCCCCTGATCATTGTTTTAACTGTTCTCCTCCAGTCAATCTTACTGGTCATAGTAATGCCAAGAGGAGGGACCGTTTTGAATAAATTATTGTTGGAAACTACTTACTGTTCCTACCAGTACAATGTCCCATGGTCAGAAATTAACATTGTTTTAAAAAACAGGACACGTTTACAAGATGTGATTTAAAATGAAAATATTACATACGGTCCCTTTAATCTTTTGCAAATGTGCTTTCCACTAATTGCTGTTTTTTCCATATCAGCTCTTTCCCCAACAACTACTGGGATAAATTTGTCAAGCGCAAAGTAAGTGGCTTATGTGATTCTGCTATAATCTTTTAGTCCTGCACAGGATGATATTGATGTATTTCCATGCCGTGTAATAGGTGATTAAAAAGTATGGCGATCTATACGGAGCCGAGAGGATTGCAGAACTGCTGGGCTTGGATAAAAGTGCACTGGACTTCAACCCCACAGAGGAGGCAGTTGCCAAGGAGGCCTCTCTAGTGTCATGGTGATACATTTAGCTCAAATTGAATGCATTTTGTTGGCGAAATAAGGGTCAAACTGAAAAAAACAGTTCTTGCTTTTTCTCGTTTCAGGCTGAGCTCAATTGATACGAAATACCATGTCTGGAAGATGGGAGTGGTGTTTACAGACAATGTAAGTGGGAAAGTCTTACGGAAATTCTTGGGTGGTCAACTAATAGGTTTCATACTATACTGTATCTATAGGTTGCTTATAGGGATGCACATATTATGATATTTTAGGCCGATACCGATGTTTAACATAACAACCTGTTTTTTCTTTTTGTTATTTCTTCATATATTTTTTGGCAGCTTCAGTTTTCAGTTTTTTGGGGTTTTTTTTTAGCTTGCATTCAATGGTCGCTGTACACCATCTCATGTTTGCTTCTCAAATGTCCAGTGAGATTTCTTCTGTTAATATGATTTTCTAGAAGTACGCACTTTTGAAATCTCACTGGAATACTGCAAAACTGCATGTCTTTGTTTCTCATTACTGAGGAAAGTCCGCAGTATTTCTTTGCTTGCGCCTAGTATTGGCGAAAACCTTTTTTTTTGCAGATGGCCGAAGTAGTTAATATGGAAAACAACGGCCGATTCCGATGTTCAGCTGATGCATAGTTGGGTTTATGTGACATCACTTTAATATTGTGGTGGAACGAGTCTGAGTTTGTGAAGTCCTGGGATTGATTCCACTTCCAGACTGGGCCTTTGAGTGGACTCTCCCTGTGTCTGTTTCCTCCAGTTGCTACAGTTTACCCTAGCACTAAAAACACATAGAATAGCTCCCCTCTCTCTGGAGCCTGCACACTCCTGACAAAGAGATTCTGAAAGCTTACGGGGATTTTCCTGGTTAAATAAAGGCCAATGAATGAATTGTCAACTGTTGTCTAGTTATGTGGTGATAATTTTCAAAATACATGACGTTGGCTAATAGAAAGCATTTCAGACAGAAACATTAAATATCAATGGACCAATTTTGTTTATAAAACACAATTCTGTGAAAGTAAGTGCTTCACAAGCCACAACCGATACACTTGAAAGCAGACAATAATAAAACGGGGCAAATACCAACTCGGTAAACAGTTGATTGACAGCTAAATAGGACTGTTTTCAACCTGTACTTAAATATTACCTGAGAAGTGGCAAGTGGCAGCAAAAATCTCCCCAAGTCTAGTCCTGATTCTGGTCACCAGCAGGAGACCAGTCCCTGTTCTCATCCAAGTCCGAAATGATTCATATGGCCCTAAGGATAAGGGGAGTCTGAATCAAATCAGTTTCAAATCATGATCTGTGATAATATTTGGACATTGTTGGCACTTGTCCTCTCTCCCTCTGAAATGTAATTCTACAACATGTCAAACACACCTAATTATTACCCTTTTCTTTTTGTTGTCAGTCATTCTTGTATTTAGTGTGGTACACCACCATGTCTATTCTGGGACACTACAACAACTTTTTCTTCGCGGCTCATCTGCTGGACATCGCTATGGGGTTCAAGACACTGCGCACCATTCTGTCCTCTGTCACACACAACGGCAAACAGGTAATGGTGTTTTTACTGTTCTTTACCAGCAGAGGGCAGGGGAGAGTTATCAGCAGTGGTTATCAGGGCAGGACGTGCCAAGGAAAAAAAAAAATAAACGTGCCTGGTATACTATTTATTCTGAATATTAATGTTACTGTATTGAAGTATAGTTACTCTATGGGAGAGTAACTATAAAGTGGTGGTTCCCAAAATGGTGGTCAGTCTATGGTCGGGACAGTAAGCTGAGGGCAGCGAAAACTTGAATTTATTTAGATATTTCAAATGATTTATCAATTATAGTATTAGTATAGTAACTCTGTTTTTTAAGCCTTTTAGATCATTCAATTTCAGTTATTTTCTCTTCAACTAAATAACCCAAAGTAAACCAAAGCATTGGAAAATGGATTGTGGGACACATTTCATAAACAAGATTTTCCAAAGAGCTACAAAAGAGTTGACTGTGAAAAAGAAAACGGGAAACAAAATGTTTACTATGTCGATAAAAATGGTCAATCTGACAAGTTTGATTGAGTATCACAAAAGGAAATACTTAAACTCAAATCCAAAATAGAAAAAAAACATAAAATTACTGAAATAATTTTCAAACAGAGGACCACAAAACTCACGCTGTGTTAAAATCCAGAGAATAAAAGTTGGTCTTGACAAGATGAAGCTTTGAATGTTTTTTTCTGAAGTCATCTTTCTGTGGAAAATGCCCACGTAACATTTAACCGAATTCCACCAGTGTCTTTTGATCATTTGAGTCCAGACGTTTTCTATAATATCTCATCTTTCTTATTGATCTCCCACTATATCAATGCCTCGTGTTTCTTGTGGCAAAAGGTGCCAATCAAACCTGTTATGTCACCCCAATCTCCAGAGGTGAATTTCCAGTGGAATTGTTGGACTCGTTCTCCCCCCCCCTTTCCTTTCCCCCCTCCCCTTCAGCCTGTGGGCAGATCAATCACCCTGTCAATCTCCCACCACAGCCTCCAGCGCACTCTCTCCAAGCTCCACGAATAAATTGCACAAACGCTGATGCCGTGGGTGTCTTTTTGTCGCGCCCGAGAGATAACAAAAGCCGTTTGCATGCGCCCAATAAATACACAAGTAATGTTCCTACTGCCATAAGAGAAATTTCCCACGATGCTCAGCGGTTTTAAATGGAATCGGCACGAGCGACAGCCCCGTGTCTCTGCTCGAGCGAGTAAGACAAATCAGAGGAAATGTAATGAGTTTTGGGAATGTGTTTGTGTGTAGCTGGTGCTGACGGTGGGGCTGCTGGCGGTGGTGGTGTATCTGTACACGGTGGTGGCCTTCAACTTCTTCCGGAAGTTTTACAACAAGAGCGCGGACGATGACGAGCCGGACATGAAGTGTGACGACATGATGACGGTATCTTACTGGCATACTCTTAAATAATTCACAGCGTTATGTGCATTCAATATTTATGATGAATACACATTTAAACAGCTGGGTGTCTGGAAATGAATTCAAGTCTCAAAGGGAGAGTTCAAAAGTGGATTTCCTTCTGTAATTCCACTTAATATTAATTATAATATTGAAAACAATAAATTACCCCATCACTTTCAATGAGAGACTATTATATGGCAGATACACAGTGGGATATATCAAGCTTTTATTTGTTGTAATGTTGAAAATTGGCTCGTAAAAACATTGCAAATTAACTTTAAGCCGTAATCTTCAAAGAGATAATACACAAGGGCTTGGCATGTGTCACTTTTAATGTCTTTATCATACATTGTGTTTACATTTAATAAACAAATAATCAAATAAATGAGCGTTTAAACAATATTTTAATTTTCCAAGTTTTACCTGTCATAATTTCAATGTATTTAAATATATTTGTGTGCCTTAAATCTCAACATCAGTCGTTGTAAAAAAAAAAAAAAACGATGTACTTAAACAGTTTTGCTTGATTCTGCAGTCATTATAGAATTATTGGCAGATTTTTATGTCTATGTAAGGTTCAAAAAAACAATTACAGTACTTGAGGGACTATATGACACTACTTTTTCAAGTAATATTTACTGTACTCTGCCACCCATATATCGTATCTATTTGGTTAGAGCTGGAAAGGATTTGGACACCGTTCTATCAGCTGTTGATCTCCAGAGCTGATGAAGTAACACACAATTCTGCCTCCCGGTGTGTTTATGTGAACAGCAGAGAGTGAACACAAAGTGCAGGGAAATACACATGTCAGAGCAGTGTTTTTGTATGTGTGCCCTTTATTTTAACTGTACAATATGAAGCATCGATCAGATTTCCCCACTGTGGCACGAATAATGCGTGTCTTACCTTTATCAGATCAAATCAACACCGAGAGATGCACCAGTTTTACAGAATAGAACAGTTCCCTCTCACCACAGGAGGATAAACTAATAAATCATTCACCTCTGTTTCCCAGTGCTACCTGTTCCACATGTACGTGGGCGTGCGAGCCGGAGGGGGCATCGGGGACGAGATCGAGGACCCAGCTGGGGACCCCTACGAGCTCTACCGCATCCTCTTCGACATCACCTTCTTCTTCTTCGTTATCGTCATCCTGCTGGCCATCATCCAGGGTGAGCTCTGACCTCCACACATGTTCTGACCCAGAGAGGAGCTTATACTCACTGTGACGTGTGCCGCAGGTTTGATCATCGATGCCTTTGGAGAGCTGAGAGACCAGCAGGAGCAGGTCAAAGAGGACATGGAGGTGAGAATAGGATTTTCTCTTTCCAAAAATAGCTTCCTTCTGTGATCGCGCACATATGCCTGGGAGTGAAACTGGAGGTAGTACTTTGTCAGTAGCTCTCATTCATGTGAGCTTTGTTTTAAAGAAAACATATTCTACATTATTTTTGAACATTGACTAATAAATTGCTACTATTTACTTCATGTTTTAGAATAGAAAATTATAACTTAAATTGAAAATATATGGTAAAACAAGTAAGAAAGCTATCGACCTACCCTTTACCGATGCTATCACCAAAGGGAGGAGTAGAATTTGTTTTGTTTTTATCCACATTTGCAAAATACTCGCTGAAATCTAGCCATGCAATTGTAAAGTACAAAATGTCAAATGAAGTAATCTCAATTAAAAGTGGGGGAGTTGCTCAGCCCGACTCTGTTTTGACACCTATGTAGCCTTGTCGTTCAGTTTGAGTAGCTCCTACAGTGCACTCGTAGACGAACTAAATTATTTAATCATTTTAACAATGCATCTCCTATAATTAATTTAAAACTGTGATGGTTGCATTAATGACTAGAAAGACAACACTGATCGTCATCCGTCAAATGGATGCTTGCTTGTGCAGCAAATATCACCCTCTAAAAATATAAATTCCGTAAAAATGTATAATTGTGTATACTAAATTGTGTCAATAGCATTTAGCATTTGCTCAGGCTTCCTGTGGCTCAGAGAATAGTTTCTAAATCACTTGTGAGTCTCTCTGTACAAGTCTCTCCATTACCTCACACCAAAGTACATCTGTGTATGTGCTGGGACTCTGAGGAGCACAGGGACTGGCCTCCTGCTGGTGCCCAGAGTCAGGATTGAACATGGGGAGGCAGAATTTCAGATTTATGTAGAAACAATAGGGAATTGTCTTCCTGAAAATGTGAGACGGGCTTCTACTCTATTCTGACAATGTTCAAGTCTGATTGTAATGTTTCCTCTCTTGTTTTGTTAAGCACCATGAATGACCTTGTGTGTGAACTGTCATACACATACTCCTTGCCTTGCCATTGTTGATGCACACACGTTTATATGTATAACATGGAAGCATTTCTTGTGTATGTTTTTTGTCCTCAGACCAAGTGCTTTATCTGCGGCATCGGAAACGACTACTTTGACACCACGCCCCACGGCTTTGAGACCCACACTTTACAAGAGCACAATCTGGCCAACTACCTGTGAGTACTCTGCTATCTCCAAAATATCCACATCTTGTTGTTTTTAATAGCAATAATAAGAAGAAGAATAATGGGGATGGTGCTATGTTAATTGGGTGCAGCTCTGACTGCCGCCCCTCGACCCAGGAATGGATTAAGGGGAAGAAAATGGATGGATGGATATTAATAATACATTTTACTAAAAAAAAAAACATTAGCATTGATAAAAACAGAAACAACAGAACTGGACAAAGGTGTTGGAGTGACTGATCATGTGGGAAAGGAAATAAGACAGGGTAAGACAGTCGGTGTTGCGGAGGTCTTTGCAGAGGTCTGTGTCTAAAAATCCACCTCCTGATCGATGGCTCTGTGTGAACAGGGCCACGGTCACTAATGGCCCGGTCGACCCAGATCAACGGATTCCTTCAACTCCTTCTCCCCATCTCCCATCAGACCCTGCATGCAGATCTGCTCTTGCCTAATGCCCATGACAATAAAGTGTTTCAGTCCATTTGCGCTCACAGTTTTCCGGCCCGAGGCGACGGCTGCGACCTCATTATGTAGCTTCATTACTATTTAATGTCATGAACTTTATTGGGGAAATGCTGCGGCGATAGTGCGTCTCTGTGCAGCTGATTGGGCGGCGAGATGTCACACTGAGATGGAGCCGCCGTGCGTTGCCATTTACAATTGATTCTGTGAACAACAGGTGATTTGTCGGGGAAAGGGGCTTTGTTTAGTCAGAGATTTGGATGCTTTCTATCCACAGAAACTCTGACATTTTCTTGTGAAATTTCTGTATAGTGACATTCTTACCACATCTGATTTGCTTGGTTTTTTTTAAAGGTTTTTCCTGATGTACCTTATCAACAAGGACGAGACTGAGCACACTGGCCAGGTACAGTGTTGAATGCCACCAATGACCTCACACCAGGAGTTTGTAGAATTTACTCAATTCATCTAAAATAAAATCTAGTGTAGTTTCTAGGGACACTATGTGAGAAGCACTCTTATTGATCTAATAACGTCTTTACAAATACATCACATTTTGTGGCCAGAAGCTTGGATCACTGATGCAATATACTGTACCTGCTGTAGTCTTTGTATTACATATGACTACATTCTTTCATTCTTTCATTATTTGTTTAATTATTTCAAACATGCATAACATAATAAAAAGAAAAGCAAACAAAATTACTTGTACACGGTTTAAAAAGGGATTGGATGAAACAAAAAGCTTATATTAATCCATTCCCCTCCCAGCCATCCAGACACACACAACTTTACAACACAAAAACAAGAAGCAATGCCCTACAGTACGCTTCACCAAAACACATGACAGCCGTATGCCATATACACACACACACACACACATACACACACACATACACACACACACACACACACACACACACACACACACACACACACACACACACACACACATATACACACACACACCAATGGCAAGAAACAAGTTGTTTGTACCTGGTTTCATTTAAACATTGTTTTGTGTGGGGCTGGGAAATTAATCAAACTATGAATGTTTTTTTCTGTCCTGCAGGCCACAAAAAAACCACTATATGCAAATATTGTTGTGGAGACAATAAAATTGACATTGTTGAAAATTGTTCATACATTTGGATCAGAGCCAAAACAAGGATAATTTCACAACCCAAATGAGAACAATGTTCAGTGAAAACCATAAAACATAAATATTTTTCATATAATTTCATACTTCATGTAATTTTTTTTCTATGATGTGAATATATCCACTTTAAAATTTAGTTCAGAAAAGCTCTAATAGGATGCATATCCATTGACCTGTTATCTCGGGACGCATATATAAAAGATTTGGAATTTAAACATAGCGTCTCTAAACTAATGACACAGACCATAATCTATTTGTTCTCTAACATTTTCTCCTAATATGAATCCACAGGAGTCCTATGTGTGGAAGATGTACCAGGAGCGATGCTGGGACTTCTTCCCGGCTGGAGACTGCTTCAGAAAGCAATATGAAGATCAGCTTGGATGAGTGGACCTTCATTAGATCTAAACAGACGCACATCAAAACAAAGCTGTTTCGGACACACTCCACTGGACTCACACACTGCAGTGCATGTGTGAGACGTTTTCGGGTTACCTACTTGGGATAATTTATGTGACAAGCCCGTTGCCATTCACCTCACCTAACCCCAAATCACTGCACAATTATTTTTTATTACATTTATTATTTCTTCTTTTTTGAGGAAGCCGGGGTTGAGCGAAGCGTACGGCCACGGGCTTGTCCTCTTATGCACAAGAATCTATTTGAGAATGTTGAACTTGAGACTTATGCCAAAAGAGTACAGTGAACTTACAGTATGTGCGCAATGCGAAACTAGACCGTCCTTGTTCCGTATGTGTTGTGATGTTGCATTTTGAGAAGTACTAGAACGAACTGGTTAAAAGGTGTGATTAGTGTCGTGTAGACTGAGAAATGCCTATTTATCATAAAGTGCCTTACAGTACTGTATCTACATTACAATGGAGCTATGCAAACGTCTTCTTTCTCTTACATGTGCGTATACAGTCCTTTCCCGAGCGGTGAAGCGTAGCCGTCGATAGTTTGTTGGCTGATTTTTTTCTAACCTTGAAGAACAGCATTGGTTTGGTTTCATTTCTTTGCCGAATGCAGCATCTCTGAGACGAAAAACTATAGATTTCAGCAAAAGGAATTGACAAAAATGAGAACAAAAACACAATTGCTATTGTATGGCCATTTGTATGTAGTAGCTTTGCTGACCTGTGCATTTCTTTGACGGGAAAATAAAGAAATGAGTGCTAGAGAAAGTATCTCTTATGTGTCGTCTTTATATTTTCAATCTGCCAGATTTTACACTCACAACATTCATTTTCAATGGTATCTCATATTCAGAAAGGAGTGAATTGAGGTATGATTAGATAGACTTATTCTCACCCCTTTAGATTCAGATTCAGATTCATTTATTTGCCATTAGCAGTAAAACCACATTGTAAAAACTGTGCAAGACTACCCCAGTGTTCACCAGACGGCACCCTTTAGCAACTAAACAGTATGTTTATTAGAGTAACCTCTCTCCAATCTTTCAACATAAACAATTGCAGTACTTGCTGGACTATAAGCTGCTACTTTTTTCAAGTTTTGTGAACTTTGCAGCCTATGCAACAGGGGGAGAACATGCAAACTCCACTCAGAAGGACCCTGTTCCAACCAGGATTTGAATCCGAGATATTGTTGCCGAGAAGAGAAGAGAAGAGAGGGTGCTAACCACTGCGCCACCTCGAGTTACAGTTTGTTGTCCAAATAGATGGTATAGATGTGTGTTTTAACAGTGCCTTAAACACTGTCATAAAATGTTATGTCCAATTAAAACATTAACAAGTGTTACATTAAATAACAATGAAAACCGGTGGCTTATAACCAGGGCTGGACTGGGACCAAAAAACGACCCTGGCATTTTTGCCTCCTTGACAGCCCGGTAAAATAAAAATAAAAAAAAAACCCTTATTATTTTATTTTTTGCGCCTCACAACCCATACCACATCAGGCATAAATCATAGATATCTAAAGAAAATATGACTAAAATCCAACAGGGCATTGGCCTTTGAGCCTGAAGGACGTGGGTTCAAGCCCGCCACGAGACCTTCGTCATCAACTCCCACTGATGTCTCCAGTCGATGTATTCTTGGGCGAGACACTTAACCCTACTTTGCCTGAAGCCCCGCAGCCATTCTCCTGTGGACTCACCACCTGCAGGAGGATCGTGAGGACCTACTCCCGCCCCAGAAATGGACAAAGGAGGACATTCAAAAAAATTTAATCGCAAGAAATATTAACATTAAAAATTGAATGGAATTAGGATCATAAATACTCAGAGTGCATCAAAAAGAGTAGAACTACTTTTAACCTGGATTTGAAAACTGCCATAGTCGATGCCTGTCTCATATTTTCAGGAAGACTGATGCAGATTTTAGCTGCATAAATCTGAAACGTAGCCTCCCCGTGTTTAGTCCTGTCTCTGGTCAACAGCAAGAGGCTAGTTCCTGGGCTCCTCAGAGTCCGAGCCAGTTCATATGGCATCATCCTCAACAGTTACTCAATTCCTTTTAAGTAACTGGCTTTATACCTTTTTTGAACACACTCCACACAAAGTGACACACATTGATTTGAAATGTATTTGTTTCACATCTGATCCACTCCTAAAACATTTAAATAGCTTCTGTATGTTTCCCGTGTGGCTCCATGAGTGTCAGGTGAAAGGGACGGCCTTCGCTGGCACTGATGCCTGATGGGACTTTTGGCTGTTTCCTGTGGTGAGGTCTGTCAGCTCACATCTCGTCAGAACACCTCAGGCCTGCTGCTGTGAGCTCCACAACTCGCCAACAACAGGGCACCATCAGTCGTCTAATCACCAACTCAAAACCAAGTCTACAAGTTCTTTCACTTGTGCACAAGGTATTTCACTCTGTAAACCTTTCATTATTTTAAGATGGGAATCTGACTTTCTTTTCTCCATGCATGAATGAATGAACATTGTAATTACCTCTTTAGATTTAAAAATAAATAAATAAAACAAAATACATATATCTCTATATCCATTGCATATGAAGTTTACAGGCTCTATCTGTCTGTTTTACATAATATTTCCAAAAAGTGGCACTCATGAACATAATAAATCAATTCATTTTTGTATAGACCTAAATAACAACAGTAGTCGTCTCGAAGGACTTAACGAAGTTGTCGATTCGCCAACACAGACCAGAGAATCAGTTCAAACACAAGAAACAAATGTCCACAGAGGACAGGACGACCAATGTCCATATGTTGATACATGTCCATAAACGTAGAATCATTTTCTTTGTTATCCGGATTTGAACCATCCTGATGCCACTAGGACGTCACTCAGCAGTGGTCGCCATGGGAACCCATCTCCAGATATTATACTATATTATTATATAGCTTGGTCAGGACTAACGGAGCTGAAGGGTTTACCTATTGTGCATGTTTTCAGTGGTAGGGGGAACTGGAAGACCCAGAGGAAACCAACGCAGACACAGGGAGAACATGCAAACTCTAATTAGAAAGGCCCTTTTCCGACCAAGATTTGAACCAAGGACCGTCTTGCTGAGAAGCGGGAGTGCCACTCAGCCATTGGAACCTCCGAGACCCTCCTGCATCAGCATGGAACACTCCTTCACTTAAGGACCTCTCCACCCATCTGGAGAGAGCAAGGCACCTTTTTCTGGTAGAGCAGCCCTACTGTATATCGTTTAAAAGTCTATTTAAATATGAATCATTACGCACAAAGTGAGATATCAAACCTCCATTTGTGGATAATTGGCTCACAGCTCAAATTCAATGAAAACATCTTAGAAAATGAGAATATTTCGAGCCATAATAACAAGCCATAATCATCATTATTATACCAAATGAACTTTTGAAATAAATAAAAAAACTCTTTTCACCTGCATCTGATCCAGAATGTAATTTACTTAAATGATTATAGTTATTATTATGATCATTATTATTGATAACGTTTACTTCTGTCACAATTTATTATTACAGAAGTCATAATAGTATTGGTGATTTGTGATCATTTTAACTGGACACATGTTCACATGATTTTACATCCATAAGTAAAATATATTATTTTTGTACAAATTCAAAAAGTCTTCTTTCTTTCATGGCACAGTCTGCACAACACTACAGGTGTGACATACGGCCTGTGCGTGCAGAGGCAAAGGCAGAGGCCCCAGTGGAACTGTG